GTCTCGAGGAATTCATGCGGCGTGCCCATATAGTACGCCACCAGCCGCCACAGGGAGAGGTAGTCATCAATCTCTCGCTCTCGCAGCAGGATACCCTGCCGAGGCAATCCAATCCAGACTACACTTGTCGAAAAGGTATTGATGGTGGCTATGCAATCAAGGTCATTAATAGGAACGCCGAACTTGTCGACATCGTAATATTCAGGCTTGTTCTTGACCAGGTCCAATATCCTTGAACGGACAGCGGCGTGAAGCAACCGCACTCGAACCGATGAGGCGTGACCAGCTTCTCCTGGTCTCATGGCATCGACGGACCCGGCGACCTGAAGAACGTGCTGAAGGGTTTCCAGCATCCTGCGTCGTGCGACATCTGCGGCGAATCCTCCAGTCCTTGCTAAGGTTTCGACGATGCGTCCGGACCCCCTGCCGCAATTGTTAGTTCAGATTCATTGCTAGTATCGCAATAAGGACTCAGACATTCCGCCCAATAGACTCTGAAAAGTAAGCTATATATAAATGGTGTTGACGTTAGTCCACAAGTTGAGTCTACAGAAAAATGTTCCAATCTTACCACGTTGATCACTGCCATTCCATAACGGTAGAATACTTCTTGTCCTCTCTTAATCCGTTCCCAGTCAACCCAGTCAGGAACGGTGTTGATCTCATTCCAGAATTCTTTGATCTTGAGATCATCGTCATGATGCTTTTCGAGCAAAATGTATAGGTCTCTCTTTGCTGGCTTGGACGTCGATCCTTCGGTCTTAGTAGTGTCTCGATGAGGTACAGGCGATATTTCATTTAGCTGTTGAAGACAGTCATTTGCAAGCTTGTCATAAGTGAACATCAGCGGGTGTAGCTGTTCCGCGGATCGATGAAGATCGCTCCATTCGAACTTGTAACCCCAGTATTCGCGCACATTCTGGGCTTCCTGGCTCGATGAAATCATAGCTTGTAGCACAGCAAATAAATCTTCCCCCTATGTCTCGATATATCATGTAGCGTGCTGTATTGTCATGATATAGTGTTCGGGAAAGGTTGTTTCCTCTGAGCCATCCGGCAACAATCTGAAACATCCCTCTCATATATACAGCGCTGCTGGCATGCACCTGCTCACATGAGTTGGAAGCCCGAAGGCCATGTTTTCCGACGAGCCAAACCAAAGCTGCTACCCATGGATAGGCAAGTCACTAGCGGCTAGGCGGCTTTGCGGTTCGACATGTGAACGCAAGGAATGGTAGAGCAGAGTAAGGATTCTGTGAGTGAAGTTTGGTTGATCCTATGTATCTGATCAGTATACAGCCCTTGAATCCTACTCCACTAGTTCCATGATAAAGATGGACTAAGGAGGCAAGTTGAGTTTCCTGACCAGAGCTGTGGGTCTGCCCCAGGCACCTTATCATTTTCAAAGGCTCTTAAGACGCAGTCCAATCTATCGTACTTCTTCAGAGCATTACTCCAGAAACTGATTGCTGTAAGGTTCAACCTTCTGTCCCTTACCATCTACTTACTGACGGATCAGCAGTCACAAGGTGTGCTCTTGGACTAAGTTCACTCGGATGATTTTAAGCCTTACAGTGTTTGAAAGTGGTGTTAGTTGCAGGTAAAAGATTGCATTAAATATTCTGTTAAAGCCCAGGAAAGCTCCTTCTACCCGCGAAGTGCACCAGCAAAATCTGAAAGTAAACGGCCAAATGCTAGATAGTGGTAACAGAGATCATGGTAATCAGCACTTGTTTTGATTTAGTGCCAATACAAGACTGGGACAAAGACAAGACCAAGCCCGCTCTGTAGGATGGCTGAGTAAACTTACGATCCCATCGAATCCTGTGGTAGTTTGAGCGCATTGCAACATATGTATCTTTCTTGTATCAAGAATCAATCCCGCATACAAATTGATGCTGGGTTTGGGTAGACCTCGACTCAAAGCACGCCCCTCCTTGCTGGACCTGATTGCCAGTCGCGGCGTGGTTGATCTGTCCGAATCCAAGCCGTCATCACCGCCCGGGCCAGACGAACTGCCACCGCTCCCCGTTTCGCCCACTTCAACGACCTCTAGCTCCAGTAGCAGCAACAGCAACATCGAGCTCCCCTCATCCCCGTCCTCTTCATCCATACACACACCAGTTGTACGAATAATGGCTCCTTCTGGTAAGGACAACACTGGTGAGGACCAGCATGGCATTATTTTCTCCATATCTGGCCCCGTCGTGGTGGCCGAGCACATGATCGGCTGTGCCATGTATGAGCTGGTAGGTCATTAGTGACGCTTAACTTCAGGATATTGTCGAGCTTAGTTTAGCTGACTGAAATTTTTTTTGCTACTTCAGTGCAGAGTCGGACACGATCAGTTGGTTGGTGAGGTCATTCGACTCGATGGAGATAAGGCTACCATTCAGGTATACGAGGAGACAGGTACAGCTCCGCATCTACACTATGACGAACCGTTACTGGCAATTACGAGTCTAACGTCTTACTCTTTCGCTCTCTAGCTGGTCTAACGGTTGGCGATCCTGTTATGCGTACGGGCAAGCCTCTCTCGGTCGAGCTTGGTCCCGGTTTGTTGGAAACAATCTATGATGGTATTCAGCGACCCCTGAAAGAGATCGCTGCTCATTCGAAGGGCATCTACATTCCCCGTGGTATTGCAGTGAATGCTTTGGATCGCAAAAAGAAGTGGGACTTTAAACCCGGCAAGTTCAAGGTCGGCGACCACATCACCGGTGGTGACATTTGGGGTACCGTCTTTGAAAACAGCTTGTTCAACGACCACAAGATCCTCCTCCCTCCCCGCGCTAGAGGTACCATTACCCGGATAGCTCCCGCTGGCCAATACACCGTTGAAGAGAAGCTCCTGGAGATTGAATTCAACGGACAGAAGTCGGAACATGGTATGATGCACTCTTGGCCTGTTCGTGTGCCCAGACCGGTCAATGAGAAGCTGCCGTCCGATGCGCCCTTCATCGTCGGCCAGAGAGTGCTGGACTCTTTGTTCCCCAGTGTACAAGGAGGTACTGTTTGTATCCCGGGAGCTTTCGGTTGCGGAAAGACTGTCATTTCTCAGAGTGTCTCCAAATTCTCCAACAGTGATATCATCGTCTATGTCGGTTGTGGTGAGCGGGGTAACGAGATGGCGGAAGTTTTGATGGATTTCCCAGAGGTACGGGACCTGAGACTCCTGCCAAGATGATCGCACGCTGACGAGTCTCTATACGTAGCTGTCCATCGACGTTGAAGGTCGCAAAGAGCCCATCATGAAGCGTACATGCCTGATCGCCAACACATCGAACATGCCCGTCGCTGCCCGTGAAGCTTCCATCTACACCGGTATCACGATCGCCGAGTACTTCCGTGATCAGGGAAAGAACGTGGCTATGATGGCGGACTCTTCCTCTCGCTGGGCCGAAGCTTTGCGTGAACTTTCTGGTCGTCTGGGAGAGATGCCTGCGGACCAGGGTTTCCCCGCCTACCTAGGTGCCAAGCTCGCCTCCTTCTATGAACGTGCTGGCAAGAGTATCGCTCTCGGAAGCCCCGAGAGACATGGCAGTGTCAGTATCGTCGGTGCCGTCAGCCCTCCCGGTGGTGATTTCTCCGATCCCGTCACCAGTAGCACGCTGGGTATCGTGCAGGTATTCTGGGGTCTCGACAAGAAACTTGCTCAGCGGAAACACTTCCCCTCGATCAATACATCGATTTCATACAGCAAGTACACGGCCATTCTGGACAAGTTCTACGAAAAGCACCATCCCGAATTCCCACGTCTACGTGACCAGATCCGCGAACTGTTGTCCAAGTCTGAGGATCTAGACCAGGTTGTGCAGTTGGTCGGTAAGGCGGCCCTCGGTGACTCAGACAAGATCACCCTGGACGTCGCAGCCATGGTAAAGGATGACTTCCTGCAGCAGAACGGTTACAGTGACTATGATCAGTTCTGTCCTCTGTGGAAGACTGAGTATATGATGAAGGCTTTCATGGGCTTCCATGATGAAGCCCAAAAGGCCATTGCTCAGGGGCAGAGCTGGAGCAAGGTCCGTGACGCCACAGCTGACATTCAGACCTCTTTGCGTAGCATGAAGTTTGAAATTCCAGACAATCAGGCAGCAGTTTCAGAGAAGGTCAGTCCAATATTTCCCATTGAAATTGGTAGTCTCTCGCCACTGACAAATCTACACAGTATGAGAAGATCCTTCAGACCATGTTGGAGAGATTCGCTTCGGTGTCGGACGAGTAAGGAGACGAATGTCCGGAGAGGAGATACTTTCTTTTATGTTTATTAGAAGCCTATATGTAGCAAGTTTATGTCTCTGTATTTATTTGAGTTGACTTTTCTTGTTCCGCAAGCTAGTGCCGACTGTCGAGCCCTTTGTGACTTTCTATACACTTGATTTTTGATTAAGGGCTATATCCATGTGCACCTAAATGGCACCAAGTTTATCTTGTCTCTCGCGCCAATTACTTGAGCGGTTTTGTGTAGAAAAGAAGTGGTAGAGATGGGACATAAGAGTCTCCATATCGTAAACTACCCCATGATGTGTACAGAACTTGATGCCTGTTGGTCGCAAAGCTGGTGGCTGATGTTAGGCACCACCGTAAAAGCGGTCTCGGGTGGCCACAGCCACATGACGGGTGCAGCGATGGCTCTCGTGAGCGACAACGTTAGTTTGGACTTCTGTAAAAAGATCGTTCTCCGCGTATTTCATAATAACTAGTACTGAAGACCTTTATTCCTAGGATAGGTACAAGGAGTGTCGCCTGGCCGCTGCAGTGTCCATAAGTTGGTGCTATCATTCCTCCGTTGCCCATCTATTTCTATATTGATCTGGACCACAACCGAAACTCTACACTTGGCCGCAATCCCAACTCTTCCCGCTCTTTCCTACCCACAATCACCGCTTCCTCCAAGCGAAGGCCATACACTCGAGTCTCGTCCTCTTTGAATCGAAATCTTCTGTTCTACTGCAGAAATATTCTGTGCGATCGCTTTCTCTACACAGTTGCCAACCATGGCAAGCCCGACAACAACCTCGTGCGCAAGCCCCCCTGTTCCCCCGAGGCCAAGCTCCGGAAACATTAACTAACTTGTATGATTGTGGGCAGTATAAACGTTAATGATCCCGGCTTGATTTCACTGGTGAACAAGCTTCAAGATGTTTTCTCGACAGTCGGTGTAAGTGTCTCATCCACAGTTTCGAGATCTCTCTGCCTTATTCCTGCGAGCCCCTCTATCCGATACTGACACCGCTTGTCTGGTTAGGTTCACAACCCCATTGATCTGCCACAGATTGTAGTGGTAGGCTCGCAATCCAGTGGCAAGAGTTCAGTTCTCGAGAATATTGTCGGAAGGGACTTGTAAGTTAAATGTTCCTGCGCCTGCGTTCGATGCTGTGAGTCGTCGCTAATTAAGGTTGCCCGCTCCTCCAGCCTCCCTCGTGGATCGGGAATCGTTACTCGGAGACCCCTCATCCTACAGCTCATCAACAGACCTTCAAGAAACTCGGTAACGAACGGAGTCAAGGAGGAAAAGCTAGAAACTACGGACAGCGAGGCGAATGTCGACGAATACGGCGAGTTCCTCCACATCCCCGGACAAAAGTTTTACGACTTCAACAAGATTCGCGAGGAGATTGTGCGGGAAACTGAACAGAAAGTCGGTCGCAATGCTGGTATCTCTCCAGTGCCTATCAACTTGCGAATTTACTCACCCAATGTCCTGACCCTCACACTGGTCGATCTGCCCGGTCTCACCAAGGTCCCAGTCGGCGACCAGCCCAAGGATATTGAACGGCAGATTAGGGATATGGTTCTCAAGTACATCAGCAAGCCCAACGCGATCATCCTGGCGGTTACCTCTGCCAACCAGGATCTTGCCAACTCGGACGGATTGAAGCTGGCGCGCGAGGTGGACCCCGAGGGTCAGCGCACTATCGGCGTGCTAACCAAGGTCGATCTGATGGACGAGGGTACAGATGTGGTGGATATTCTTGCGGGCAGGATTATCCCTTTGCGGCTGGGTTACGTCCCTGTGGTCAACCGTGGCCAGCGTGATATTGAGAACAAGCGTCCCATCTCATACGCACTAGAGCACGAGAAGAACTTCTTCGAGAGCCACAAGGCTTATCGGAATAAGGCTTCGTACTGCGGAACACCGTACCTTGCCAGGAAGCTGAACTTGGTATGTAGTATTGACTGAACCATTGTCATCGGTGGATTTTAGCTGACCCTCCGTTCTCTAGATCCTTATGATGCACATCAAGCAGACTTTGCCCGATATCAAAGCCAGAATTTCCTCGTCTCTCCAGAAGTACACGGCCGAGCTCTCCCAGCTTGGCGACTCGATGCTCGGGAACAGCGCCAATATTATCCTGAACATCATCACGGAATTCAGCAATGAGTATCGCACGGTTCTGGAGGGAAACAACCAGGAGCTGTCTAGCATCGAGCTTTCTGGTGGTGCCCGTATCAGCTTTGTGTTCCACGAACTGTATTCGAACGGTATCAAGGCCGTGGATCCATTCGACCAGGTAAAGGATATCGACATTCGGACAATCCTTTACAACTCTTCTGGCTCGTCTCCTGCGCTTTTCGTCGGAACGACCGCCTTCGAGTTAATCGTCAAGCAGCAGATCAAGAGACTGGAGGATCCCAGTTTGAAGTGCATCTCGCTGGTTTACGACGAACTTGTGCGCATTCTGGGCCAGCTTCTGAATAAGCAGCTGTTCCGGAGATACCCCATGCTCAAGGAGAAGTTCCATGCTGTTGTCATCAGCTTTTTCAAGAAGTGCATGGAACCGACAAACAAGCTCGTCCACGATTTGATCTCGATGGAGGCCTGCTACATCAACACTGGACACCCCGATTTCCTCAACGGGCATCGTGTAAGTGACCTTTGGTTCCAATCTCTTTTGTAAGCGATCCTGACAGAATGCAGGCTATGGCAATTATCAATGAACGCCAGCAAGCGAGCAAGCCTACGCAGGTGGACCCGAAGACGGGCAAACCTCTGCCTCCTCGTGCAAACAGCCCGTCGGTCGATGCCGTAGCCGCCGCAGAGAACAGTGGTTCTGGATTCTTCGGCAGTTTCTGGGCATCCAAGAACAAGAAGAAGATGGCTGCCATGGAGCCTCCTCCACCTACCCTCAAGGCATCTGCCACTCTTTCTGAGCGTGAGGCTACAGAGGTCGAGGTGATCAGTAAGTTTCGAATAAAGTCTGCTAAGACAGCAAAATCTAATACGCGGATAGAGCTTCTTATCACCTCCTACTTCAACATTGTCAAGCGCACCATGATTGACATGGTTCCCAAGGCCATCATGTACACCCTCGTTCAGTAAGTGGCATCGACACCTTCAACTGATCTTTGTGCTAATTTCTCGTTTCAGGTTCACCAAGGATGAGATGCAACGTGAACTGCTGGAGCAGATGTACCGTAATAACGAGCTGGACGAATTGCTCAAGGAGAGCGACTACACCATTCGCCGACGGAAGGAGTGCCAGCAGATGGTGGAGAGCCTGAGCCGCGCCAGCGAGATCGTCAGCCAAGTTCAGTGATTGTCCAACGACACCCTAGCTTGCCGGCCCCATTGCTCCCGTCGATTCACTTGCCATGCCTACTGGATCTTCCTGGACTTTTTTGGAGCGGATTCTTGTGTCGGCTTTGAGGAGTTATATCCTACGTTATATTCTTCACGAGGGCTCTTCAAGGGCTCTAGAGATGCATGTCTTTCCAGATGTCCGGTTGTCAAGAGATTCTATACCACGAATTTGTATTGCCTAATGATTGCTGTGGATGATTCTTTTTTCGTTCTTGGTTTGTTAGAATTAAGAGAGACGTTTATGAGTTCAGCATGATATCCTTTCCTTAACCTGTACATATCACTGAATAAATCCTATCGCTTGATTCTATCATTTTCTGACTTTGACTACTTTATTCACCTATTGTCCGTCCAGGTGGCGCAGCTATTGTGTATTCACCAAGTGTACCTGAGGGATAATGTGGCTGAAAGATTACTAAATTGTTACAAGAATGAATAACACACGTCAGCCTCACTAAAATAGTTTAGCGCCAGCTGGTTAAGGTGCAGCACGTGTCATTATAGCGCTCAGTTAGCGTCATAAGAGTAGCCAATGAGCGTTCAGCATCGTGAACTGCAGAAAGTATACTGATTAGGAAGTATATCAAGTTCGGATTGAACCTCGACACGGGCATCTTGATACTCAGATTTGTAGGAAGAGACAAGAGAAGTGAGAACTTATAGATAATACAATTCAGTGAGGTGAAACATGTAGTGAATGGTGGGGTTAGCGCAGATGTCTTCTTATTCTCTCTCACTTCCTCGTCTTCGTCGTCATCCCCTTCCTCTCTTCTCTATCTGCCATCGAGGAAATTAAGATACCTCCTTATTCTCTTGTCTTTCTACTGCATTTTTTATTGCCTTACTGCTTCTCTGAGCTGGTTACGAACCGAGTCATCTTTGCGCTGTATCATTTGCCTCGTCTCCGCAGTGTTAGCAAGGTATGCTTATTCCGATTCCGCTGCTGCCGGTGTCTACGTAGCATAAGCTAACAGGACCCAAAAGACCGGAGTAATCTCTCTAACTCATACAGTCTCAAGTCTAAACCTCTATCATCTACGGTAAGAACGAATCGAATCCTCACTCGATCCGGAGCAGATACAGATAAAGCTAATATATATCCACCAGAACCCGGACGCGGGCAAAATGTGCGAATACCTCCCCGTCTACCACAAACCCACCGGCTGCGTTGCCTTCCCCAAGCACGTGGTCGAAGTGAAGGTGTACCTCGCCTGCTTGGAGATCACCAGTGACCCGACTGGCGCGAAGGAGCGCTGCGAGGACAAGGACTGTCATTTGGCTGGGTCGCTTGGCTCGACTCGGACCCGGGCGGAGTGTCCTCATTGTCTTTGTCCTCCTTGGGGGGTGATTGAGCCGTTGTATATTGTAAGTTATTTGATATGAATTTGGTTTTGGGTTGGTGCTGATTTTGGGGGTAGGTGATTAGGGACCAGGAGTTTGCTTCATTGATCACTCAGGGTGGTTTGTTTTGATTGGTTACAGAGCAGGGCCCGATCTCGATGGATGGAGCGATAGGTGCATGGTTGACATCGTGACGTCTCGTTGGGGTACCATTTGTGGAGCGAAGCTTGGGTGTGATGCAGAATGATGATAACGGCCTTTTGAATCTAGTTGAGCGTGGCCTGTAGCGCCAACAATGAGAAACGTCTTATGAACAAGAAAGCTGCGTCTATTTTGTAGTACTATGGCGATAGACATAATGCCAGCCTTCCTTGGCCATGTCCGCGCGGACCCGGTAATTCTCCTCGGCAATCTTCAACAGCCCCATATCCATATCCACCACAAGCACGCCTTCCTCTCTCCCCATCTTACCCACGGGCCCGACAATGGGGAGCGTGACGCGGGACATCCCGAGGAACTTCTCATCGGCACCCGCCGCATTGACGAAGACAACGGCGCAGGTATTCTCGAAGCAGCGAGACGTCAGCGTCGACTCAAGGAAGAGCGCTTCTGAGTCGGGGTTGTATGATAGCGCCTCGGGCGAAGCATCGTAACGAGTCCCTTGGTGGTCCGGTCAATCGTTAATTCACAAAAACAAGAAGAGAGAAGGGTCCACATACAAAAAGTAGGAATAATAACCACCTCCGCCCCATTCGCAATCAGTTCCCGGAATGCCTCCGGGAACGCCAGATCCCAGCATATCAGCAGCCCCACTTTCCCAATTGGCGTGTCGAATACCTCGTGCGGCGCTTCACCGGATGAGGTGAGGTGAGGCCGCTCGGGATGCCAGATGTTTTTCTTCCGGTAGGAGCCGAGAATGCTGCCGTCGTTGGAGATGAAGTATGCCGTGTTGTAGAGGCTGTAGCCTTCTTTCCTTTCGGCTTGGCTCTCGTGTCTTTCGACGATGCTCCCCGGGACGAGGCAGACATTCAGCTCCTTTGCGAGGGCTTGGTAGGCGGATAGGTACTTCTTATACTCGCCTGCCTGCTCGGCCCACAGGGGGTCCTCTGGAGCCCACCCGTTTAGATGGTATCTAGTCCGAATGAGTTAGAGTTCTTACGATGCCTCCTGAGTAAGGCAGACCAATGACTTACTCTGGTAGAACGGCTAGCTCGGCGCCTTGCGCGGCCGCATCCCGAATGTAATTGCATGCTCTGGCGTGGTTTTCTTCAATTGCGAGGTCCTGATGAATTCAGACGTTAGATCGAGCTTACGGGGGGACTCGGAGCGAATAAAATTCACGGTGCGCTCCAGATAGCAGTCACCGTGGTGCCCTTGGTAGTGACGTAACTTGCCTTGATGTGCCATTGGATCACCGCGACTCGACGGATTGGTGCCATTTCGGACGTTGTGGGTTGGGACACTCAATACGCGATTCTGAGAGTCTTTCGACGATATGAATCAGGGGGATGTACGCGATGGGTCGATGTACTTAGCTTTAAGGAAGTTGGAGAATCCGGCTGTTGGGGTAAGCTGTGGGGTTGAGCAACTCCATACCCCGCTTCGGGGTACCTCTGCCCTACGGAGTACTCAACCGTCAGTTACATCCAGTCGTCACCTTCGTAATTGCTGCCAACAAACAATCTCGCCTAGATGGCTATGCCGGTCGGCCAGCTGGTTATCCGATGCGAACATACTGAGAGTTGAAGCAACCTTTTGCCATGACCATCATTCAAACAGTGACTTGACTGGCGCCGAATAAGCTTCGAATGACTGATTTCAGGAGAAAAGACGTCTCATTATCATAATATTATTCGGTCTATCTAGCTTCATAAGTCATACGTATTAGTGACCGCTTACGCGGTCGTTCTTAAACAATATGTCGTAACTAGGCCATCGCTCCAGCCACCGAGAAAGTCGGCTTCTTGCTCACGCGATATACCAGCCTGTCGGTCCAGAAATGCGAAAAGACAGCATGAACTGTTGGAATTCCACCAAAGACAGTTCCTGCAATAGGAAAGCAGACGCGCTCCGCTAGCTGCGCAGGACTCCACCAGACCCGTTCTGAGAACCCTGCATCCGCCACGTTTGCTTCTTGCATATCTGTTTTCCGCGTGCGCACACAGAGTGCATGCCATGGCTCGTACAGGAAAATGCAGATATTCATTCCGATAAATGACGATGCGCGTAGGAGGTTGGTAAGGTCGAACGCCCACGCCATGGTTGGATGGAGGGAAGCTGGAGGCGTCAACAGAGTATAGATAGTAGAGAATAGCATGAGTATGATCAGATGGCAAGGAAGGAAGTGAGCTTCCCAGAGCAAATGTACCAGGGCAAGGTGCCTGGGCCGGAAGAACAGGCAGCGGCAATGAGAGCGAATGTAGCTGATGGTACGCCGTGCGGCAAAGCCCGAGTCAAGTGCACCCCACATATGCCTCAATGCCTGTCGATAACGGGCGCGGCAGGTATCCACCGACCGTCGCCAGCCTCGTCCAGTATCACTTGAGACGTTGCACTGGCTTGCGGGGACGTAGACCGGGCGAGTGATCACGTTGCCCGCAGTCTCAAAATAGCACTTGAGCATCATGTGCATGTCCTCTCCGATCGCAGTAGAATCACTGTCCCAGCCACCAATCCTCTCTGCCAGAGACAGCGGCAAAGAGTACACCGATGTCGGGATTGAAACGCACGTCCCAGGGTACGTGGTGGACAAGCCGGCGAAACCCCAAAGCAGATCTGCGCAACGGACCAGAACCGGGGTCTCGTGCGAGTTACGGTCAAAAATGATAGGGCAGCAATACAAAGTCCGATCTGCTTCTGAGATGTACGCATAATGTAGGCGCCGGATCTCTGTAAAGTAGTCCTGCCAGAAATGCGTATCGGCTACAACTCGGTTAGCGCCATAAATTGACCAGACAAAGGGACAACACGTACCATCCATAACAGTAACAATCACATCACAATGTCCCGAGTCCAGCTCTGCCCTGTGCACTTCCATAATGTGTCGGGCCGCAAAGGCCACATTTGAGCTCTTCCCTGCTATTTCCCCAGGTAAATTCGCAGGGTGGAAGGTAGCATGGATATGGCGGAAGGACGGTTCGAATGCTGATGCCAGCTTGGCTGCTTTTTCGGCGACCCCGGCTTCTTTCTGCTCCATTGCGAGGTATATCTGATTTGCAAGGTCCAATATTAGTTGCAGGAAGCCCGAATAGTCTCATTCAACCCACCTCATACTGTGTCCGTGCCCGTGGGTGGCTCGCTAGAACATCCAGCGTAGTCCGCAAAGTATGTAGGTCCTCACAATAGTTCGGAACAATTATCGCGTGAATGACCTCCAGTCCATCACAATCGTGAGCAATGTCGCTCATCAGGGGATCAGATACATCTGAATCCGTGTCTGTGAGCGTTGAACTGTCCGAGAGCCACTTATCTTTGTCCACAGAAATGCGAGGTTGCGCGACATTTCGCCGTTGCAGGGCCTCCTTTGTCTTCCGTGTGACACTGAAAAGGGCCCATGCTAGACGCGTGGTAAAGGCGAACATGCTGACATGGACAAGGACGGTGTATATGACAAACAACTGCTGGGCCAGGTTGAGATGGTGCGGCTGGCCTCCCGGAGAATCTTTTGGCGGTGATGGCAACGGGCCCTTCCATTTCCAAAAGGCGACTGCATCACTGGAGGTCAACCGAAGAAGTACAATCAACGCAATAATACTGAATCCAGGCAAGCAGCGTGATGCCCAATGGAAGACCATTTTGTGATAAGCCTGTTCAATAAATACCTGCTGCAGAGTCCTTCACCCCGCAGAGGGGGGAAACGAATCAGTTCCCTACGAGAGGCCATGGTATATAACCGTCAAGAAGCTAAGAAAAAGGGGCCTTGGACAAAATGGCCCTATTCCTCATGACCTCCACAGGGACACACCAAGGTAGCGGTGCGCTGGAAGCGTTGGAGTATATTGAGTATAACGGCCCGACGAATGGACCATTGACAACATCAGGATAAGCATCATGGCCCTATCATTCGACGGTTCAGCTCTAGGAGGCTGTATATGATGATCAGCAATAGAGACAAGGTTCGTTAGCTGTGGTAATCATTCGAATCTGATACGGGCACCAACGCGCCTGCGAACGTTCAGTGGGCTGTGATTTTCAGGCGGATTAGCAGAAGCACCGTATCAGGCTCTCTCGCTTGAGTCAGCAGGTCAAACCCCCTTTCCACGTGCCTGGCCAAACAGGAATGAGGTGTTAACCGTGAGCGGCAAGGACGCAAAAGCGGCTTCAGAGTCGGAGACTAGCAGAAGAAAGCGCCTTAGCAGTCCTCTGGGCGACAAAGATCGGGCTCTGTCCATGCTAGCAACGCTCGGATCAGCTGTGGACTCCCTTAAGCTTTGAAAGCCAATAAAAAGGCGGTGTCAGGAAGAGGTCAGTTTCAAACCGTCTTTCCAGCATAGCACGCTCTATGTGAGTCAGACAAAAGCCATGAGAATCCTTTGACAATCATCCCATGACCATTCGGAGTCTACCCCCGAAAGGGAGACCATCATTTCCTAGGCGCTGTGAAGTATTTTGGGCAGGCAACAGTGAACTCGACCCTGTGCAGTAGTGTCAAGTGGAGGAGTTGAAGCGCAATCGTCGCATACGAAGTAAAGAATGGCAGCCAAAGCAACGCCTGAGGCACACACATAACAGGCTTTACCCTTTTGGTAACTCGCACGGGCTACAAGAGAGGAATGGAGCCGGTCCACGTGTAGATCGCCACGCTGATTGGCTCGCTTGTGTATCTTAAGCCAATAGGCTCGAGCCAATGAGGAAGCAGCAAAGACCGCGTGGGCCAGTTGATGGATCAATTCAGTCCCTTGTCAGCTTCTTATTTCAACCCGTCGGCTTATCTTTACTCATCCAGCATGCTGATCGAGAGGGTAGAGGGTCACAGGAGGCTTGAGAAGATTAGGAAATGCACTCCATTCAGCCGAATGCTCGAGTCGGTCATGGTCCTAGTGAGTATATGGATTGACCCGTGGTTATGTCTTGACCCAAGACCCCGCGATAGACGCTCGCTTTCTTTCAGGAGTATCTCAGCTGCTCCGACTCAAGATGAAAACAACCCAAGTGCCTATGGCTAGATGTCCAATGACCTTCAAGCAAATATTCACATGCAGCCAAACTTGCCTTGATCTCTACTTACACATGTCGGCTGCCACAGACATGGCTAGACAAGAGTTTGACGCCCTCAGACTATGCTTCAATCACGGGGGTGCATGAAACTTAAGGAGTAAGCGAATTTAAACTGTGTGACCAGTCACGGTGCAATAGATTTAGCTGGGATTCAGGTCACTTACAGAAGAGCTCGACTGTCCTGTCTACTAACTGCTAGAAGCTCCTTGATCTCGGTTGCAAATGTGAAGGCAACGTTATCTCAACACGAGCTGATACTAGAGGGCTCTAAACGTCTATCCAAATATCTAACAGTGAGTGAGCGAATGTCTTCGGCAATTTGCATCTTCGATGATATAAACAAGCATAATTCTCCGGGTACCACTGGAGCCCAAGTCTACCCGAGCAGTAAATACGGCGCATATTGTGGTCGAAGAAGGAGTGGCGGCAACTCAATATTGGCCTTCCAAGACATAATATCTACAAAACTAATGAGAACACAGTCTCAAGTCTCCCTGATTACCCCGCTGATGGGCCACAATGCCGCAAAACACCTTGTTGGGATATGTATAGATGACCCTCGCCGGACCCGGGTCTTCCTTGGGTTTCTTCGAGTCAAACTTATAGTCGTGGCCATCAGGGAAAGTCGGGAACTCCAGGAGGTAGTGGTCATCCTTGCCCATGCCGTTCTGGCTGTGCTTCGGGGGACGGTCACAGTCGGCTTTACCGAACTTAATGGGCGTGCGACCCTTGATGAGCTTCCCATCCCCGTCGTAGCCGTTGGTGAACCAGTGCGGGTAGCTGCTACCAGTCTTGCCGTCGGAGAGAGGCGCGTGGTGAGAGTTGCTCTCGGCTTTGGCTTCATTGTAGAGAAGCCGTTTGTCTTCCCATTTGTTTGTCTTGGGATTCAGCTGTTGGTTGATGCAGGTCCAGGTCTATGGGATCATTTCAGTTATCCTCTCGAAGGCCTTTTCAAGGGACGCTTACCGCACGAGCGTCAAGGGGCGAGGGAGCAGCTAGAACAGACACGGCTGTGGCAGCCAGCAGGAAAAGGTTTTTGATTGCGACCATCTTGGACGTAGTCAGGACGATTGTGACGATGTCTTCCAATCTGGTTGCAGCAAGCGAGAGAAGCCAGCAGTTTTTATATCTGGCATTGCTCGTTCAAGACATGGGATTGTCCGGAAGATGCGTCTTTTGTCCTCTGCGCACCTCAGATGATTTTTGGTGGACACCCCTGTATGTAGAGGTAATTGTTGGGGCCAGAAGACGCCCCTTACAGGGTAGATCGGGCCTTGGACTGTCAAGTGGAGTGCGAGCTTTTGAAGTCAATGTAACATTGTAAGCTTAGAGACATGAGATGTTTTATCCTTGTGGTCAGTTACCTAATAGAGAGAGAAGGCATGACCGTAAGCTGATGGAGCGGATCTTTGACCCAAGCTTCATGCATGTCAGCTCTGAAGACTAGACCTGGATTGCAACATGTAAGAGCTGAAAAGCGTACTGCCTGACCCTTGCAGGTGAGACAGTGAGCATATTCAAAGGGACACAACATGTTGGAAATGCCTCGTTGTTGCCTGATTTCATCTTTTGGCCCCAAGTACATGTGCCATTTGAAACACGACCTGATGTCAGATTCCAAGTAGACACCGTCAGAACAAATTGCGCCTCCAAAGCACTGCAACAGGAATACATCTCTACTCATCTCTACTTTGATTTTCTTTTTCTGTTCTTTTTGCTTCTCTTGTCTCCTTGTTGTGGTTCATATCACGCACTCTGTCACCCACCGTGTCTTCTTGTTCCCCGCTTTCTCCTTTATCACACCCGCTAAGACCACCATCTTGAACTCCAGAGTAAAGGCAGCTACCATCTCACTATGTCTTCTCTCCATCTCGAATTAAAAGACGACGATCCATGGTTCATCGAGGAAAAAATTTTTAGAATCCTGCAGGACTACCTACAAGATCCCACCGCATCCCCTGCAGTCGCAGCTCAATCACTAGATCGACTGTTTCCTGCGAACCGTCCTGACGAGGATCAACCTGCAGACGAGCCCCGCGAGGAACCGGGAAGTTTTCTCTGGCACTTCTGGGGTGTGGTTCATGATGTGGCCCGGCAGATCCCCTACACCGCTCCTGAACAAGACAGGCTCGCAGAGCTGATCAAAGCCTTGAAAGGTCTATCTTCCCAGACCAAAACTGTCTACCTGACGGCATGGGACTATACCTTTGACTTGTGGGGAGATTTGCCGTTGTTAGGTCCCACGTTCAGGGAGATGTATGATTGTACGTATAGAATCATGCAAGCTGCTGCATCGTGATCTTCCTATTGACAGATTGATAGGTATGGTATTGGATGATAAGGAGGAGCGTGAACATTGGCAGAGCTTAAATGCTTATGCTGCTCGCTTGACTAAAGATGGCTCAGCTGATTTGATCCTCTTCGCGAAATTTGCAATCGAAGGAATGTTAGAAGAAGATTTAGAGCACCGACTCGCCGATAACGATCCCGGATCTATTCTGGAATGTAGAATAGCTGCGGCAGCGGAATGGGTCATACACTGCGGACAGAGACTTGTGGCCGAGGAAGATGAAGGGATTGGTATGGAAAATTGGCAGAGGTGTATGGAGAGGTTCAGCAGCGTCCCAGATAATGCTTCGATGAGTCGGCAGACTCGGGAAAGAGCTCAGAAGGCAAAGCAGGTTATGGAGTCTCTACACCGGAGATGAATATGTATTTTTACTGGAACTCGGCAGGAGATGTGTGTGTGCCATACGAGGTAGATCTGGAGATGCGATTGCGGCAAATGCTCACAAGATCCCACAACTATCTAAAAAAAAAAATGAAACACTCTATTTCCAGGAGAAATCTGCCCTGTTCACGTTTCTCCACGAATTCATATGAGGTCATTGTCTATCAGGCATCACAAGGTCGCGTGACCCACCGCTGCTAGTGACGCTGTCTCGGGATCGGGCGCCAAGAGAGAAACAAGGAACAAGACCCAAGAAAGACTGCGGCCAGACCTCGGGAACGCCGGCTGCATCTTATAAAGTGTAAACCTGAAGTTAACTCTGGAGGCCTGAACAGCAACATAAAATGGCGCCTCTAACAGCTCAGGAGATTATCGCTCATCCAGCATATGAGACTGTAGACTGGAAACTCCCTCCCACCACCTCGGGACGGGCCCTGGTGGCTCAGAACAGGCGCGGGGGCCCGATCAACCTGAACTACGAGATCCATGGCACGGGACCCGTGAAGCTAGTTGTCAGTATTTCATCGCTTTCGCGCGTGCAGTAATCCCGCTGCAAGTTATTCTCAGGAAAAGTACGATGCTAATTCCTATCAGTGGATCATGGGCCTAAATGCCGTCCTGAAAGACTGGAAGCGCCAAACTAAGTACTTCGGCCACCTCAACGGCTCGAAATACTCCTGCCTTGTCTTCGATAATCGCGGGGTAGGCCAATCCGACAAACCCACCTGCTTCTACTCCACAAGCGAGATGGCCCGCGATGTCGTGGACCTCGTCAGCTCGCTGGGCTGGATCGACCTGAAAGCTCCCGCGACACGCGCCATCCACGTCATCGGCGCCAGCATGGGCGGGATGATCGCCCAGGAAGTCGCAATGCTCATCCCGGACCGACTCGCCAGCCTGACGCTCTGCTGTACGGCTCCGCGACTCGTGCGCACAACGCCCTTTCTCGAGAACCTGCAGCAGCGCGCGAGCATGTTCATCCCGCGACATGTGGACGTGGAGATTGACCGCATCGCGGCGACGCTGTTTGCGAGTGAGTTTCTGGCGCAGCCGGATACGGAGAATGAGGATCCGGCGTTGAATTTTCCGACGAGGAGGGATCGCTTTGCGGCGGGGCATTTGAGGAAGAAGGCGGATACGGAGTCGTATACGCCCAAGGGGTTCTTGTTGCAGGTGACTGCTTGTTACTTTCATCATAAGTCTCCGGAGCAGTTGAGGGCTCTGGGGGATGCGGTGGGTAGGGAGCGGATCCTTATTTTGCATGGGACGGAGGATCGAATGCTTACGTTTCGTCATGGGGAGCTTTTGAAAGAGGAGATTGGGGAGGGGATTACATGGAAGGGTTTTGAAGGCGCCGGGCATATGCTGGGGTGGGAGACGGAGCATGAGGTGAATCAGTCGATACAGGAATTGGTGGACCAGTTTAGTTGAGGTTTGATTAGATCTATCGTATATATGCTGTCCTATACTCCAGAAGCTGAGCTTTTCCATCATTCTTAATTTAGTCCCTATGTGTTCTTTGTTTCAGGGATTGATGCAACGCAATCATAGAGAAAAGCAAAGAGGGTCTGTGCAATCTGCAGAGTCCTTATACTAACCAGAGAAAGCGAATTTTGAGATTGGATATGATCTTCTTTGTTTACCTGTTGTGATGCATTCGATAAATACGAGACAAAATAGTAGGGCTGTGTAACCACCAAGCCCCCTATCAGGCTATCAGTCACCTGCCGCAGGCGGCTGATGACAGCCTCTGATGATCCTCAACAGGCATGCTCATCTCATCAACTCACAGAACCTTTCATCTGACCTGTCACTACCGATCACTTGATAGTCTGACATTTTGAGCCTCCAAGTGGCATAAATACCGGGCTTCTTCCAACACCTGTCCTTGTCCATTACCACCTACAACTCTGTCAAAAATGGCAGAAGTCACAGATTCCAAGGAACTTTCTCTTCGCAAAGGCGATTACCGCCCAGCAGAACCTGACGATCTACGGGCTCCGTGCCCCGTTCTCAACTCGCTCGCAAACCACGGGATCATCGCACGCAATGGCCGCAACATCACCGCCGCCGAGTTCAAAGCTGCGCTACGCTACCTAGGCATGGGCTTCGATGTCACCGCAATCCTCGTCAACGGCGCATTCAAGGTTCACTCTGACGACCCGAAGAAAGGGGCCCGGCTCGGACTACGAGATGAAGACCAAGTCAACGAAGACGGCGTACCCGTGCTGAACCTCGACCAGGTCGGCCGACCTCACGCCGTGGAGCACGATGTTTCTGTAACCCGACAGGACCGCGCGCTAGGCGACTGTATGCGCATGAACCCCGACCTTCTGGAGCAATTCCTCGCGGCTCCAAAAACAGAGAGGGGTTTCAGCGCGTCGGCTTTCGGTAAGTATCGCAAAATTCGATACGACGAGCAGAAGAGAGACAACCCGGCCTTGGAGTTTGATAAGATCAATAACTTCAGTGGATGTGCGGAGCTGGGAGCGGTTCAGTGTATATTTGGTCGGGGCTTCCCGTATCGTGTGCCGGAGGAGTATATACAGGTGCTGTTTGGTGAGGAGCGTTTACCCATCGAGGAGGGATGGAAGCCGAGACGATTACCGCTGTTGTTGCCCGAGCTTGCGCCTGTGATTCTGAGGATTTCACATTTTGCGTCGCCTTTTTGAGATTACTATTGATTAGAATAAGCGGTGGGCAAGACTGAGCATTTGAGCGTAGTTATGCTGAGTAGCCATTGGCGTGCAATGAAGACTTAGCCTTCGCAGTCTGTTGCATGAATGAGTCTGACCGCTAATAGATTGATTTCCGGGGAATTTTTTCCTTTTCCCCGTCAGACATGTCCTGCGCTGATCACTTTTGTACTGGTGCATCGGATCAAGTCGTTATTTCGAAGACAACCCGTTTCTCCGATCTGCTGCGAAGTCGCTTGAGCTCAGCCACTTACCGAAGCTAGCGCGCCATGCTCAGGAATAAGGTAGCTCAAGTTGCTCAACCTAGTGCTCAGTTCTTGCCAGCAGTAACAGGGCAGTAAGGTACCGGCTAGGGGTACTTGGGAATGATTTGGCTTCCCTGGGCCTGTCGGAAAGTACCCAGTGATGCGGGCCGCAGCAGAACAATCTAACGAATAAACCTTTAATCTCAAAAAACTTTAGAGGTGGCTCCTACAATATGGAGAAGAGCATTTGTCTGCTCCAATGTCTGTAAAGAGAGTGATATTTCATGTAGACTCTAGGGACATACCTAGGTAGACTGAAACTGTTTGTGCGCTGTAAAGCGCAACAATAAATTACAGGTCAAAGCTTAATCTATTTAGAGTGCGTATTTGTGGTACCGAGAGACAAGTGCATCCCCCCCCACTTGAAACGTCCTAGGCAAACTGCAAAAGGCATGATGGAACTGAACTCCCAGGTCACAAATCAGAGTCAAGGTATTTTTATTTGTATTGAACGTAAATTACCGTCCCTGAGTTTTCACTGCTCTTAGGTGTTTCATCAGTATGTAGTGAAACTATCTTGAACGAGTTGTTATCAGTGGCTTGCATAGTGTATACCGCCTCTATTATGATGTCCATCAATCTATCAATAGCAGGATTGATATTACCCAGGGTGATCAACATCATGACAGCAGCCTGCAGGTATTAGCGTGGTGATATATGCACAAATCCTTGTATGGCCATGCCGAGAGCACAGCCGCTATCCAAGCGGTGCAGCCAAAGACCGTAACGATACATTCCTCAGGCATGCCAGATGGTCCAGTCCGGCCGGTCGCAGCCATCACAGTGCTGACCCGATGGTCGGGACTGGCCATCCCTCGGCCGCTACCGCTACTGGTAGGTGTCTGCACTGAACAGTCACCTACGGAGTGCTTCTCTACCTTAGGGGAACATGGAACAGAATAATACACCAAGCTTGCTCCGTACTGGATTTGTTCAAGTCTGGAATCTGGATTTGACTCCGCAGATCCACTTAAATCAACGCCCCCAGTGAGCGATTAATTAATAAATTATTCGGTTCCGTCGTCATGTTAGTTAGCATTTATTTTGATTTTTGATAGGCAAAATTTCGCACTCCCCGTCTAAACCTATTCCTGAACCAACCCCGGTCTATCGCAATTTTCTCCTTAGTCTTACGACTGGCCATTGCCATTTCTTCTCCGAATTTCCTTTCCACTTCTCTTCTTCCCAAGTTCTACTCTTTTCTATACCTCTGAGTACTGAGATTGGTTTTCTTATGCCTTTTCTTGCCTCTGGGGCCACCACAATTCTCAATTCAGTTCTGCCTGGTTGTCCTGCTCCACAATGTTCTTGGCTTTTATGACTGCTTGTCTTCTCCTGAACTACTACTTTCCAGTGACTCGAGGCTAACACTGGCTGGTTCTGGGAGTTGTTCTGCGCCCATAACTTGCGCGCAGCTTCGGAGATTTGCAGTGACGGAATTCGTGCGGTAGATCTCTCGTGTGGCGGCGGATCAACGTCCTTTCAACCCCAACCCCTCCTCGAAGAACATTACCCCGTTTCTTCGTTTTCAGGGAGTCTCGTCGACGGCTTATTTGACCGCAGAGGTTTCTTCGTGGACAGGATCGGGTGGTCTCTGCGAGACGCCCGCTGTCCTCCAGTTCCTGCCACAATGTATACTCCGGTGCTTCGGCGGTTGGCTTCGATGAAGTCCCGCATTCCGCTGATAAGCGGGCTTCATCTCAACTTTATCTCAGTGCATTACATCTACATCATCGCCATGACACTGATCACTTCCATTATGCTGTATCCAGGAGGTGATCTTGCCTATATTGACATCCTCTTCTTCTGTTCCGGCGCGGCAACTCAAAGCGGTCTCAATACGGTAGATTTCAACAAGTTAAAAACGTACCAGCAGGTGATCCTCTACTTCAGTTCCATGCTCACGACGCCGATTTTCATCCACTCCGTCCTCGTCTTCATCCGGCTGTATTGGTTCGAGAAGCGGTTTCAACATATCGTGCAGGATACTCGAACGATGCGTTCTACCAGAACGAGAATGCGAACACTGAGCCGCGATAAGGATGCAACTTCGTTGGGAAGGGAGGAAGCTGGTATTAGTTCTCGCCCGATTGTTGTGCTGCGCAATAATACCCAGGGATCCAATGAAAGAGGCCGCGAGGCGGCTGCTGGAACCCCCGAGTATGGATCGACTCCAGGCTCGCCTTCCCGATTGGATAGGTCGGACAGTTCGGAGGTTCAGACAGGTGGTCCGAATAGCACCTTAGGGCTCGGCTTGGGCAGCCTTCGGGTGCCGACGCAGTTGGATCCGGAGCATCACATTGCTTTCCTGGAGAATCAACGGAAGAATAAGGGGGCATTGCGCATTCCCAGCCCTCGGGAGTACGACCGTGGCGGTGTTCCCGAGGTCCTGGAGGAAGCAGATGATGAAGGCGAGGGATCCAAGCGGACGCATAGCAGCGAATCTGACGACGAGAGCTCTCGGAATTCGGAGGAGTCCGACCAAGTTGGACCGCTGGAAGGGCCGCACATCACCATCAACGAACCGGACATACAGCAGACGAGAACCAGAAATTCGACGTTCCCCCGTCTAGACACACGTCCCACTTTTCGGGACACGAAAGATCTGAACGATACATCAGCCCTGGAGCGTTCAAGGTCACGACGCCCTACTCTTAGCAATCTTGTTCGCTCCTTGACCCAAGAACGGGAGCGTACAACACTTCCATATCTCAGCTGGAACGCTACTGTTGCACGAAATTCTAACTTCGTTGATTTGACCGAAGAGCAGCGTGATGAGCTGGGAGGCATCGAATATCGAGCCTTGAAGACTCTGGCCATTGTACTCACTTCTTATTATCTCTTTTTCCACATCCTGGGAATGGTCTGCCTCGTCGGTTGGATCATGACCACTCGCTGGGGTCAGGTCGTTGAGCAAATCGGACAAGGTCGTCCTTGGTGGGGCATCTTCACCGCGGGATCTGCTTTCAACGACGTCGGCTTCACGCTGACCCCGGACTCCATGACCTCGTTCCAGACAGCTATATTTCCTCTTCTCCTCATGACTTTTCTTATCATTATTGGCAACACCGGCTTTCCCTGTATGCTCCGGTTGATCATCTGGGTTCTGTCGAAAATTGTCCCACGCGAGAGCGCCGTCTGGGAGGAGCTCAAGTTTCTATTGGATCACCCTCGCCGATGCTTTACCTTACTTTTCCCGCGAAACGCGACCTGGTGGCTGTTCGCCATCCTCGTGGCGCTGAACGGGATTGACTTGATCTTCTTTATTATCCTCGACTTGAACGATCCGACTGTTACCTCTTTGTCACCCGGCATTCGGGTACTCGACGGCCTTTTCCAAGCAGCATCCACGCGGACTGCTGGATTTGGCGTGGTGAGCGTAGCGGACCTTCACCCTGCAATACAGGTCTCCTACATGATTATGATGTATATTTCGGTTTTCCCCATCGCCATTTCCATGCGAAGAACCAATGTCTACGAGGAGAAGAGTCTCGGCATTTATGCGGGGGATGACGAAGACGAACCACAGGCCCCCCCAAGTTACATCGGGTTCCATTTAAGAAGGCAGCTGAGTTTTGACCTGTGGTATGTCTTTCTCGGGCTGTTCATAATTGCCATCGTGGAGGGCAGCCGCCTACAGTCAAATACCGACTATGCTTTCCAGATGTGGGCAGTGCTCTTCGAGATTGTTTCCGCGTATGGTACCGTTGGCCTGTCGTTCGGATATCCAGGTGTCAACACGTCTTTCAGTGGCCAGTTCAAGGTTTTGTCAAAGCTCATTATCATTGCAATGCAAATCCGTGGTCGACACCGTGGTCTCCCATACGCCCTCGACCGTGCAATCTTGCTTCCATCGGAATCTCTCAAGGACAAGGATCTGCAGGATGCAGAGAGACGAATGCGTCGGCGGGTCTCCAACCTCAGCGCCATGTCTGGGATGGACCGTACTCATTCGCAAGCGCGGACAGAGAATGGTGTCGCAACAGGCGCCGAGGATAAGGACAGGGGTGCAGCGCAATGGACAAATGGGGACAATATCATCCGCCGGCACTCGACAATGCGGTCGCAAAAATCCCAGAGATCCCAGCGGTAGGAGTTTGTCATTTGAACGAGGGATAGACCAGTGCTCTTTAATTATATGGGTTGCCTGACACGTTCCAGGTGTCTGGTGCCTTACTGTTGTGGTTGCACATATTATTCGAAGTCTTCACATATATATGAGGGATTTGTTTATTGAGCGTCTGTTATTTGGAGAGGCCTTATTATTGTTGTTTCGATATCGTCACGGCGGGAGATCCTGTCAATAAATAGATATGGTTGATCACTTACCTTTATATTAAAAGCAACACAGCTGGCTGTTCATAATCATGAATTGTTCCATGTTAAAGCTCCGAGACATCACTACACATTGATTAGGGCAAAATAGTATGTTACAAGGATCTGCCAGTCTTCTGAAACAACTGAGACAGAAATTGAGATCGTCCAAGGCTAGCCCAGAATTGTATATGAATAGTCGGTGGACCACTCCAGGCAGCAACCATTGAACTGAATCTCAAGATATGAAATCTGCAAAGGACTTTACTCGACTTTCTCTGCCTGTGTAATTTCTGTCCTTGACTTTGAAATTGGCTGACATCGAACGCCAAAATTTGCAAGTTGCACTGCATGACGCAAACGGTGCTCCGTACCTGTATGTATACACATCCTTAACAATAGTAGAAGTCAACTCCAAGGCGAGACATTTTCCGTTCCCAGTTACACCATGAGGGGGCCTGCAAGGGCGAGTAAAACTATCATCAATATCTACTAAAGATTCGTTGGAATTACGACATGAATGTTATATAGGGTATGGTGTATTATGATCTTATAGCGCCGCTTTGCAGTAATCTTTTGATGTTGACTGGGTGATTGCTTACCACAGAAAGGGCTTGTTAGTCTTGGCGGAAGCTTCGCTTTCACTCTCGCCCTTGCCTCGCCCTTGCCACAATACAGAACACTACCGTAGTACCTCGGTTTTGATGAGCAGTCCGTCGAACAATTACTTTGTTACTTTCTAACTGACGACGCCTTTTTTGGGTGGAGCCGACTTCTGGATTTGGTGTCTTGCAAAAAGCAAGAATACAGTGCTGTATGAAATTTACTTATTGTCAGGTACCATGCCTGATATGGAAGCCGTGTCTGTTTTAGGTCTAGCGTCAGGGACCACAGTGCATACATTGCTTGTTTCAGACAGTTCCCACGTCTGGTGGACACTTTTGGCTCTCTGTACGGAGTACACCTTATTTGGTTGATATAAGACTGAAAAGAAAACATGAAAGTGATCCCTGAAAGACTTCATAATTGGGCCAAGTGTACAAGACTGCTTGACTCGATCCTAGATCACAGATTGTGCAATGTAGCGCATCTCGTGCTGCTGCATGCAGCCGTCCATGCCGGCTTCCTAATTGGGATATGATCGGTGGCAGCTTCTCATGTTGTGCATGACGACATCCCTCGCTTCCTCGCAGCGTCTTTCGTGACACTCCACCTCTTCCATAGCCAACTCCATCCATTATACACTAGCTCAGCACTGTTCGAATTCAATTACTGATATACATTGCGTTCTGACTCCCCGATAATCGTGTACTCGCAATAAATTCGCAGCATATGGCTGAAAAGCCGTACACAGGCACCGCCGACGACTACAGTCGATATGGCGGCGTCTCCACGCAGGTCGCTCATTTCGGAGTGGATGAGCACCAAGCGTCAAAGCCTGCTTCATTCGGCGTTCAAGATAATTTTTCGTCTGAGGCCTCCAAGCCGTGGTGGAACCCTCACGGTTGGTCGCTGCGCACGAAGCTCATTGCGGGCGCAGTGATTGTCGTAGCTCTTATCGCTGCTATCGTAGGGGCTGTGGAGGGAACGAGGGCCAATCGGTATCCCGACTATTCAAGGCTTGACTATAGATTGTTGGATACGTATTCAGGGCCGACGTTTCTGGACAAGTTCAATTATTTTTCGGATAAGGATCCTACGAATGGATTCGTGCAGTAAGTGTTCCCTTCTGCTCTCTACCTTGGGGAGCTTGGATTGATTCTCGGCCAAGATATGTGGATAGGATCACAGCTGGAAAGCTGAATTTGACCTATGCTACGGAATCCTCTGTCGTTCTAAGTGTAGACACATCTAAAGAGTCTCCCAGCAATGGCAGACGGTCTGTTCGACTGGAGTCGAAGAAGTCTTACGACACTGGTCTTTTCATCTTTGATATCGTCCATACGCCTTATGGCTGCGGGACATGGCCCGCCCTGTGGCTCAGTGATACGTACAATTGGCCATTGAACGGCGAGATTGACGTTGTGGAGGCGAACAACGGAGGCACTGAAGGGAATGGGGTCACTCTGCATACGACACCCGGTTGTGACATGCAGGCCAAACGGAAGCAGACAGGGCATGCGCTGTACCACCAGTGTGACAATAGCACGCATGGCAATGCGGGCTGTGGCGTCCAAGCTCCACCTGCCTCTTATGGGCCCGAGTTCAATGACAACGGGGGAGGTGTAAGTCTTTCTGTCCGGGGCGGTTTCTTTTCCCCATGCTAAGAAAATCAGGTTTATGCTCTGGAGCTCCGCACTGCTGGCATCCGAGCTTGGTTTTTCCCTCGAGGTTCGATCCCGAACGACGTTTCAGATAACATCCCGGATCCATCAACCTGGGGAACTGCCTTGGCCGACTTTCCTAACACCAACTGCGATATTGGGTCCCATTTCAGCAACCAGAGTATCATCGCCAATATTGATCTCTGTGGCCAGCTGGGCGCGCAGCCTCAGTTCTACACTCAGTTATACAACTGTCCGGGCACGTGTAGCAGTTTTGTTGCGCGCAGTCCTGCCAATCTTACCGAGGCTTACTGGGAGTTTAAAAGTTTCAAGGTCTATCAGGCTCAGTAGTGTGGCGTTTTCTGCATTTTCACGGCGTTTGAAACAATGGTTGGTGGTGATTTGAGTCTATGGCAGTTCATGTCCCTTTTCACGAATAATGGCGTTCATTCAGGCTTTGGGTAGCCACGTAATCCCCTGTCATGCAAGTCGACGAATTGTATAGATTGTGTTGAAATGCGTTTGTCTCTTAGATTCCTGACAATGCCACGACAAGTTCTATGATATTCCTTGGCTCGGCATATTCACCAGATATTGCTAAGTTGAGATATTAATAGTGGTGTAGATGAGATCATCAGCTGCGATAGCGCTATCTAAATCTGTCTTGGATTGATCCAGCCGGCATTTGCACGTAATTCATCAACTGCGTAGCACCCATGTCTGATGTAGCTAGGTAGCATACAAAGTATGACTACACATCTGAGTTCAAAGTGCTGCGGTAAACTGGAGATTTGCATGGAATCATATTGGATATTTATAGGTCACTCGGATTTGTGATATGTTTCTCTCGGCATCATACCTATGGCCAGACTAGTAAGTACAATGGGATTAAATCACCAAGCATGTGACTTGATCTTGAATGAATACGATGGAGTCATATCATTCTTGATGGGGTAGAGATCCCCTCCTCCAAACTTCATATCCCAGGCATAGTACTCGACGTTCACCTCCTCGCGGGAAATGTCCATCGTGACGAACCCATTAGCAGCAGACTGCGAGTTCGCCCCCAGCCACTTGGTGTAAGGGGCCCAGCGGCAACCCGTAGTTACAGTCCCCAGCCTGGGGATACCCCGCGCCGCCGGCGAGAATAAAGTTCGTGTTATTATTGTAGAAGTGCGCGAGACAGTGGTCGTGGCCGTTTTTGAGGAGGACGCCGCCGTGTTTCTCGACGACGGCGATCTGCGGCGCGACGTCGGTGTTGTTCGTCGCTGCGGACATTTACCCGTGGTGGAGCTGGAGGAATTTCCATTCGGCTTTGGAGGCCGCGAAGGTCTGCTCCAGGAACGCGACCTGCGTGGCCCGCTCGGCGTGGCATTGCTTCGTGTAGGAGTTTTGGTAGACGGATGTGCTGGCCTGGTACTTTTCGACGAAGCAGTCCGAGTCCAAGTCCACGACTACAAACGTCGCGATCCAGTCTGCGCCGTGTAGGACGTAGGTGTAGTATGGCCGGCCTGTGGTGCCGAAGTACCAGCGTGCTGTCGCGTTGGAGACGGCGGGGATCGCCCGGGTCACAGTCGTTCTGGACCTCTCGGGGGATGGTGATGTTGTTGGCGATCAGACGGGGCATGACTCCATTACAGAATGATAGGGGAGCGGGTCTCCAGCCTGTCCAGCCAAAATCTTGTATATTGTTAACATGCATGAATTCGATTGCGGTACATGGTGCCGTAGTGTCATACCACCGATGACACCAACGTCATTTTGGTAGGAGCAGAGGAGGCCAGGATGGTTGAGACTAGGCTAGCCAGAGTGAGAGTCATCTTCTTGAAGTTTGCCATGACGATGGATGTGAGATGACTGAGAAGAGATAAGAGCGGTGCAGATGTGTAGAATAACTGCGAGATGGCGACTGCACAAGGAATACATTTCATATCACGGCGGGATCACCAGTCGAACGACATCCACGAGGCCCCTGCGGGGAACTAGGCAGCGCTGCTATCATCGCGATAATTTACCGAAGCTCATCCCATTTGAAATTTGATGGGATACCCAATGCGAATGGGAAGTAACTTCCCCTTTGTTGTGGGAGTAGTTAACCTTCGACGGACGCAGCCATTGTTAAACCTCAATGAGCTTGGCAAAGCTTAGAACGGGGTCGAAGAACACTGTTGCCTGTTGGTGTACAGGAGTATATTACTGCAGGAACCGAAGTGCGGGAAATAGTGCCGGGTTGGAAAAAGCTTGATCTTTGGAGACGGCAGCGTTGGCGTAAGAGTGCTGCAATATCGTGCTCTGACTGCTCGAGTCCAGTGCCTTGGTAACATACTATCTTACCGTGAGATTTGAGAAAAGGATAAAGCTAACGGCTGGAATGAACAGATTGGAGATTTGATATTTGCGTACGCCTTGGTATCAATGTTCACTTTCCCGTCGGGCCTTGAGGATTGCCATCTCTGCTAGATGATAGAGGTCGCCCATAAACTCTTCCACAAGGCGGACCTGGGAGGTAAATGTGGTTGGCGTCTGCCTCCATATATGCTTCCCAATATGTCCAAGTACTACTCTCATCAAAGATAAGTCAGTTTCGCTTCGGTCCTCCAGAGGACACATCAGGATATTGGAGAAAAGGTGGATGGCAGATGTGGATAGCTCTGGTAAGCAAAACCTTTCAGAGATATTAGTATCGGGAACATTGATTCAAACATATGATTGGTCGCCTACAAGAGAAATTGTCCCTCGCTTTGTGGATCCGTTTCCAGGAACTTTCGTAACACAGACCGACTGGCTGCTACGCTGAGGGCAAGGCTCGAGCCCGCCGCGCGGGTGTCCTGGTTCCGAACCCAGGCAGTGCACCGGCTGCTTGTCTGATGGATGGCAGCCATGCAGTAGTAGTACTGCATTTCAAAAAGGAAATCGGCCATGCGATTTTCGTTCTGTCTAGGTAGGCCCGAGAACGTGGGCACTGAAGCCCGCCATTCGTCCAACGCGATGTCCAGGCTGCGAATGGTAGCTAGGAGATCCGCATCGCTTTGGCGTTGGGCGGAGAAGGAGTATAGGCCATGATAGACCTTCGACTGGACTAGAGACAGGCGAATGAGGGTGAGAAACATACTGTGGTTGTGTTGATGATAGAAAGGTTGCAAGCTTTCCAGCGGGCCAGTCACCGTCTGCATTCGAGGAAGCGTTAGATCGCAATTCGTCACGTCGATAAAGGGCTGAAGGCCTGTGCGCAAGCTGAATATCTTGTCGAGGGTGAAACAGATCCAAAAAAGATTCCTGACGTGCATTTTTGCACCCAGAGTACCGCTCTCTATATCCTCGGGGTAGACGTTGCCTTTTAGGTGAAAGACGAAGCGTGTGGCCGTGGACAACATAAGCTCTATACTAAGCATATCTCCAGATATGGCCTGACAGCAGAGGCACTTTTTCTCAAAATGTTAGCTATGTATAAAATCAAGACCCCCATACCCAGGTGAGTAATTGAAGTAGAACGATGGTCTTACCAGCATGGTCAGTGCCTGCAACCCGTCCAATGTTACAGACTCGTTGAGCATCTCTGGTAACAGATCTTGAGCCTCGCGGGCATATTCATCGGCAGTCACGATCTTGTCAACATGCGGTTGACCAGCAAAGAATGAACTCAGGGCCATAAAGGCAAATATACATACCCTGGCGCTGGAAAGCCCAGGCGAGATGTCTGACAATTCATTTTCGTAGGCTGCTCGGATAGTGTACTCAAAACATGTTCGGTTAAGAAGAGGCAAGAACTGGCCGCAAATTGACTTTTCAAAAGCCTCTATCTGTTCGAAAAGAAGCGATTTATCCGGCAGTGATAATCGTCGGTCGCCCTCGGTACGTTTCTTAGCTAACCGCGGCCAGGTGATAGGCCTCATGCTGCAATATCGGTCTAGAGATCCGTCCTCGCCGGTACGAGCTCGAATCCATTCCAACCCGCTTGGAGAGAAGAAAGGCAAGCCATTGAATGCACAAATATTCCCGAGAGTCTGTCCAGCAAGGCATATATCGGTACCAAAACCTTGGGGCGCCACAGCCTGGGGACCGCACTCTGGAAAGGGTACTTCAGGCAGAAGTTTTCTTTCTTTAATCCAAGCAATGGGTAATGTTAGTATAGTTAAAACACTCAATGTTGGGGTAGATATGAGTTGTGTTCAATACAGACATACCGTGTCTCATATGCTTACTTGCATGCGGGGAAGGCGAACTGCTGCTGGAAAATCGAGTCAATACGGATCACTATCGATGTAACATAACTGTCAGGTAGGAATAGAAATGGGATATAAGAAAAGCCAGGGTTTCATACTTATCACTCCGAGTTTGGCGTGAGCATGAGCGCGAGGAATCTCGGTTGCGCGTGAAGGTACAGGGGATGTTATGATGGTAGCACCAGTCACACTGGGGCGTTGCGCGGTCACATTTGATCTAGATGAAAAATGGGATACCAGATCCCACTGCTTAGAAGGATATCTAGACTATTCAACCCGTAGTCGGGGGCAGACCTTCTTGATGCTGCAGGAGTCGCAAGCATATGTACGTCGGGTACGGCGTGGGCGGTTGGCGCCATCATTGCCATTCACCCTTTGAATGGGTATCGCCCTTGCGGGATGATTCATATTGTTTCGACCAGTAACTATATCCCAGGGGTATGGTCACATTCCATCTAAGCAGGACAAGTACCCGCAATGATGCTACCTCTGTCACTCTTCGACCAGTGGAAAACAACCGCATCTGAGAAGTGTGTTGGTTTCCTCCTCAGCCAAGTTCATCACAGCTTGGAAAATCAGCAAGGTCCAATTACTCAACAACGATGGTTTATTTAGCGCACTTACAGATTGAGGTACGTCCATCGCTCAGCTTTGCTCAGTACGCCGGGAAGACGAGGAAGCGGAACCCGCTTAATCATCGGCTTCTGAGATAGATGATCGACTGATCGGACAGTAATGGTTGGACAGTGTGGGTCCTAGATTAGCAACGTGCGTATTCCCGAGTATCCAGAAGAGATGGTGGACAGTTCTAGGCGTCGGGACCGGGAGAAGACATAAATTTCGTCCCGACCGCCGAACGATCTATTGATGATTTACCCGACCCCAGAAGCTGCATCTTTATGCTCATACTCCAGTTGGCGTCGGGGTTATCGTGGGAACGCGCTGAGTCAGCGGAGTTGTGGCAGTGCCAAGCATTTACTAGATCCCCATCCAACTACTTTGTGTACTCGACTACCAGACCAATGTGCAAGGTGCAAAGTCTATCAGGCAATAGTACATCGTTAAACCCTGGGTGCTCTGGGTCCGATTGGAAACTGCGCCTCTCGGTCCCGGTACTCTATATCTCCGATTTGACCTACAATTGGGCCCGAAATGGATGCAGGACGGACTATCACCCTCGCGGTGCCACCTGTGTACCCGTGGGATGACTTCATATCCCTAATTCTCGGAGAAAATGAAGGTGAAAATGTCCGTTGGACTTGTCGGAAGGGTAGCTTCCGGACGAAGAAAGGCGAACGGCCGTGACATTATCATAATAATAGTCAACTACATCCCCCGCTCAAGGCCTGGGAGATTGATATTCGACAAGGAATTGAAACAGAAATACTGGCTAGTTTATCGGTTCTGATTGCAATCAATACTTTTTTCCTATTCCTTCGCCTTCCTAGGTGTATCAGCGGTCAAGCACGACCATATCATGAGCGCCCCCAGTCAGGACAAGTACTTACTTGAGGATCCTGGATCTCAAGATGAGGAAACCACTTACGAATCTACAGTCAGATCTCCCATGGACCTTATCAGACCAGATGAGACAGAGAATCTGAGGCGGATTGCCACCCAGCAGTCGGAGAAGTCGCGCAGACGGTCAGAGGCAGGCGCCCCAGATGTGCATACCACGCCCGCTGTAGCGGAGGATGACCCTGCGTTGGATCCGCAGTCAGTGGAATTCAATCTGGAAAAGTGGCTCAGAACTATCGTGGCAGACGCCGAAGGGAGAGGTCTTTCGCCTCCACAGGCCGGGATTGTCTTCAAACAGTTGAATGTCTCTGGATCTGGGGCCGCCCTTCAGCTACAGGACACGGTTGGTTCGACCTTGGCGTCGCCCTTTCGACTCCCGGAACTGCTTCGCCAGAGGCATTCTCCGTCTCGACTGATCCTCAAGTCCTTCAATGGCCTGATGAAGAGTGGCGAGCTGTTGCTGGTGCTTGGGCGTCCAGGAGCAGGTTGCAGCACCTTCCTCAAGACACTCTGCGGCGAGACTCATGGACTTGACGTTGATCCGACAAGTGTCCTACATTACAACGGTACCGATGTCTTCTGAACTATTCCCTGCTCCTATTCCTCCTCACTAACGGATCTTTGAAGGCGTCTCTCAAGCACGCATGATGAAAGAGTTCAAAGGCGAAGTTGTCTATAACCAGGAGGTAGGCCTGCAGAAATCGTGCTCGCACATGCGCTTGCGCTAACATCCACTGTTCTTCCTTGCAGGTAGATAAGCACTTCCCCCATCTTACTGTGGGACAAACACTCGAGTTTGCAGCCGCCGCTCGCACTCCCTCACACCGGTTCCGCGGTATGTCCCGGGACGAGCATGCCAAGTACGCAGCACAGGTAATTATGGCGGTATTTGGCCTGAGCCATACCTATAACACGAAAGTTGGAAATGACTTTGTTCGCGGAATCTCCGGAGGCGAACGCAAACGAGTCTCGATAGGTATGTTCCAGTCTGTGTCTGCTCCCTTTCCCAGAGGCACCGCTAGTGTGCTAACTTTCGAGTGAAGCGGAAATGGCTCTTGCTGCTACGCCTCTCGCAGCTTGGGATAATTCCACTCGTGGACTGGACTCGGCCACCGCTCTCAAGTTCATAGAGTCTCTCCGACTACTGGCCGACCTTGCAGGAACTGCGCATGCCGTCGCAATCTATCAGGCCAGTCAAAGTATATATGACCTCTTTGACAATGTCACCGTCCTCTATGAAGGGCGTCAAATCTTCTTCGGGCCAACGTCCGTCGCAAAGAGCTTTTTTGAACGGCAAGGCTGGGAATGCCCTCCTCGACAAACGACAGGCGACTTTCTCACCTCAATCACGAATCCGCAGGAACGACGCCCCCGCGCTGGTATGGAGAAGATCGTTCCCCATACACCAGAGGATTTTGAGAAGTACTGGCTCCAGTCACCAGAGTTTCAGCGTCTACGGGAGCAAATTGAGGAATTTGAGACCTCACATCCCCCAGGCGACGATGAGAAAGCTGCCACTCACTTTCGAAAGAGGAAGCAGGACGTGCAGTCCAAAAACAGCCGGCCAGGATCACCGTACCTGATCAGCGTACCAATGCAGATCAAGTTGAACACGCGACGAGCATACCAACGATTGTGGAACGACATCTCCTCGACCCTATCAACGGTGATCGGTAATATTGTCATGGCCCTCATTATCGGTTCCGTTTTTTATGGATCCCCCGACACTACAGCAGGCTTGCCATCACGGGGCGCAACGTTGTTTTTCGCAGTCTTATTGAATGCATTGACAGCGATGTCGGAAATCAACAGTCTGTATTCCCAACGCCCAATTGTTGAGAAGCAGGTGTCCTACGCATTTTATCATCCTTCAACAGAGGCAATTGCCGGAGTGATCAGTGACATTCCAGTTAAATTTATCCTTGCTGTGGTCTTCAACATCATCCTATACTTTCTAGCAAACCTTCGCAGGGAGGCATCACAGTTCTTCATCTACTTCCTAATCACTTTCATCATCATGTTTGTCATGAGTGCGGTTTTCCGGACCATGGCTGCGGTGACAAAAACAGCTTCACAGGCAATGGGCCTCGCTGGCGTGTTGATCCTTGCGCTGATTGTCTACACCGGCTATGTCCTTCCAGTGCCCTCAATGCATCCTTGGTTTGAATGGATCCATTATATCAATCCAATCTACTATGCCTTTGAGATCTTGATTGCAAATGAGTTCCATGGCCGTGATTTCCCATGCGCCAGCTTTGTGCCAGCTTACGCAGACCTCTCTGGTGACAGCTTCTCTTGTTCTGCTTCTGGCTCTGTAGCTGGCCAGACCACTGTGAGTGGTGACCGCTATATCTTCTACAACTTCAAGTATAGCTACGATCACGTTTGGCGGAATTTCGGAATCCTGATTGCCTTTCTCATTGGCTTTATGTCCATCTACTTTCTGGCTTCAGAGCTGAATTCGTCCACCACCAGTACCGCTGAGGCATTGGTCTTCCGGCGCAATCATCAGCCGGAGCATATGCGCGCAGAAAATGTCAAATCCACTTCAGATGAAGAGAGTGGCGTCGAGATGGGTTCCGTTAAACCTGCGCATGACACAACCACGGGCGCACTGACTCTGCCACCACAGCAAGATATATTCACGTGGCGTGATGTTTGCTATGATATCGAGATCAAAGGGGAACCACGACGCCTTCTTGATCATGTTTCCGGCTGGGTTAAACCTGGAACTCTAACCGCATTGATGGGTGTAAGCGGAGCAGGTAAAACTACCCTGCTTGATGTCCTGGCGCACCGAACCAGTATGGGTGTCATTACCGGGGATATGTTCGTTAATGGAAATCCCTTGGACACGAGCTTCCAGAGAAAGACGGGATATGTTCAACAGCAAGATCTCCATCTTGAAACCGCTACTGTGCGGGAATCATTGCGTTTCAGTGCCCTACTGCGTCAACCACCTACGGTCTCAATCCAGGAGAAATATGACTATGTCGAAGACGTAATTCGCATGCTGAAAATGGAGGAATTCGCTGAAGCCATTGTTGGAGTCCCCGGCGAAGGATTGAACGTCGAACAGCGCAAGTTACTGACCATCGGCGTGGAACTTGCTGCAAAACCGAAGCTACTTCTTTTCCTCGACGAGCCGACAAGGTAAGCAGATAACGGCGTCTCATACTTCAATGAATTCGTCTGAGCTAATGTTTGAATTAGTGGCCTAGATTCGCAGAGTTCATGGGCTATTTGCTCATTCCTGCGTAGATTAGCTGATAGCGGGCAAGCCATTCTCTGTACCATCCACCAGCCAAGCGCCATTCTCTTTCAAGAGTTCGATCAGCTACTGTTTCTTGCCAAAGGTGGCAAGACTGTCTATTTTGGTCCTGTGGGGGACAACTCTCGCACCCTACTTGACTACTTCGAGTCAAACGGGGGACGGAAATGCGGCGAATTAGAGAACCCTGCGGAGTACATGATCGAAGTCGTCAATGCCAGAACCAACGACAAAGGACAGGATTGGTTTGATGTTTGGAACCAGAGTCCTGAGAGCCGGGCGGTCCAGGAAGAAATTGAACGCATCCACAAAGAAAGGAAATCCGCTCACCAAGAGGACGATGATCAGGCGCACACCGAATTTGCGATGCCTTTCTGGTTTCAGTTGTACGTCGTTTCGCGTCGTGTCTTCCAGCAGTACTGGCGAATGCCGGAATACATCGCCTCCAAATGGGGTCTGGCTATCATGGCTGGCTTGTTCATCGGCTTCTCCTTCTTCGATGCCAAAACATCGCTAGCGGGCATGCAGACAGTCCTTTACTCCTTATTCATGGTTTGCTCTATCTTTGCATCTCTTGTTCAGCAGGTAAGAACCAGATAAACACGTCCCACTGCGGATACCATGATATTGACTTCCTTTCTAGATTATGCCCCTATTTGTCACCCAACGATCATTATACGAAGTGCGCGAACGACCCAGCAAGGCGTACTCATGGAAGGCCTTCTTGATTGCCAATATCGTGGTGGAACTCCCATATCAGATCGTCATGGGGATTCTCACCTTTGCCTGCTACTATTTCCCCGTTGTGGGCGCCAGTCAATCACCTGAGCGGCAGGGACTGGTTCTTCTTTACTGCATCCAATTCTACGTTTACGCCAGCACCTTCGCCCACATGGTGATTGCAGCAATCCCAGACACGGAAACTGCCAGCCCGGTCGTCGTCCTCCTGTTCTCAATGGCGCTGACGTTCTGTGGCGTAATGCAAACCCCATCCGCCCTACCGGGTTTCTGGATCTTCATGTATCGCGTCTCGCCCTTCACATACTGGGTCGGAGGCATGGCGTCCACGCAGCTCCACGACAGGAACGTCGTCTGCTCAGCTACCGAACTCTCTGTCTTTAACCCGCCCGCAAACCAAACCTGCTACCAGTACATGGCCGAATATATGAAACTTGCCGGTGGCCAACTCCAGAATCCCGATGCTACCTCCGACTGCAAATTCTGCTCCTTGACCGTTGCAGACCAGTACCTTGCCGGGAGCGAGATCGAATGGTCCCAACGCTGGCGCAATTTCGGAATAATCTGGGCCTATGTCGTGTTTAATATCTTCATGGCGACGGTCTTGTACTACCTTTTCCGGGTTAGGAAGTGGGATCTTGCGAGCATTAAGGCGAGGTTCGGGAGGAAGTGACAGCTTCACCTTTACCTGGTTTGTTGGCTCCTCGCTCATTTGGACGTGTTCTTTCTTTTCTTGTCGTCTTTCTTTGCTTCGCTATTTCTGTTTATTTATTATTCTGACTGCTTCGTACTATTCACATTCGGCGACGCGCCATAATCACTTACAAGATAGACTTTACTTCCTTTAATCAAACTGGTCGTTACCTGTTCTCTCATGAACTGGCCACTCTATGATATTAAAGACTCTTCGCAGCTATCAGGGGCAGGTACGGAAATTGTAATAGCACTGTTAAGGGCTGCAGACTTGTGGGAGACATCAATACGATACGCCCATTGAAAGTGGCATGTCTCCGGGGATCAGGAGGGTAATGCACTGGAGTTAACACTTGAATTGCATTCATTGAATACTCCTACAGGGTATCAGATGTACATTGCATGGAAATCCGCGTCGATATGCAAACATGAAGCTGAAGCCAGAAAGAGGAAGCAAATCAAAGATGGTAAAGTAAGCAAGAGACCCCCGAAATCCAGTTGTATGAGTCATGATGACACCAACGCCAGAGTGCTAATGCGCATCGACAAGTGGAAGCAAGATCGTTATCGTTAAATGGTACTATAGGTTCCGTAGCAGGCTGCCTTCGGCGAACGGGTTGGGGGGCGTGAGATCCAGCATTGGCTTCGAGGCGTTCCGGTCGCCGGTGGCCACGCCGTGGCCGACTGGGCCGCTGCTTTGTGCTGCAGCGAGCTGGGCGGTACGTGCGAGGAGGCTGTTTGCGAGGAATGGGCCCTCGGAGGGTTGCGTATTGTCAACGGGAGTGACTGGGGACGCAGGCGCGGTGTGCTGGTGTCGCTGGTTGCTGGTGCTGCGAATAGTGTTGGAGCGCTTGCGGGTCTGCGTTTCTGTAGTTGACGATGGTTCCGCTGGCACGGGTGGGCGTCTCCAAGTTGTTGATGGCGGGACGGCGATGGCTCCCAAGGGCTCCGGTCCCGTGGCTGCATCAATCAATGGGACGCCCGGTTCAACGGCAACGCCTCTCCCCTTGCGAGCGTGCTGTGGAGGTTCTTGGTAAGCCGGTGTCAAGTCGACCAGCGGTTTGCCTCTGTTCACAGACAGTGACCGCTTGACAGCACCAGCACCCATGTCCGGAGCCTGTGTCGAGGTCATCGTGTTCGACCGACTGGCTGGCTGGCTGACTGGACCGCGACGTGTGCTCATACTTCCGACCAGTCCATGAGCAATGAACGGCTCTTCGTTGGCCCTCTTTTCCTTCTCTTCTCGTTCCTTCATAGCCTGTTGACGTTGCGTATATGTGCGACCCAGAAGTCCTGATGAAGCGAATGGGGAGCCGTCGGTAGGCTGCATTGCAGTGTCCGGTTCCGCCAGGGATTTCGGGAAAGACGATGGTGGCGGTCCACGCTCGCGCGAGCGTCTCGGTCGCGAGAAGATATCTTTGGTCTTGCTTGATTTGTGCTGGTCATCAGCCGAAGAATGCTGTGATGGCGCTCGCTCTTGCTCCGCAACAGAATCCAGATCCACCAGTGGTTTGAATTGAGGTTGCTGACTCGACTTGGAATGAGATGAGCCAATCCTCTGCTGATGGACGCTTTTGCCCTCCTCGTCATCTTCACTCTGGGCTGCGCCTTTTTTGTGAACGAGATACCAGCTGCGCCATGTTTGCACTGCTTGATACCACTGCTCGGCGACTGCCCTGTCATTGGTAGAGAAGAAGTGGACAAAATTCTCCGTCGAGAGGAACATGCTCGACTTTTGCTGACTCTTGATCGCCTGACAGACCTTCTTTGGTGGATCAACGTTCTTTCTCAGAAAATCCGGCGTGGGAGAATAGATATCAAAATCGGAAAGATGGCAGGCATTTGTTTGGTCCTTGCCATGTTCCTTTTTAGAAACAGTGATCTGCCCATCCGAACGAAGGGTGACAAAGCGCTTGTCCCACTTACGGGGCCGTTGTGAGTAGTAGATGTGCACTGTTACATCCGCGGGCGGCGCGATCGGTACATTCTGCGCTTCAAGCGGGCGCAAGGACTCGATGCTTGCCGCAGGAACAATAATCAATGTGTTCTCTCCATCATACGCCCACGAGTTCAGGATATCCCTCACACACTCGTATCTGCGCAAGGGCCGCTCCAGCCCCAGCTGGCTAAATGACTCCATCATAATGAACTTTGGGGGATCGATCTCACTTGTCAGACACTCCGAGGCAGCAACTAGCAGATCTTGAACCCGTGTCGACGGCATGACGGGCATCTTGGCCGACATCCTCCCATATTGGACCAGAACGCTGCGCTTTCCTGAATTCACCGCAGAAAGAGGCGCATCCACCCCAGTAAAGTGATTTGCTGTAGGAGGCTCTGGGGACTTGACGGCGGACGACTCTGTGCTCGACTTGTCCTTGGGTTTAGCAAGCTTCATTTTCTCCTTGAACGATCGACGCTTCGGCTCAGAGGTTTCGTCCGACCTGTGATGCCGCCGCGACCCCTCCTGCACATCATCGTGCTTGCGCCGACCCTCTGCGGTCCGCGGAGTCACTCTCCGATGATCTGAAACAGCTGGCGCGGGTTTTGTAGTTTCCCCTGTTAAGCGCGCCATGGCCTCCTGCCTGTGTCTCTCGCGCTCAGCTTCCGAGTCCTCAGTGGCCGCGGCGTCATCACCGAACGGGTTCGTTGTGGTTTTCGTAGGTTCCGTCATGCTTCGAGCCATCGCCGGTACCTGCGCTGCTGTCGCTGCAACAGTCTGATCCTCGGGAATGCGCCCCGGGTTGTGGCCGTTCAATAGCGTTTTATGCAACGGAAGGGCTGGGGCCGCAGGCTGTGCCGTCATAGCAGGGGCTGTCGGAGCGCGCTGGCGTCGGTATCGGGACATGCTTCGATTGATTGAATCAGCCGTAGGTGTCGTCCCACAGTGGAGTCTAGTCGCAGGAGCGCTGGGGGGGCTGGGGGCAGAAGGGATCGAGGTATGCAGCTGCTTGGGCTGCTTCTGTGTGGCTGCTCTTCGGACGGATCGATAGCGGGAGAATTTCAATGAGCCCTGGTCGTGGCCAGCCTCCACGCTGGTGGTCTGCGTTTCCATCGCCATGACGATGGGCTCTCCTCTAAGGCACGTTTCTTACACGGATCGTCTTGTAGGTGTGGATTGCATTGTTTGGCATCGACGCGCTTGTATTCAGAGTGTGACCAGGTGGTCAGGACAGTCAAGTCTCCTCGATGGACAGGCTCAGAACAGTGCTCGTTCTCAACGGTATCAGAGATGCTGTAGGCCGTAGGTTGAGTTCCGAAGCCAGGCAAAAGTAAGGAGAATAATATCGAATTGGTTGGGAAGACGGTCGAAGGGAGGAAGCGAGGGAAGGAAAAATGAGAAATGAGAGGGGGGGAAATGAGGCGAAACTGCAAATAACTCCGGCACAACAAACCCCTTGGATGCTGTAGAGATGTTTCACAAATGCTCAGGCATTCCCTGTCCTGTCAACTCAAGTCAGAGAAGCCCTAAAATAGAAGAAGAGGGCTTGAAACGAATCAGCGCGACAATAATATTTTATACCATCTACGGAGTACACCGTAGATAGAGCACGAGACTCCGATGGCCAGGATTGCGGAGGGTCCGACACTCTATCTCTTTTGGGACCGGAGATTAATTAATATAAGTTAGTTACTGACAGTTTAATTACTGCGACCAGTCGCTTGGCGTCGCTTCCCTTTCATCAAGGATGGCGCGGAGAGAAGAGTCTTAGACGAATACTGCGCCTTTACCTTCAAAAGAGATGCGTTCATCGAGGGGCATGACTTATCTATCTATACTATACGCAGAAATCCTGATTCCAGTGGGAAAGAATTCCGGGAACGGCACAGGGAAAAAGACGGCGAGTGGCTGGAGGAATGAATCAGGCACTATCGATGTAAGATCTAGCGTCATCATCTTGGCAGCAATTATTATTCTCAATTATTGTTTGGAACTCAATCTACGGAGAATATCTAGGTCTAAATCTAGTATCTATGAGATGGAACTACTACTGATCGGAGATCGTCCTGGTACCTGACTTGCAGCCTCACAAGGCCGTATTGCAAGGACATGAGAGGATGCGATACGGATCGACATACCCACAATCGGGTGATTAACATAGTGACTGATGACACATCCTGCTATTTCGGTTCGCTCAAGAGCAACTGACTTGGATCATTTTCTGGATTCAAATCAGAGGTTGGTTCGAGTCTCTGGTTGTTCATTTGACTCCGTGTCGTACAGCCCCGGCTGGGTTCCTGCATCGGTCATTCTGCCCCTGCGTCCGTCTTTGCATAGAGCGGAGGATCTATCTACTGTGCCTTGCGACGATGCCCATCATTACTTCGTTGCAATATAGTCTTTATTTTCTAGCAAAATGCTTTTTAATCATCTCATATTGATCGTGGGATTCCGTCATGTCCCCTTGTCCTTGGGACAAATCAATCATTTCTTGTATGCTCCCAGGTGCTTCCGCCTACATCCAGCATTAGTTCTAGCCATGGTCTGAGAGGCCACATACAGCAGGTACTTACCACCATGCGACAAAGTCAGTTGTCTGGACATCAATGCCCAAATCCTTTAGCACCTTGGTTGAGAGGTGTGTATCATACGGCCTCTGTACAGATGCGTTTGGATCATTTCCTTGCTTGTTCCTGATCATCCCTACCAGCGAAAGACCCAGGACCTCCGCAAGTTTCTCGCAAATTTCGTACTTGGTCATGCGGTCTTCAGACGAGAAATGAAGAATCTTGGGGAGTTCGTGGATTCGTGACCTCTCTTTGAGATATTTGATGACAACGTCACGGCACACACGAGCTACATCCTCGGTGTTGGTCGGGTAGCGCTGCGCCCAGTCGTCCATCTTGATACCGGCGTTCTCATCCTGAGCCTTCCAGACCGCATCGATCAGAGTATTCACGGCGCTCTCGGAGTTACTCTGAGCAGTACCATACAGCAGGGGCACACGGAGAACAATCCCTAACCCGGTATCCTTTGTGGCTTCTAGCACCGCGATTTCGCCGTCTCGCTTAAGCTGACCGTAGTAATTCGTCGGGGAGGGCTCCGCATTGGCCTCGTAAGGAGCCTCTCCCTCCTTTCCGGAGAAGACATAATCGGTTGAGATGTAGACCAGCAACGCTTTTCGGGCAGAGGTCTCTTCTGCAAGAGTGCGAGTGGCATCGACATTGACCCGACGAGCTTGCTCGGGGTTCTTATCACATAGATCCGGAGATCGGTTGGCGGCGCCTAAACCACAGTGGTCAATATCAATTGCAGATGTAATGAGTGTGCTTCGGTGTCGTTCGCATACAATGGACAACAATCTGCGGTCTGGTTTGCAAGATCAGTCCTCAGCTCAAGAATGAATACATCGGAGCATCGCCGATGAACACTACAAAAGAATCAATGACAATGCAATGGCACTAACTTTGCTTCGTCCAACAATCTCTTGATATCCTCCGGCTTCTCCAGATCCGCCTTGAGAATCGTCGGCGGGGTAGCTCTAGAGTAGCCTTGACCGACAACAAAGCAGCCAGAATGCTTGAATGTATTGAAAACCTGACGGCCCAGCAAGCCGGTAGCTCCAGTAATCAAGACAGTAGTCGACATTTTAGTTGCACTTCCGTTCTATCGGTTGTCTGGTTCGAATTGGGTGCTGGAGGCTTATTGAAATAGCAATCCCAGAATTCCCCTCTGCCGTTACCGGTCTGCTGTGTCTATCCACATGACGTAACGACCCTCATTACGTCCTGTTCCAGAAGATGCGCAGAAGATCAACGCAGGAACAATAATGACGAACTACTCTTAAAGTTGAGCGTACAGTCACTTGATCTATGAGAGGAATAGGGAAGATTATGCATATCCCTGAGGATCTGGCTGCGCTACTGAAATCGCAAGGACTAGCAAGCAATTCGCCTCAAGGTCATGCCTTGGAATGGTGCAATCGCCTAGAATATCAATCGGTCAACTTATTGCAAGGATAGCTTGGCCTCAACCTTGATAGCTAATAAGAATTACTCTCTGGCGTTGGTTATAACAGAAGATCATTGCTCCTGTGCCTATCTGCATGGTATTGCTCTGAGAAGCTTGACAGTTTCTGCCCGTAAACCGCATACGGGCGACCAGCGAGATGTCTATAATCTCCACGTCAAGCCAATCTTTTCCAACTTGATGTCAATTACCTGCATGGCTGGCCCTTGACGGCTCCTTTCACCCCACTCTCCCCTCTTAAGCTCTCGAAAAAGTTGAGACTGTGCTCATAGTCCACACTATCATATCACGTGATCTTACCAACTCATTTTGTTGTGATTCCATGCGTCGCCGATCGTCACCGCCTTCGCCATGATGTAGGCAGTACGCCAACGGTGAGCATTTTGGATCGCCGGGTCCTCGCCGACTTGAAACTTTTCGAATCTCCCATTGTCGGTGTCAGAGACAATGTCGAGCGCCAGAAATCTTTCGGTTGCCCTCCGACGGGCGCGTATACCCAAGCCTCGCTGTTGGGTGCGCCCCTTCATCGCCAACGGTGCTTCTGTGCCGGCCACAAGATCTTTTAGTGTCAGCTCCGTTGTCGGAGGGAATGCGACAAGAGAAATCAAATACACCACCAGTGCCTACCCCGAACTCAAGCGCAACCCCAGTTTCGCCGAGATCACAGAACAGGATGTGAAGTACTTCAAAGAGCTACTTGGTGCTCAATCGGCTGTAATTGATGGAGTGACAACAGATGCTACGGACGATATCGAACCATTCAATGCCGACTGGATGCGCAAATACCGCGGCCACACGAAGCTCGTCCTCAAGCCACAGAACAAGGAGGAGGTTAGCAAGATTTTGAAATACTGCAATGAGAAGAAGCTGGCTGTTGTTCCTCAGGGAGGTAACACCGGGTTGGTGGGAGGTTCCGTGCCTGTGTTCGACGAGATCGTCATCAATACTTCACGCATGAACAAGATCCGCTCTTTCGACGAGGCCTCTGGTGTGCTGGTTGTTGATGCCGGTGTCATCCTCGAGGTAGCTGATCAGTACCTCGCGGAACGCGACCACTTGTTCCCCTTGGATTTGGGTGCAAAGGGTTCGTGCCACGTCGGAGGAAACGTCGCAACCAACGCCGGAGGGCTCCGTCTGTTGCGTTACGGCAGTCTTCACGGCAACGTGCTTGGTCTTGAAGCGGTCCTGGCGGATGGTACTATCGTCGACTCCCTATCCACTCTGAGAAAGAACAACACAGGCTATGATTTGAAGCAATTGTTCATCGGCTCTGAGGGTACTATCGGTATCGTCACTGGCGTCGCCATCTTGTGCCCCCCTCGGCCCAAGGCGGTCAATGTGGCCTACTTCGGGCTCGAAAGCTATGACCAGGTTCGCCAGGCTTACAAGGAGGCCAAGGGTCACCTTTCCGAGATCTTGTCCGCTTTTGAGTTGATGGACGGACGCAGCCAGAAACTCGTTCACGAGTCGACCGGTTCGAAGTACCCGCTGGAAGGGGAGTACCCTTTCTACTGCCTAGTCGAAACGAGTGGTTCCAATGCCGAGCATGACATGGAGAAGCTGGAAGGCTTCTTGGAGCATATTATGGGTGAGGGAATCGTCGCCGACGGTGTTCTGGCCCAAGACGAGACACAGTTCCAGTCCATCTGGCGTTGGCGAGAGGGCATTACAGAAGCCCTGAGCCACCTGGGCGGTACTTACAAGTATGACGTCTCTATTCCTCTGCCTGAGCTGTACCAGCTCGTGGAAGACTGCCGTGAGCGCTTGACGAAATTGGGATTCGTGGGCGACGATGACTCTTTCCCAGTCCGGGCCGTCGTTGGCTATGGCCATATGGGCGACTCAAATCTCCACTTGAACATTTCTGTCAGGCAGTACAACAAGGAGGTCGAGAAGGCCATTGAGCCTTGGGTGTATGAGTGGATCCAGAAGCGCAACGGCAGCATCAGCGCAGAGCATGGGTTGGGCCTTGCCAAGAAGGAGTTCATCGGGTACAGCCAGAATGACACCATGCTCAAGTTGATGAAGCAGCTGAAGACCTTGTACGATCCGGTAAGTCTAACTCATTTCAAGACATCTTTCGAGGTTGCTAATAATCTTCTAGAATGGGATTATGAACCCTTACAAGTACATTTAGGCATCAAGCGCTTGCATGGCGTTAATATTTTCTAGCGGGTACGAATTATTGAAAGTATAGATAGATCTTTATGACATCAATCGGCGAGTCTGACATCATGGATGTCCTTAGATGGCCTTCTAGAATATCAAGGATTCGATAACCCCTGTAGATCTCTGTACCCTTACTGCCTTAAAGTACCTTACGGCCCTAAAGACTAAGGTAGGTACCTATCATCTATCTACCTTAAGGTACCAGTGGGGCATTTTCCCTAAGCGGGCAAGCTCCACTTTGCTGCCTTAGGCGGCTGGGCGGCGTTCGTTGCCCAGCGAACCATGGGAAAGGTGCGGCTAGCGACCACTGGATGTGATGGATCCCAAGTAGATACAGTACTTGCCTCCCCTTTCATCCAGCTCAATTAGCTGTTTTCTGGTCACTGGGGTTTTTGAGCGTGCTCGACTTGTCCAGATCGGCCATCGAATCTTGCCGGGGCAAGAACTGCTGGTTGAGCTGTGCGAGTTGCGCCCTTGTGTTTTCCGCTCGTTGTTGTGTTTTGCGTATCAGCCTCGGATCCGGCCACCCCCCTGAGCTACGACTCGGGTAGCATCGCGCAACCATGGAGGGAGATATGGCCAGTCGGTATCAGATGATGGAGGAGCTGGGAAGTGAGTGGTTACCGACCGCCCAAAAATTGCAATTGGCATTTCACTGACGAGGGAATTGTTGCCGGCAGGTGGGAGCTTCGGGACTGTGTACAAGGCTATTGAAAAATCTACCGGGGAGATTGTCGCGATTAAACATGTGCGTTCTCACGAGTCTATGATTTGATTTTTCTTCTCAATTGACCGTCTGGAATTGGATCTAGATCGACCTCGAATCGAGCGAAGATGATATTCAGGAAATACAGCAGGAAATCTCCGTGCTGGCCACATGCGCAAGTCCCTACGTGACGCAGTACAAGGCGAGTTTTCTGCGGGGACACAAACTGTGGATTGTCATGGAATACCTGGGCGGAGGATCTTGTCTTGACTTGGTAGATATATCAATTGTTCAAGTGTTATTGGAACTTTCCGATCGCTAACTGGTACCTAGCTGAAACCCGGTGTCTTCAGCGAAGCGCATGTTGCTATTATCTGCCAACAGCTGCTACAAGGCATGGAATATCTACACAGTGAAGGCAAAATTCACCGCGACATCAAGGCTGCGAATGTGCTGCTCTCCCACACAGGAAAGGTCAAGTTGGCCGACTTTGGGGTTGCGGCGCAGCTTACCAACATCAAATCGCAACGCAATACCTTTGTCGGAACCCCGTTCTGGATGGCTCCGGAAGTAATTCAACAAGCTGGATACGATTATAAAGCGGACATTTGGTCACTGGGGATTACTGCGATCGAGATGATCAACGGAGAGCCACCCCATGCGAGTACACATCCGATGAAGGTTCTCTTCCTCATTCCAAAGGAGCCGGCCCCTCGACTAGAAGGAAACGAATATAGCAGCGCTTTCAAGGACTTTATCGCCCAATGCTTGACTAAGGACCCGGAGCGGAGACCCAGCGCGAAGGAGCTTTTGAGACATAAATTCATTCGCAATGCAGGGAAGACCGAGGCGTTGCAGGAACTCATCCAACGGAAGCAAGATTGGGATGCCGGCAAAGGCGTGAGGCAGAACGTCAAATACTATGCGGAGTCTCTGTGAGTTCTCGCCCTTGGGCATTGAGTTGTCTCATTCGCTAATCATATTCACAGGAATACTATCACGCGGCTGGAAGACGACGACGGATGGGTCTTCGACACTGTCAAGGCACCTCCCACGTCGATACCAGAGGATTCGCACGACCTAGCATCTGATCGGGATACACGGGACCGTTTGTACGACGAAGCCTCGGAGTTGATGGACAATCTGCACATGTCCACTCCACCTGTCCCGCCGAAACATGCCTCAAACTCGACCGTGCGACGAACTCCAGCAGCTGACAGGAGTCCCTCTGTGCGACGGCCGAAGCGACGATCAAGTGGTGTAAAGCAGCCCCTGGGCGTCGACTTGACTTTTGGCAACAGCCCGTCGACAGTTCGCCAGTTCCGTCGGGTGTCGACCGGGCCCGACACCTCGTACAGCAACCAGTACCAAATCGCCGTTGATGAGAACGCAAGCCCTAAGACAGTGTATCCGGATTCGAACAGCAAGGAGGCTCAGCTAGGGCGTCGGGCTTATAGCAAGGCTGTCGGCCTTGCTTGCCAGGAGGTCCTTGGCACTACTGCAGACCAGGAAAAGAGAGAAGCCATCTCAAGACTGGCGGAGGCCTGGAGCGACCTGGAGATGGTCGACCCCGAGGGCCTATACCATATTCTCAAATCTATGAATGAGAAACTTCAGAGGTCGGTAATTACAGATTCGCGTGTCCGTCACTAGCGTGGCACTGACTGACTTTCACCTCCTTTTCAGTGATTCGAAACTCGCAACTCTTCTCCCGCAAGCTCCACAACCCGAATCCCCACAGAGACCACGGCTCGTTTTAGCACAAAACAATCCACATCTGAAGAGCCACCGTCGCCGTCAGTCTGCAGCAGCGCCAGACTCCAATTGGCAGCCGGCGCAGCTGTCTAACCTTCCCGGTCAGCAGGTGCCGGGAATGGAACACACCAAGCAATTGTCGGATGTTCTTTACCAGCGTTGGTCCGACGGCCTTCGTAACCGCTGGCCTGGAATCTAATTCCATCTATCTACTCTTTGGCTGTCCCTGCTGGATCACTTTGTCTCTCTCGCTGTATAAAAGGTTCTGGGGCGTCTCCGGCTTCGATATATGATCTTCTTCTCTACCGGTTTGCTGGTTTGTCATTTTTCTCGGTGTCTTTGGCATACAACTGTCGCTCTCAATGTTCTCACTAAGGGCGTTCGTTTCTTCACTTGGCTTTTTTTTCTGATGGGTTGAACTGCTGGTCGATGATACCCACTTCGAGAGTTGTCCGTCCTTTGCTGCGGTGGGAGGGCATGTATGGTAGATTATCTGCCTGCGGACTTGACTTCTACTCAGCAGCTGAGCTTGTTCTCTCTTTTTTCCTGGTTTGCATAAGGATTGGTTCTGGTGTTCCCATTTTTTGACTACTTTCTGGTGAATCTGTTAATTCTTCGTGTGTGACTATCGGAATTCCCCTGTCCAGCATTGTTTGTGTGATTACCTCTACTTCTGTTTCGTCATAGACCCTGTGTCCTCGAGTGTCCTGCGTTGCGGAGCACCTTACTACTTCTGTTCTCTCTGTCATATATGTGTCGCTGGTCATTAAATGTAGTTACTGTGTGATTCATTCCTGTATGTTGTGTTTGTTGAGGCGTGGGTATAGCGAGTCTATTGCAAAAATAATCATAACCCGGTGTATTCTGTTCATCGACCTGCCAGTCGAGCAATCTTTCGGGATGCGTTTTCTAAAACCTCAGATTCCACCTTAGAGGGAGGTTGCTCGGTGCATACCGCTACATGGCGCAGTAATCATCAACATCAAGCCGCAAATGAGGCTTCCTGAAGAATCATCCTTTATTGCTGTGAGACTTGATTATGACCGACTTAAATTCCAGATGGAAACTGCCAATTGGAGCCACAGACCCGAGGCGATCGTGCCCCTGAATGGATGAAACGCGGCCGTCGAGGCTGGAGGCGGAAAGGATGCGCAGTGGGAGACCCGCCGCTTTCCTGACGTCCTCCTGAGTCGTCACTCGGCAGGCTAAAGGCTAGCTAGACTACGGGGAATTCTGGGCCAGGCGGTCTGTTAGTCTTAGTCAATTAGACTGTTAAATTAAGGTGGACTGCTTGGTTTAGATAGGGGAGACGAGGCTGTCCTCATATCTGTCCAGGTGATGCTGTTTGGCTAGACCTCTCTGCATAATTTCTCCGAGTCTTTCTTCTTTCTCTCTTCCGTCGCTTCATTTCTTCGCTTTCTTCTCATCAGTCCATTGCTATTATTTGGCTGGCCAACCCTCACGCTCATTTTTGTCATGATCGATTCACTCCCTTAAGTACAATCGCTTCGTTCTACACTTTATTCTGCCCCAAAGATGGGGAGCTCCCCGGGAACGGGCGACGCGGAACCTGCGCCGGAAGCGTCCCAAACAATGTCGCCATCGTTCCAAAGTCAGCGGGAACTGCCAGCTGAGGCTTCACCTGTGATACAACGTCGTCAAGAAATTCAGCAGAAGCGATCGTCTATTCCCCCCAGACCAAACGGTGCTGCTCGCCACGCAAAACGTCTGACCCTCAACTTTCCTATCAACGTTGTTCCGGGTCTTGAATCCGATCCTAACGTCACTTCCCCTGATTCTATGACACCTGCCACATTCTCGGCGGCCCGTCCATCTCCCCTCCCTGCCGCTGGAACTCCGGTCGTGTTCGACGATCAGGATGATGGCTCTAGCCTTCTCACTGCCATTGCGTCACAGGAACGGAAGGTGCTGGAACTCCGCGAGGAGCTTCAGCGGGCGGAGGCGGAGCTGGATACTTTGAAGAAACAATGGGCTTCCTCGGAGAAGACGAAGAAACGCACGGAGATCAACCACCGAGCGGAGCCGCTGCTTCCTCTGCGGTCGCCTGACCGCGCGACCCATGACGAATCGAGCCAGCATGGTAGAGAACGCAGTGCAGGCACCGCGGATGGCTCTTCGGCCGTGCAGGCTCGACGCAGCCGCGATCTTGAGCGACGCCAAAGCCTACGAGCCAGTGTAAATAGCGGCACCGCGATATCTGCGAATGGACGGCGGGTGTTCCAAGGATCTCATACGCGGGCATTGTCGTTGCTCTCGCCCGTCAATGGTCCGGGTGTCAACCAACAGTTTGGTACTGATGCGGACGGCAACCGTGCGACTAGAACGCCGCGATCGGCGACCTTGCCTTCTGTTGAACGCGCTGCAACGACCGAGATGAACGAACGGCCTACGGAGGATATGATCTCTCAGTGGCGGAGGACCATGCCGCCCCCGTCTCGGGAGGCACTGGTGCGTACCGGTAAGCAGATGGCTTCCGATCTGAGAGAAGGTTTGTGGACGTTCCTGGAGGACATTCGACAGGCTACGGTGGGAGAAGAGGGAATCAATGCCACTCAGTCGAGAGGAGTGCCGCCCGCGCGGAAACGAGATTCCAGCTCCGCGTCCCGAAGCAGAGACCGGTTGTCGGTGCATGGAGGCAAATCATCGCGGTCACCGTCGTCCTCGCGGGGCAAGGCGGCAGGGACACAATTATCTGGTAAAGACACTGAATCGGCGGACATAGACGTGTCGTTCTGGAGTGAATTCGGCATTGATACAGCTGGGCAGAAGTCCACGAAAGCTCGCGGAGCCTCAAATACCCCACGCGGGGCGACCGAACAAGAAACCTCCAACAATCTCGACGTTGAAGAGAACTGGGATGACTGGGATACTCCCCAGCCCAAGAAGACGCACACCCCTTCGTCGAGCCGCTCCACGCTGGAGTCCAAGCATGACCAGTCTCCGATGACACAGAACAGTAGCCCTCGTACAAGCGGCAGGTACGCTATTTGAATTGCACCAGGCTTGAGACTCGCAGTCTGACTGATTGATATGCGCTGACTTGGATTAGTTTTGGAGACTGGCGCGCCACACAGGATGACTTCGTCCCCGACCCCAGCGTATCAGATGGCATTCCCTGGCCTGCAATCACCAAATTCGCTCCCTCGAAGCTCACCCGGACAGCATCCAATTTGATGGCCGAGTGGGAGCGCAGTCTTTCACCCTCACCTGAGAGAAAGAATCAAACGAGCTCTTCGCCTCTCAATAAGGACGGTAAAAAAGACTGAACCCGTCCGTGGGCTGTCCTACTCCATGACCCTTGACCTGATACATGTTTCTGTCTACTTCAGGCTACACTGTAAATACAAACATATATGGACATGCACTCTACCTGGCTGGATTGCATGGACCAAGTACAAAGTAACGCAGGGCTACGATTATCGTTTGAATACCCTCACGACCACATCGTTTTCTTCACCAATCTCGTGGATTTGCCATTCTATGACTTCTTTTCTTCGTTTCTTTTGTTCCAAACGTGTTTGACGAAGCCCAATTCCGACACGGATTATGCACGAGGATATTATGTATACATATGTCTCGCTTTTATATTTCTATAAATTTGCAATTTCATGTATTAGAGCCAAATCTTCTCCAGCACAATAAATGTCTCGACAATATGTGAAGCCGAACATAGTACAAGGTCATGTGACATATGCGCTTTTGGCCGCTCTACCCTGCCGTGAAATAAATTTGTTTTCGCCATCTCCGCAAAATGTCCGAGGTTGATTATCTGGAGTCAGCAACCTATTTCCATTTAGCGACTTGATTTTCTCTTTTCTTTGCTAGAATTTTACTCGCAGATTCTCTGCGTATACATTACAATATACAGCACTTGGAAACTTCTACGCCGAGACACACCCCAAATCCAACATGAGTTTCCCAGGAATGACTCCGCCCATCGGCGGTATGGGAGGAGCAAACAATATGCAGGGCATGAGTGACCAGGAGCAGGCAATGGTCAAGGCGGTTCGTATGCCGACATCATATTCTACCGGGCTACATGCTAACGTAAAACACAGATGCACGCAGCAATGGAATCCTGTCCCGTCAAGACCGCCATCTCCGGTACAATGGGTTTTGCGCTGGGCGGTGCCTTCGGCTTGTTCATGGCTAGTGTATGTGTCCATGCCCCCAATTCAAAAATACAGAATACAAGTATCTGACCGTGCTCTACTTAAATAGATGTCCTACGACTCCGCATTCACCCCCCAGGGAGCCGCCCTCTCCGACCTCCCCTGGCGCGAACAACTCCGTCGCGGCTTCAAAGACATGGGCGCCCGCTCCTGGTCCTCGGCCAAGAACTTCGGTATTGTTGGCGCCCTCTACGCCGGCACAGAGTGCTGCATCGAGGGCCTGCGCGCGAAGAACGATCTTACGAATAGCGTTGCGGCCGGTTGCATCACGGGCGGGATCCTCGGTGCGAAGGCGGGTCCGCAGGCTGCGGCTGCTGGCTGCGTTGGCTTTGCGGCGTTCAGTGCGGCGATTGATGCGTATATGAGGATGCCTTCGGAGGAGTAGTGCCACTTGCTTCGGCTGCTTCGCTTGCTATGATGGCGCTATTCTGGTTTGAACAGACAGATGGTTGCTTTGCAAAACGTGTATAAACATTGGCGTGGCGTTGGGTTGTTGTCATTGTGATTTGATTGGGATAGATATAGGCGGCATCTTCGGCGTTCTTGGGGTTTTTTGTTTCGTCGATGCGGATGAGGTGATTGTCCGCGTGCATATACTCCGCTTCTGCGCTTTGTGCATATGTTAGATCTTGAGTGGGCGATGGCTTGTATGGTATTGGTGCGACTCGCGACTCAGATGTACAATACGTGATACAGTTATAGAGGGTGTGGATACAGGCATATACTCCGATCTGCATGGCTACCATTACGCTGTATTGTTGAACCTTGTGCAGAACCAGTAGAAAGCAAAGAAATAAATAAACTACAATATCAACTTCATCTGAAGAAGATTATAAAAGAACAGAGTTTTTTTTGTCCTATAAACTGCATGGCATTCTTTGCCCCACGAGACGCACATCGGCTTCACCCATGACGTAGGGGGCAACACTATATATATTTACATACCTCTCGAGAGGTACATGACATCCCCAAACACGTTGTCGACAATGTCAACTGCGCCAGCTAACAGCCTAGAAGATGACCTGTACGGTAAGTTTCCAAAACGTCAAAACGCGATCAGTCGTAACTCAATCTACGGAGTAGCAAATCGAGCATTCTGTCGATAAGCCGCTGAACCGGGAGCCGCCCGTCAAGCAACTGGTCGCGAGGTATGTTTCCCTCCTCGCCTGTTATCGTAGCACAGTGGACGGATAAAAATAGGACAATGATGCTAAAAGTATGAAGCTTCCTCACACCATCTGATATCTCCTACGATCGGAACCATGGCCCCATCCCCCATCTCTCAGCAGACGCCCATAAAGTGCACATCGACGGCTTAGTTTCGCATCCTCTCAGCCTATCCGTCCAGCAACTCGCAAGCGAATTTCCCCAGCATGAAGTCATCTGTGCGCTGGAATGCGCTGGCAACCGGCGGCACACGATGCGCACGATGCTGAAGGAAGTACAGGGGATCGACTGGGGGGATGCAGCGGTCATGAATTGTAAATGGAAGGGGCCGAGATTGCGGGATGTGTTGCTGCGCGCGGGGGTTAGGGAGGACGGGAAAGGTCTGCATGTGGAGTTTTCGTGCTATCAGGTGAAGTGTCAGGAGGATGAGTGGTTTGGCGCGAGTGTGCCGCTCGAGAGGTGTTTGAGGGAGGATGGGGATGCGATTCTTGCGTTGCAGGTGTGCTTTCCTCGTTCCTTTATCGTGCCTTGAAGTGAGACTGACGATGGAATAGATGAATGACGCTCCGCTTCCCGTGAACCACGGGTATCCCGTGCGAGTTATCCTGCCTGGCATTGTCGGCGCGAGGTGGGTCAAGTGGCTGGACCGCATCACGGTCTCGGACCACGAGTCGCCGAATTTCTACCAGCAGCATGATTACAAGGCCCTGCCGCCAGCGGCGGTCGATCAAGAGTCAGCGCAACCGTTTTGGGCGCAGACCCCCGCCATGTCGGATATGCCTATCAACTCTGTTGTGGCGGTTCCGGAAGATAATGAGACGGTTCCATTGTCGAGTTCTGGGGTTATGGAGGTGAAGGGGTATGCTGTTCCGCATGGTGCGGATGGACCAGTTACTCGTGTGCAAGTTTCAGTGGATGGGGGGACGACGTGGGTAGATGCCAAGATTGAGGAATCTGGGGAGGGGAATAAGCGGTGGTGCTGGGTGTTGTGGACTGCAGCTGTGTGTCCTGAAGTAGGAACAGGCAGGGAGGTTTTGAGCCGAGCTTTTGATGCTGGTGGGAATGTACAAGTAGAACACTCGCAGTGGAACCTGAGGGGTGTCGGGTATAATGGGTACGGGCGAGCGCGGAATCTGACAATCATTTAGTGCAAGGGCTTTCGAGGTATCCAAGAATGTATGGCAAGGCCAACTCTTTGATTGACTGAAGGACAGAAATAACGTAAATCGTAAGTATATTGCACTGGTCTATCACTATACATACAGCCAATCATGGCAACACAATGTATTTCTCCAGGTGCTTGGGAATCGAGCTCCTGAGGCCCTTGCTCTGAAGCCAGGTGTTGGAGAAAAGCCGGTCAGCATACCGGTAGGCACCATCGCACAGAATGGTCACCACATTGCTACCCTCGGGGAGCTGCTCGGCGACCTCCTTGGCGGCGACGACGTTGAGAGCGGAGCTAGCGCCCAGGTAGAGTCCTTCCTCATCAAGGCAGCGGTAAACCATCTCAATGGACTTTTCGTCGCTGATGGTGAGCGATCCGTCGAGCAGATCGATGTCGGGCTGCAGGTTGTCGGTGACACGACCCTGGCCGATGCCCTCTGTGATACTGCTTCCGCTGCGCTCGATCAGGTTTCCGCCGCTCTGGATGTAGCTGTGGAGAACACTGCCTGGAGGATCGGCAAGGAAGCACTTCACGCGTCCATCGCTGGCGGTCTTGAGGTACCGTGTGATACCAGCCAGAGTGCCTCCTGTTCCAGTAGCGCATGTGAACGCATCGACCTTTCCATCAGTTTGAGCCCAGATCTCGGGTCCAGTGGTCTCAATGTGGGCCTGGCGGTTGGCGGTGTTGTCGAACTGATTCGTCCATACGGCGTTTTCCAGCGACTCTGCGTGTCTGCGCGCCTGGTGGTTGTAATTTTGAGGATTGTCAAATGCAACAGCGGGTACAGGATAGACCTCAGCTCCTAGAAGACGCAGCAGGTCGATCTTACCCTGCGACTGAGTGTTGGGCATGTAGATGACAAGCCTGTAGCCTTTCGACCGGCACACATGCGCCAAACCAATACCGGTGTTGCCAGCTGTCCCCTCAACTACTGTACCGCCTGGTTTCAAAAGACCTTTCTCTTCGGCATGCTTGACGACGAATAGCGCCGCCCGGTCCTTGACGCTGCCACCGGGGTTCTGGAACTCGGCTTTGCCGAAGATATTGCGTCCGGTTTCCTCAGACAGTCGCTTCAGTCGGATGAGAGGGGTGTTCCCGATAGCTGGAAGGACAGAGGCTGATTAGCATGCTGCAATTGCTCTACCACCGTGAGATGTCTCTTATACCTTCCGTCAAACCGTTTACAACGCCCTGAGCTCTGGATACCCGCTCATGGTAAGCGGTCGATGCCTCCACGGCGCGGAGGGCGGTTGTGCCAAACCGGCGTACACTTTGTCGAAACATGCTTCCCATTAGACCACAGGTACTCCAGAACACCCGTCAACGGTATGCAGGCCGGCGAAAGACGAAATGATTTGCGAGTATAAGAACCCCAGATTCTCGGACGCCGAGGATCGGCATTAGTCATACTTGGTCACGTGAACTATGGCGTGATGAGGTTTGTAACAAGTCGCTGGGCGTATGGAGCCAGCCATTTCCTCTTCTGTCGAGTTGGTCTTCGCAAAATAACATGAGTTTGTATATGACTGATACAAGAAGAATCCAAGGAAGCAGTCTGTTTCGTGACTATGTCGTTGTTCAGGTAGATGGACGTTTGTACCCCTCTAAAATCCGTAGATGAATGGAAACCACGTGCCCAGAGCCCTAGCCCTTATCGTAGTGCTTCCCGTTTGGGCTGTTTGTTTATCCTTTGGGCCCCGTGACAGCAATCTGCGATGGGAGTGGTAACTCCGCGCTGCTGAAAGACGACGGTCCATCTTGACCACGACTCTATCCATCCACGCAACTAATACTATACAGCAATAAATGAGATGCAAATGACTATCTGAGATGATCCAAGTCTTGTTCATTTGACAGAATCTCACGCCACCCCTCAACAACCAAAGATGCCTGGTCGAGTTTCCGCCCGTTCAACCTCTGCGCCGACACGCAGGTCGTCGGCTCAGCCCTCAGCATCAGGAGGTCGCGCCGCGTCTGTGACCCCGTCCTTTGTGATTCCAGAGGAACCTGCTCCGCCCGAGGCATCGCCTAACCTACGTCGCGATGTTTGTTTGATTTTTGCCGACGCCCAGCGTTCAACGACCGGTCATCGGAAGCTCGTGGTGCGATTAAGGAAGCTGCAGGAGATTTGCTGCGGAATTTCTGCGAAGAAGACGAAGAAGGACGGCAAGAACCCTGAGGTTCAGGAAGAGCTTTTACTGCCGAGCGAAGAAACCATTCCGGAGAAGGAGTTCAATGTGGAGGTTGGTCGCTGTTTGTTGCGGATACTGCCGATAAAAAAGACCGAGCCGGTTGGCGATCGAATTCTGCGGTTTGTTGGAACTTTCCTATCTCATGCGACTGAGAAAGATACCGAAATCTTCGCCTCCGGAAATGACGAGGACGACATGCAAACTGTCATCGAGACCCCAACTGCCCGTCTGGCGACTCATCTGATCAGCGTCGTTGTGCCGTTGTTGTCGGCAAAGGACAAGATCGTGCGTTTTCGCGCGACACAAATTGTCACCCACATTGTTAATTCTCTCGAAACGATCGATGATGACCTATACCATACCATTCGACAGGGACTATTGAAGCGAATTCGAGACAAGGAGCCCTCAGTGAGGGTACAAGCGGTGCTGGGACTTGGGCGCCTGGCAGGAAACGAAGAAGAAGATGACGATGATAACGACGATAGCTCCAAAGCCCTCCTCGAAAAGCTCATTGACATTATGCAGAATGACACAAGTGCTGAAGTGCGGAAGACCTTGCTGCTCAATCTGCCTCTAGTACCTGCAACTCTCCCTTATCTGCTCGAACGTGCTCGAGATCTCGAAGCAACTACTCGACGAGCCTTATACTCCCGCTTACTCCCCACCCTGGGTGACTTCCGCCATTTGTCGCTTTCCATGAGAGAGAAACTGCTTCGCTGGGGCCTCCGAGACCGAGATGAAAGTGTTCGAAAGGCCACTGGAAAGCTGTTCTACGACCGCTGGATTGAAGACTGCGCTGGCACAACCAACGATTCCGAGAATGGCCCTTCCACCCAGCGTTCTCCCCCTAACATCCCGGCACTGCTTGAGTTGTTGGAAAGAATTGACGTCGTTAGCTCTGGGATGGATTCCGGAATCGCGCACGAGGCCATGCGCAGTTTCTGGGAAGGCCGCCCCGACTATCGAGAGGCGGTTGTTTTTGATGAGCCATTCTGGGAATCCTTGACGGCCGAGTCAGCCTTTCTTCTACGATCCTTTAACGATTTCTGCCGTGTCGAGAACGAAGGAAAGTTCGATAGTCTCGCCGACGAGAAGATACCTGAGGTGACAGCCTTCGCGCATTTTCTGAAAAAATACATGACCGAGCTTCTACAAAGAAAGAAAATGGCCAAGGATACTAGTGAAGCAAACGATGACGACACGGTTGAGAACGAATTTATCGTTGAACAACTATTACATATCGCCATCACACTGGACTACAGTGACGAGGTCGGCCGCCGGAAAATGTTCTCTCTCCTTCGCGAGTCGCTAGCCGTGCCCGAGCTACCCGAAGAGTGTACTAAGCTCACTGTCGAGACTTTGAGATGTGTGTGCGGACCAGCTGCTGCGGCTGAGAGTGAATTCTGCAGTGTTGTTCTCGAAGCTATTGCCGAAGTCCATGACACTATTGTGACCGAAGATAGTTTTGTTTCGGCCAAGTCTGAAATCAGCGATGCGACCTCCAGCCGCCAACGGTCTGAAACCCCGGCGGACAGCGAAGCTGAAGTTCCCTTCAATAAGGAGGAGGCAAAGGCCAAAGTTTTGCGCGAGATCGTGGTCAATATGAAATGTCTGCATATCGCGCAATGTATGTTGCAAAACGTGGAAGGCAATCTGCAACAGAACATGAACCTGGTTACTATGCTCAACAATTTGGTCGTGCCAGCGGTTCGAAGCCACGAGGCTCCGATTCGTGAAAGAGGTCTAGTGTGCCTTGGTCTCTGCTGCTTGTTGGACAAGGTGAGTTCTCTATACATTAACATATTTGCCCAACAAAGTGCTGACTCGTTACTTCCCCGGTTCACAGACTCTCGCCGAAGAGAATATGACGCTCTTCATCCACTGTTATAGCAAAGGCCACGAAGCCCTGCAGGTCACCGCCTTGCACATTTTGTGTGATATGATAACGACGCATCCCTCGCTACTCGCCCCTGTCCCACAGTCTGACGGGGAAACCGTTTCCCCGCCAGCATTCCAGAAGCCACTGCTCAAGGTCTTTGCAAGAGCTCTGAAGGCTAGCTCTCCGAACAGTGTCCAGGCCGCTGCCGCCACCGGCCTTTCAAAGTTGTTGCTCACTAATACTTTTACACCTTCTGGAGCAAACATCCCACAGGCCATTCAGGAGTACAACGAGTCTGCTGTGGAGACCCTGTTGCAATCTCTCATTGTGTCTTTCTTCCACCCACGTACTCGGGAGAACCCGGCCTTTAGACAAGCGTTGGCCTATTTCTTCCCCGTGTACTGCCATTCCCGTTTGGAGAATACCCAGCACATGCGAAAGGTGACCGTTCCCGTTATCCGTGCGGTCCTCAATGCGGCGGAGGAGTACTACTCCCTAGAAGCCGAGGAAGATAGTGATGGCGAGATTGATGAGACTGTTGGACAGAGGGAGCTGAAGGCACTGATGGCAGGTGTCGTGGGCATGCTTGCGGAATGGACAGATGAGCGGAGAGTGGTGGGCCTGGGAGGAGAGAAGATTCTTGCGGGCGTTCCGACGAGCTCCAGCCCCTGTGGATTCGTACACTTGGCCCTGGTGAAAGATATTTTGGAGCGCGTTCTGGGAATAAGCACCGGTCCCAACCGGTGCTCCAAGGAAGAAAAGAAGCTTCTATTCTCATTGTTGAGCAAGCTTTATATATCACCTCCTGTGGTACCATCCCGATCTGGGTCTAGGATGCCCGAAGGCGATGATCAATTCCGCTCCAGCACCCAGAGTGCCAGTGGGGGCGAAATCTCCCCTGAGAATGTGGCTCTTGCCCAGGAAGTCAAGGAATTACTGGACGAAACCATCCAAGAGGGTGTCGCGGCCGAAGCAGCGGGTCGAAATGCGCTTGTGAAGGTCAAGAATGCTGTTCTCAAGCTTCTCTCAGCTGCGCAGGGCACCAGGTCCGACAGTGTCAGGCCGCGCGAAGGCACCGAGGAACCCGAGAGTGATGCCATGAGCATCCGCTCTGGCAGTGTCCGGCCGTCCATTGAGCACCCAGGCAAACGCCGGCGGATGTTCTCAGTAGAGCCCAGCATTATGGAGGAGGATGAGAACGATGACAGTCGAGGAACGATCATCAAGTCTGAAGCTCATGACGACTGAGGGCGTAAGCCCCTGGTGCTTGATTCATTTCTTTCTGTTGCGGCGTTGAATGATGGTCATGGGTTGAGATGGGATGGGTTATGACATGGTTATGAGGTTTCATGTAATTATTGATTTGGTCTATTGGTGTATATGATTGACGCTGCTTCATTCCAATTTATTGCACCTCTTGGTTTCAGGGATGATCTACTTCGATAACCTCATGACTCGTACGGTGAATGCTGACTACTAATGAGATATGACTACACGACTATCAAATAGGACACGCAAAGGTGTCCCTCGGATACGAGACTGGCCGACCCAGGGATGGGAGGTTCAGTTGAAAGACACTCAGAAATAGGAGATAGGTTGCCTTTGATTGATTTTAAATAACCTTGATAATCAAATGTAACTGCATCAAAGCATGGGTTGTACATCTCTCCTGTCCTCCTTGTCTAACAAGTCTTCGCGCGTCTGCATTTCGTTGCTGGCATTGTTTTTGCAGTAAGATTGGATTCATAGATTTGTCCAGTCTTAAAGTGCTCCATCCCGCTATCTTTCTATTTATATTTCAGGTTTTATGTTGCAATTATCTTCTGACTGGTCAGGATAAATACCTCTTACACTAATTATATATACAAGGAGCATTTCTTCTAGTGGTCTAGCTGATTCCCTGGTACTATCTATTGAGACTAAGGACCAGGAAAGAAACCTGTTTGCTACTTAGATTGGTACTTTTGTATTATAGACACTGTCATAGTGTAGATACCGTTCGTCCCACTTACCCGGCAAGGATTGACATCTATATCAAGAAATAGAAAAGGAGACCTTTGCGAAATGCGCTTTTCCCTTCCGTATTATCTTGAGTCAGACCAGTGACCAGGTCCTCTTCCCGAGCAACATGAAATCAATTATGGTGGACGTCTTGTCGTAATTAGAGACTTGTATGTTGTCAAATATGGGCCATATATGGCTGAAAATGAGGGCTATGCGTTGTTTTTCATCGAGCAGAAGCTATCCATTCCGGCTGTACCCCATTTATTGAAACAAGACAAGCTCTATATCGTCATGCAGTATATCCCCGGGAGTACCTTGGGCCAAGTATGGCCCTCCCTTCACGAAAAAGATAAAACTGTTCTGCTCGGCCAGCTTCGATCCATCTTCGCAGACATGAGATCGCTCCCTTCCCCCCGATTCTACGGGAATGTGACACAAGGCCCTGTTCCCCATCGATACTTCTTCTCGCGAGAAAGATAAATATACTGATAACCTTCCAGTGGTTTGGCTAGTTCCGGGGTACTTTCTGTTGGGACTAAGGACCAGGATGGAAACCTGTTTGCTACCTTGGATAGTACTTCTGTATGGTAGAATGGTGTACAGTCTAGTCATCCGCCTTATTAATTTCATTACGCGAAGGGCGCTGACTAGCTGGAACTATCTACAATACGAACTTTAGTTTCAGATTCCCATCATGCCATATGTTGGCATTTTATTCGTTTACTGAGACTATTCAACTAGATTTATGGCACTGGCCATCACTCGTCTGGAAAGCAGCAAAGACACCGACAAGAGAATGAACCAGGTATTCCAATATAAGTACATCAGTGTCCTCCGGGTTTATCCTCGAAAGGCCATGCCTTCTTCCACATCACCCGCTCCTCTGGGGTTGTTGATTCTCGATCTAAGAACCGTTTTCTGGCAAGCTCAACTCGCCTGACAACTTCATCGTAATCGCCAGGAGATACAGCTCCATTTGAGCTTGTATACACTCCTATTTCGTCAATCACTCGTGCTTTCCTCTCGACGTCCCTCTCCCATTTAGCGTACTCCTCATCCTGTTTATCCAGGTCATGTTGCGTGTAGTTCAGGGGACATGATACATGTGGATTGCCGTGATTATTCTCCCCAATAAGCTGCTTCCATACATCATCTCTCGTGAGATCAGCAAGGACCTTTTGGACATGCGGCTCCCCATCGTCAAATATCGACCCGATTAGACTCAGTAACTCAGACTGCAAAGATTCGCGGTACTCAAATGCGCGAATCAAATCTTGGGCTTCTTTATAGACTTGCGTCTCATAGTAAAGCCAGAGTGTCTGTGCAAGAACTAGCTCCGTAGCAGCCCTTCCATCTTGGACACTAAGCTCTTTGATATTCTCTGGCAGACTAGGCTGAATGCACCGCTCTGGCTTTGGACCGTCATACTCTATGAGCGACGGATGATGGTCGACAAGAAATATCGGATAAACAGGGATTGCTTGCCAGTCGATGATACTGGCTATTTGGGTAGGGTTGTCCTTGTCAACGAATATGTTGTCTGTGTGTAGGTCGTTGTGCCAGATGATGCCCTTATTGAGTGCATCGTCTTTTGGTGGGACATAATTGATAGATCTTGAGAAAGTCCTGTAGGACGGAGACTTTTGCTTCTTTTGTAGGACGGTAGCCACCGGGCCCATTGAAGATACCCTGTTGGCAATCTCGAGGAAATTCAGAAAATTTATTAGCTATCTATATAGATATTCCTATACCAGCTAATACTTACTATCTAACTCTCCTAGAGCCAGCCTGGTCATAGTAGTAAGCTTATAATAATAAGGACATAGACATAGCACACACTTATTCAGACAGGCTAGTTCCCGCTGAACCAGCGCCTTCATGGTGCTCTCCGTACTTGACCCTGGTAGGAGATGGCACCAGCCTAACTAGCACGTAGTTAGAGAGATGGTATACCTTACAGGGTCCCCTATGCACATCGACTTCCCCTCTTCTGTCATCAAACCACGCGCGCTCTGTTGTCGGGCCGATTGCGAAGGTATCATCAATTTGCTACTTTCGGACTCTGAGACGTCTCGACAGCGGCATAATGAACCGTGAAATAAAAATCTCGCCCGAGAGAGTGTGGAGGTGATGGAACCGATCTGCTTCGTTATAGACAGTTTGTCCCGCGGCTTCAGGCTTTCCCACACGCGACCAAGCTCGATACTTTGGCCTTCTCCATGATGATATACTCTGAGCTAGCTTACTCCCGACAATCCGGGAGCAATATGAAAGGACTCTAGGAATAGGAAGTCGAAGATTCTCTCTTGCCTTTAAACAAGGTAGCTTAACCAACCTATTTTTATTGGTTGTTCGTTTCGTTCGAAACTGTGGGATTTCGCACATATTGCATTGTTGCCACTTCTGACGCAGTAGTATAGTGGCTAGCACCTGCGTTGGGATGTGGGATCTTAACAACTAACTCCAGTCCGTCCTGCATGGTGACAAGGAAAGTCTTGTTGAAGTTTCCCTCGGGCAGCTTCGAGACGTTGACGCAAGCCGCATTGTCTCCGGCGGCTTCCTGCGCAACTTGTATTAGAGCATCCAGGTTCAATGAAACATATTGCTTCGCAGCTGCTGTTCTTCATTCCAAATCCATCGCCGAGCTGAGTAGGTGTAGAGTTCCTCCACATTACAATCTAAGACTTTGTGAGCATGCGACACTTACTGTCATGAAGACACGATACCGGATAGTTTTGTTTCAGAGATCTGCCCTGTCCGCCTCAGAATAGACAGTGGTCGAGAAACAATTGCTTGTAAACGTGAATAATCAACAATAAATGGAAAGAATTGTTTCTTTCCGATGCTTAATGGCATTTCAAGTGTAATTTCTCCCCAGACTGTAGGATTGTCATTCAGTTCTCAAGGATTCTAACCTCAGATGCTGTATGAAAATGCTAGAAAGAAATGTCTGCAGCAGCTGGTGTTTGGTCTTTACAAGAAAGTATGTGACTGTCCAGGTGGACTCGCAACAGGAAGTGATGGACGTGGAATCTGAGATTGATAAGATAGCTGGTCTTTGATTTGTCAAGTATCAGTTCGAATATCCCAGTTCTTTAAAAGCTGCATTGACGCGGTACCATTGATAGTCTGGGAAGAAGACTGTGGCATGATAACAGCTGAGAAGACCAGGAGCCATAGTTCTAGCTATTCTGGCTTATAACCGCAGAAAAGAGAGATGCCGATTGTTTAGTAATGGCTCGGGATAATTGCTCTTGCATATGTCAGTCAGTGACAACCTTCCCTACTCGTTAATGAACAGCAGTCGATACCCCTCATCTTAGTAAGGATATTGTGTCTCTGGTACTGACAATAAGATGGAGTAGAAATAGGAGAAATGAATACCTGTCCAGCTTACGGAGAACTAAGTGGTCTATTCCAATCATTACAATCCACATGTTTTTTCTTCGCACCGTTGTAACTTCCTAGAACCACAAGATAAAACCACTATCTTCATAGCGTATCTAGATGAATTGGGATTCCTGATTGCTTCCGTTCTGATGCTTATTAGCTGCATTTCTGATTTCTGTCATTAAGTACTCCAGTAAGCTAACTATCCATGTGTGTCTGCTGTCACCGGTGTAATCTCCACTGTGTTTCCCCTCAGACCCGAAACTTTTCTTTTTTTTTTATTTAATCTCGACGCTCCACCACACCACTAAGAAACCACCAAACGGACTCGTCCTTTACTACAGGCTACCTACCTTAACTAAGGTACCTTGACCAACTACTGCTAGCTTGGCCTGGGGCCTTTCTCTTCCCTTCTCTCACCTCTCACTCTCGCTCTCTCCTCTCAATCTCCCCTCCCCTCAATCCTACTTCTCCTTACCCTTCACTTTCTTGTCCTTTTTTCTGCTTGTTCATTTTCTTAATTTTTTTTTGTTTGCATCTTAAATCACGACAGTTTATCTGTTCGTGATTTAAGGTCCTCTGCTTATCTTTGCAGAGACTTTTTTTGCCCACTACTTTCCCCCAATTCACTTCCGTCCCGTCGTCCCCTTTCCGTCGCCGCTCCGTTGGCAGTGAGAGTGGAAAGAAGACAACAATCTGAGCGATGGCAACCGTCTCAGCACCTACCCCTAAGCTGGATCGCTACATTGTCATCCACGTCGCAACCACCTGTGATGAACATGGCGTCTACGTCACCAAAGATTCTGCAGAGGTGATCGAATTGGGGTGGATTCTGTTGGATACCAAAACCTGCGAGGAGGTGGGCTCATTCTTTCTGAATCAACAACACTCGGCCTTTTTCCCTCTCCTCTCCTCTTTGCGCCTCACTCCCCCTTTCCCCTCTCAGTGCCTTGGCCAACACCACCGCTGTTCGTCCGCCTGTCGCTGACTTGGACTTTTGTTCCCTCCTTAGCTTCATCGCGAAAGTGTTCTCGTCAAGCCCGTCAACACTCCCATTACGCCTCTTTGCAGTAAGTGGTTCTTTTCCTTTTTTTTTTTTTTTAATCTAATCATCTACCCAATTTCAACCGAACACGCGTTCTTCTTGAATCGCGACTCCCCCTGCCCCTACACCGTTCCCATGCACTGGATGCATCAGTCTGTTGGTTCAATGGCTGACAGTGTCTGACAGCAAGCCTTACAACTCTGACATGGGAACACGTCCGCTCGGCAGGTACCTTCCGTGACGCAATCAACCGCTTCGATGCCTTTGCCCAGGAACACCTCATCAGCAAGAATCTCGAGTTCGCCTTTGTGACGTTGGATTCGTGGGATCTCCGAGTGCAGTTGCCCCGTGAGGCTCGTGACAAGGCTGTCGTTCTTCCCCCATATCTTCAGCACTCACGGACCTTTGACCTCCGCACCGAGTACCAGAGATGGCAGACCCATCACCCCGAGTCTCTCCCTTTCGGCCCCAGCTCGCTTTCCAACATCTGCGCTGCGCTTGAAGTTGAACCTGTTCAGTCCTCCGCTCCGATCAAGCATAACCTCCCGTTCCACCTTCAGGCATTGGCCCCCGCCTCTCCTCGTCGGGCAATGGAGGAGGCTATCACTTTGGCTCGCGTTCTCCGCGGCTTGATTCGCAAGTCGCAGCCGCCGCACGAGCACCCGGAGATCTTGACTCGACCCATGGATGCCAGAGCGGATGTTCGTGCCTTTTTGACCGAGCGCAGTAAGGTCCTCCATCTGAGCGGTCTGCCCCACGACACTACACAGTCGGAATTGGAAAGCTGGTTCACCCAGTTCGGTGGTCGTCCGATCGCTTTCTGGACTCTCCGGACGCCGGATCAACACAAGCCCACTGGCACGGGCTTCGCCGTTTTCTCTTCCCACGAGGAGGTATGTACTCTTCAGCTTCTCCCTCTTTTCTCTATTGCATGATCCTGACACCGGGTGGTAGGCTGCTGAAAGCCTCTGTATGAACGGCCGCGCCTTGAACGAGAAGGCCATCGAGGTTTCACCCTCATCCAGTCGTGTCCTGGACCGTGCTGCTGAGATCTTGACTCCCTTCCCGCCGTCCAAAAACCGTCCCAGACCGGGCGATTGGACCTGCCCCTCCTGTGGCTTCTCCAACTTCCAGCGCCGTACGGCTTGCTTCCGCTGCTCGTTCCCCGCAATGGCTGCGGCTCCTGACCCGATGGGTTATGGAGCTTACGGCTACGGTCCCCCATCCATGATGCCCTCGCACATGGGCCATGGCCACGGAATGGGCCATCCTCGTGGTATGGGTGGAAATGGTGGGGTGGTTCCCTTCCGTGCCGGTGATTGGAAGTGCGGTTCCGAGGGCTGTGGCTACCACAACTTCGCCAAGAACATCAACTGCTTGCGTTGCGGTGCTCCTCGTTCGGGGGCCGCAGTTGTCGCTGACTCTGCGTTCCCCTCCCCCATGGACCCTCCGGCTGGGTTCGGCATGGGCCCCAACTCCATGACCAGCACCCCTGCTCCCGGTCCCTTTACTTCGGCAGCCGGTGGATTTGGTGGTTTCAACCAGCAATTCGCCGCGCCCCCCAACAACTATGCTTTGCCTTCAGGTCTTGGTAGCGCCCCTGGGGCCTATCCACCAATGGGTCAGATGAATGCCGGTTATGGCTCCACCAATGCCTCGCACACCACCTCGTCTTTCTCCAACCCTGCCACCCAGGCTGCTTTCAGTGGAGCTGATCACACCACCTCGACGAGCGCCTCGAATGGCGGATTCTATGCGACAGACGGATCAAATGATCCATTTGCCTTCCTTTCAACTGGCTTGGGCGGCTTGACCGTATCTGACGATGCCCACTCCCGTCGTAATGGCACCGGCGCCAGCAAGTCCCCTGCTTAAATAAAGCGGGTACACTTCTTTGGGTAACGACGAGACCACAGATGGTTTCTCATCAGCCCGATTCCCCCTCGCCTCAGTGGTTTGTCAATATGGAGGTCTGAGTCTGTTGGTATATGTAACGGTTGATATTCGTTGAATGCGCGTTTGTATAAGGGAATCTGCAGTTCTGGTGCATTGGTTGGGAGGAGCAGGCTGGTAGCGTGTCGTCGTTTCATCCTCGTGTTTGTTTTTTGTTGATCTTTCACAATTGTCTCGCAGCCTTTCTGGTCCACCACTTTTCGGCATGTTTTACTATTGCGTCTTTGGAAGCGATGTTTGAGGGTATAGAGAACTGTCTTTGGTACAGTCAATGGCAGATGGGCAAGGGGCGCTTTTATTCGTCGATTGTCCTTCGACTGGTTTTGATCATCATCCTTCACTTTGGGTCGGTTTGAGCTTCGCGCATTCTTCTCATGGGGCATCTTTCGACGGAGCGTTTTTTCTTCTCCAACCGCATGACTTCGCTCGAGCATTGCAACCAGTGGTGGACGCTCAAACTTGGCATTGCATTCTAGATATTGCTGTTTCTTCTGCACTCGGAATTACTGGAGAATCATGGTATTGATTACGGATGGGATACAATGGGATGGACTCTCGTTGGGGGTGTTGGGGTATTTCTTCTGCGTCAGCAAAATTTCAACACATTTGGGACACATGTGAGGCACAAAGATCGGGTATTGCGAGTGCAAGAAGATTGTTCTATATGTCTATAATTCCTCTGTTCCTCTCATGTTGTCTTTTGGCCAACATTGTTTACAATATGAAAAGTCGATGTTATGCTGTAAACCATCTCTGGAGGATTGCTTTACCAGCACGATTTGGTGCAAGAAAGATTAAATCACGATGGTCTGGGCTGGAGCTGTTCGAAGCATTCGCATACTTCCATTGATGTAGCATCATTAATTTTAGCTGAGGAAGAAGATAGAATGGCTGTTTAATGAGTTTGGACTGTCATATACCTGACATGGAAGCTTGGCTGATGTAGCAAATAGCCGCGCGCCAAGCGTCTGAGAGCTCTGAGGCAACCGCGGGACTCGCGTTCACCTCCATCCCGTCATCACCCCAAGGTCGGAGATACAATCCTCAGCATTCAGCGAACTACATTACGAGCCATCCATTTACGTCCTCGCCAACCCTTTCTATCGCCATTTCTTTCATTCCGTACCTATCTCCTCTAGACGCAGCACTTCTCACAGCCCACAATGTCGGGATATGACCGAGCTCTTTCAGGTAAGGCAGCTTAGCTACCCTAGCTACTTGCATCATTGGTCTAGAGGACAGCTTATTCTGACAGAGATATAGTGTTCAGGTATGTTCTGGTATATGCCAGAGCTTTAGAAACAGCTTTCTGACCATAATAACAGCCCCGACGGGCACGTCTTCCAGGTGGAATATGCCATGGAAGCTGTGAAGCGAGGTAGGTCAATCTGGCTTCTGAAGCTCCCAAACTTCATTCTGTTCAATCTCACTGACTTATCTCCGTGCTGAACAGGTACCTGCGCTGTCGGAGTAAAAGGTAAAGATGTCGTCGTCCTGGGTTGCGAGAAGCGGTCTGCCCTCAAGCTTCAAGATACCCGCATTACACCATCGAAGATTGCCCAGCTGGACAGCCACGCCGTTCTCGCTTTTGCTGGACTGAATGCCGACGCCCGTATTCTCATCGACAAGGCCAGATTAGAAGCCCAGTCGCACAGACTGACCGTCGAGGACCCCGTTACCATCGAATACATTACCAAATACATTGCTAGTGTGCAGCAGCGGTACACACAGAGCGGTGGTGTCCGGCCTTTCGGTATCAGTACTCTGGTTGTAGGATTTGATCCAAATGATAAGGTGCCTCGACTATACATGACCGAGCCTTCGGGGATCTACTCTGCCTGGTATGTGACTTCTTGGCTTGAGGCGAGTGATTTGGTTGGGTTAGGAACCGTGCTAACTTGGATACTTACTCTACAGGAAAGCAAATGCTATTGGTCGTTCCAGCAAGACCGTGCGCGAATTTCTTGAGCGGAATCACCAGGACGATATGGACCGGGAACAGACGATCCAGCTTACCATCAAGTCGCTGCTGGAGGTGGTGCAGACCGGCGCCAAGAACATTGAGGTGGCTATCATGGCTCCCGGCAAGACGATCGAGATGTTGCCTGACGACCAGATCGAGGCCTACGTCAAGAGCATAGAGACGGAGAAGCAAGAGGAGGCCGCGAAGAAGAAGACTGGCCGGACCGGAACCACAACGGCGGCCATCCTGACGCGGCCCGGCGGTGGAGAGACCGGGGAGTCGACCCGTGAGTCGGCTGACTGAGACTCTATACGGGACATGTGCAACTACAAGACCTGACTACAACTTTCCTCCTTAATTCATGAGACTTGCGCAGCGTCATGCTCCTGAAGAAATGGGCACTATATTGTAGAACCAACGAGTGTGCAACAGGTAGTCTATGATGAATCTGTTGGGATGCGGAGAGAGTGCAAGCATTAGATCGTAATTTTCGTAAACCATCGTGATCGATCCAACTCAGCCTAGCCGATCCGATATATCCTTGAAATTGAATATTGACTTTTCCTTGTGTTCCCGTACACGGTCGTCCTTGATCATTCTAAAGCGCGAAAAGTCAGCATCGTCCATCGAGCGCACACAACACTATCTCAAAAGCAGCACCAGACGGAACCAGACGGAAGGAACATACCTAGAATCAATCCGAGCATCATCACCCTCAACCTGCAACGCAGCCTTGGGCGTAACAGCGTCGATCACAAAATGGTTATCGCAGTGCGGGCAGTACTCGTCACTACCGTAAACATCAGCACCTGACATCCTCGCCTGAGAGCCCCTCGGAGTCACAAGTGCACTCCGGGCACCCCTGGGCCACTGAGCATGAACGCACCTCTCATCGAACTCCGTCGCGTCCTTCCGGAAACACTTCTTGCACTTTTTACAGGCAAATATCTGCGGATAACGATTTAGATCTAGGCTGATTTTTGCGGGTAGCGGGGGTTGTGGGTGTGGGAATACCATTTCGGTGGATTTGGTGAGCGGGTGGGTTTCTTGTTCGAGGTGGCATTCGGCGCAGTCGAACCATTTTCGGCCTGGGGGGATGAGGATGGTGAGTATTGAGGATAGCTACGGGTTTTGCGAATGCGTGTGGTGTGGTGTGCGTTGCTTACAGCAGGGAGAGCGGATGGCTACTTGAGCGTTGAGGACGTGTTTGCTATGCGGTGGTTAGAGGAGTAACGATACGGTGGTGGTGATTGGAATGGACGTACCACATTGTGAGGAGTAAATGAGTGTGATATGGAATGAGAGTGAGGATTGTATGTCTATGCTCTACTTCGTAGAGAGGTTGACTAGATAATTGATAGAGACTAAAAGAAAGAAGCTAAAAATAAAGGTCACCATCTTGGCTGATAGAATCAGAGTACGGAGTCTGGACGGAGGTATTGTCAGTGATGGATCGGATCGCAATTGTTAGGTTATCGTGGTCATCGTTATGGATTGATGCTCAGAAGAGATAGATCTTCATTCCCTTCCTTTTCAACTCTGGCCTTTGCTCCTCTACTGCTCTGCTTTCCTTCATTGATGCTCCCCTCTACTCCTCCTCAACCCCCCACTTGTTAATCGTCATCCCTTTGACTCTCCACACGCTTTTGCACCGCCCCCTGTCTACTTCTGGTCGATCTTCATCCTCGCCTTTTCCCCGAGTGCTCATCTCCAGCTACTATCTAAGTATAACTCCAGCTGCGGCTCAAGATCTTCGTCAGATGACTTCTGGACGGTCATTTCTCCTCCTCAGTTTCCTTTCTCGATCCATTCTCGCTCATTTATACCCAACGATCTGCACCTGACTTCTTGACCTGCCCGCCACCATATTTACTTCGAGTCTCTTCTCGGCTACTTGTCCCGACTCTCAATACCGCGACATAGAATAATATTGCACCGGACGCAAGGTTCGAGATTCGACAAAGGCCTATGATTCGTATCTCCCCCCCCTTCCTGCGCGCGATCTCTCGTTGTGGTCATGGAGGGAAGCGGCAAGGACAAGGACGGCACGGATAATGCTCCCATTGTATGAGTTGCGCTTCCTATGCGAGTGTATGAGCATCTTTTACTGATCCTGAGAATTTCCACAGAGACCGGTTTCCTCCCTTCTCTCACATTTCGAGAACCTGTCCCATCGCCGATCACCATCCGCCTTTACAGCTACGAGTCCGCATGATTCGACTCCCTTCTTGAGGACGCCCGAACCTGTCGACGAGGTGCGCTCCGCGCGCGCTTCTCTCGACCTTTCTCGGGCTCAATCTCCATGGAATGCGACGGCAAACCCTCAGAATGGCCAGCGGTACGATCGGACAAATGGCGGATTCTCACGGCGAAGCGGCTCCCCAGGAAGATCTCCAGGCAGGAGGCAGAGCAGACCCATGTCGATGATGTTCCACTCGTCGCCGCAACTGGCACCGACTTTGACGGTTGACTCGCCGCGATCACCTCCGCGGGGATTTGGATCCCAAAACCACGCTGAGCATACCGTCAACTCCAGGATGTCCCGCAGTCCGCCGGACCCCTCCCGGGGCTCATTACCGCCGCCGACCAACCGACCAACAACGCCCAATTCCTCGACGTTCCAGCAGCTGCCTGGTCATTTGTCGCCAGCGCATTCTCATTCGGGGAGCTTCATCGGTGAGAGTCCGCCCGATCGAAAGCAGAAAAGCTCTTCGTTGCCTCCCCCCATCGATCGGGCGGAGAAGCCGAAGGTCCCTGCAAAGCCGGCAGCCTTAGCTTCCCATGAGAGCGCAACTCTGGCACCCAAACCAGAGAGGACAACGCCGGAGGATCGGATATCACCGTTCAGCACGCCCCCGGGCAGTCCCGAGAAGCCGTCCGTCAAACCATCATCTTGTGGACGTCCGCAGATGCCACGCTCTCCTTCTCGGCCGACGACTGAACCCCCAAGTCGTCAATCGTTCGATGACAGGAGCCCTGTGCCGTCTGCGCATGCTCTTCGGGATGCGCGCGAGCTTGGCTTTTCGCGCAGGAGACCCATCCCGGAACCGACGCGGGACATGAAACCACTGATGGTACAGGTCCCACCACATCCAATGAAGCAGACGGAGCCCTTGTCAGCTGCGCCGTTGTCAGCTCGCAGGCTTCAAGCGACCGATACTACCACCGAGCCTCCCAGCCTCCCGCCACGGCATTCGTCGTTGGCGCAAAGGAGTGGCGCATCTCCGTCTCGGCCGTCGCTTCATCTGAACGGCTCTTCGCATCCTGAACCATCGCCTAGGCCGCAATCATTCCAACTGCCCCCAAGGGAGGTCCAGACGCCCACGCAAATACACCGACAGCCGTCGTTCTCCAGAGATGCTAAGCCAGGGCAGGCGCCTTCTGTTCCTGAACGGCAGTTGGCCCGCGCGGACACATTCGGACAGGATCCCGCGGACGAACCGGCAATCTCGCGGACTGATTATCCTGACGCATCAACAACTAATCGTCGACCGCCTCTTCTTAAGAATGGACCGAGGGAGATCCATACAAGATATGACACTCGTTTGATGGATGTATGCGGCAAGCATGTGTGTACAACAGGTTATTTGACGCGGGTATGGGATCTCACGAACGGAGAACAAATCATGAGTCTCAGCCACGGTGAGACTGTGAAGAGTCTATCGATAGCATTCAAGCCAGGTACCGGCCTGGAAGATGAGGGCCAGCGACTATGGCTGGGTATGAGCACGGGAGAAATCCATGAAGTGGACATCTCCACTCGATCCATTGTAGCAACACGCTCCTATCCTTCGCGTCGTGAAGTGATCAAAATCCTCCGACATAAAAAAGAGATGTGGACCCTTGACGACGAAGGACGATTGCTCGTCTGGCCACCGGATGAGACTGGGACCCCAAATCTTCAGTACAGCTACCACAACCCCTATGACCGAGTCGCCCGGGGACATACATTCTCGCTGGTTGTCGGAGATACATTATGGCTGGCCACCGGCAAGGAGGTCCACATATATCGGCCAAACGCACGTGACGATGCCTCATTTAAGGTCTTGAAGAAACCTCTGGGCTCGCAGCACACTGGCGATGTCACGTCCGGTATCTACACGACTAGAGATGGGGGCCGTGTGTACCTGGGCCATGCGGATGGCAAGGTTACCGTGTACTCTTCCACAGATTACGCTTGTCTAGCAGTCGTCAATGTAAGCGTTTACAAGATCAACTGCTTAGGCGTGGTTGGTGATTATCTTTGGGCGGCCTATAAGACCGGCATGATCTATGTCTACGACACAAGGACCAACCCGTGGGTGGTTAAGAAGGATTGGCGAGCGCATGATGGCCCAGTCTCTGGCTTCCTACTGGATTTCAGTAGTGTCTGGACCATGAACCGTCTGCAGGTGACTTCGTTAGGAGACGACAATTGCATTCGTCTCTGGGATGGAATGCTGGAGGATGATTGGCTAGGTAAGTTGATATTCCTTCATGTTGGATGGCGGAAAGTGAAAACTAACGGCAACAGAAACCCGCATGCAGAGCAGGGACGTAGAATTCTGCAAGTTCCGTGAGATTTCGGCAGTCATTGTGACATGGAATGCTGGGGCTTCTACGCCAGGTAGTGTCCGCTCCAGCAACTTCATTCAGGAGGCAATTCATCCCGAGAATCCACCCGAGATTTTGGTCTTCGGCTTCCAGGAGCTTGTGGATCTAGAGAACAAGAAAATCACAGCTAGTGAGTATACGTCTCGGCTGCCTCGGTTGTGCATTTTACTGATTCGTCTTTAGAAAGCTTGTTGTTGGGAAGCAAGAAGAAAGAGAGCGGAGAGAAAGAACATATGAGCCGTCAGTACCGGGTATGGATGGAGCATTTGACTCGCTGTATTAACGACTGCATGCCCCTCGAGGAGTCATATGTTCTTCTTCATTCAGCGAATCTCATTGGTCTCTTTACCTGCGTCTTTGTCAAGCACAAGGAACGACAAAGGATCAAGAACATCGGCGCTGCAGAGGTGAAGCGGGGTATGGGCGGATTGCACGGAAACAAGGTATGTATTGAGGGACTGCGCCGATTTGGGTCCGTTTACTGATTGCGTAGGGTGCCCTGATTCTCCGCTTCATACTGGACGACAGTTCTTTTTGTTTCGTGAACTGCCATTTAGCAGCCGGGCAGTCACAAACGGCGCACCGCAACAACGACATTGCAGCCATTCTTGAATCCGAAGTGCTTCCGGTAGAGAACAGCCTTACCACTCGGGCAAACCACTTTGTCAGCGGCGGTGATGGCACGATGATCATGGATCATGAGATTTGCATTCTGAACGGTGATCTTAATTACCGGATCGACTCAATTCCACGGAATGTAATCATTGAGGACATTCGCAATAACAACCTTGCAAAGTTGCTCGAGCGAGACCAACTGCTGGCATCGCGACGCAAGAACCCCGGCTTCCGACTCCGGTCATTCACGGAGGCGCCCATCACGTTCGCGCCGACGTACAAGTACGATGTCGGCACGGACGAATACGACTCGAGTGAGAAGAAACGGTCCCCTGCGTGGTGCGATCGCGTACTCTACAGGGGCCTAGGTCGGATCAAGCAGCTGGATTATCGACGACACGAGGTCCGAGCCTCCGACCATCGGCCTGTGAGCGCATCGTTCAAGCTCCGCGTCAAGACCGTGCTACCGCAGGAACGTGCCGCGGTGTGGGAATCATGTCAGCAGGAATTCCAAAAAGAGAAGCGGAGGCTGGCTTCTGAAGCTAGGTAAGCTATTCCCACTGTCTTCCTGTTTAGTCTTTACTGACGTGCGTAGCATTGAATACCTGATCAGCGTCCTGGGGACAGATCCTCAGCAGGCGCGAACACTGATTCTAGGCACGGGCAGTCAATGAGCCGTTGCCTAGTTTTTTCTTCTCGTTTTCTTGCATTGCGTTTCTTCTGTGGTGACCAGCTTCTTTGGTACAGGTAAAAGTTGGTCGGGAAGTGAAGTGTATAAGACGGTTTGCTGCGTCGCGGTGTTGTTACTGTGCTGTGCTGTGGTTGTTGTACGACTAATGATTTCACGATAGACATGTATCATGAAGAGAGCCCTGGGCGGTAGATAGATTCACTGCTATGCAGGCAGGTGATTAGACAACTGCATTCTGATCATAATTTTTCATTATACTATTTCATGCAGACATTACAACCCCCGCAAAGATAACCATAGTGGTAAACTCCCAGCCCTTGACCCTAAGGGCTGCAGTCCATACGTCACATCAGCATATACGGGCTTATCCGGCTGTCTAATGCAATGTCTAATGCCCAGCTAGTCACAAACATGCATTTCACCTTCTCGTTTCAACACGGTATACAGTCCGTGCTCCGCCTTTCAACCCGCACGGAGTATCTGCCATGCAACGGTTACAATATATTGCCGAACTAGACATAGCGCTAGCCTCCAAAAGCCAGAAGCTTAGGCTGTATTCTCCAAGAGCAGTCATCCCGGATCTGGTTGATTGGTTCGAGGACATGATGATCAGCGATGATGTACATCCCTCGGCGTCACTTGTCGCGGATGCTTGTTCGGTGGTCTGATGCGGGGAATGTTTGCTATATACATACTCCGCGTACGGCGTACCTCTATCAGTTGTGTCCACACTGAGAATCAGATCGAGGGGGCTTGACTTTTACTTCGTTTTTCTCTCCATTAGGTATCAGGGAAGCAGTCAGTCGACATGACGAGGTTTCTCTCTCTGACCACTGCAGCTGCAGTAGTAACCCTCGCTCGAGGAAGCAATGCCCTTGTTAGACCGGGCAATGTGGTAAGCTGCTCTTCTCTTCCAACATCTGTACGAGCGGGTCTGAGACTCAGCAGGGAAAACTACCAGCCCTAGGCTGGAACTCGTGGAATGCGTTCGGCTGCGACATTGATGCGGCCAAGATCATGACTGCCGCGAACGAGGTCGTCAATCTGGGCCTGAAGGACCTGGGATACGAGTATATCAATAGTGAGTTGCCTCGTCCAAGTCCTACGATGACGTTGGTGTTGACCGGGGTAGTCGATGATTGCTGGTCCGTCAAGAGCGGACGGGACGCGAGCACGCAGCGCATTATACCCGACCCTGACAAGTTCCCTGAAGGTATCTCGGGCCTAGCAGACCAGATCCACGATCTGGGGCTGAAAGTTGGGATTTATAGCAGTAAGTGGGAGCCACGGCTAACAGATACGTACATATGAGCAAGGGACTGACAAATGAAGGTGCTGGGCTGACGACTTGCGCTGGGTACCCTGCCAGTCTGGGATACGAGGACATTGACGCGCAGGCATTCGCAGAATGGGGTATCGACTGTATGTTTTGTCCCAAGACTTACATCTCAAGGCCCCTAGCTAACTAACCCGCAATCAGACCTGAAGTACGACAACTGCGGCGTCCCCTCGAACTGGACCGATGCGTACACCTACTGCGTCCCAGACCCGGGCAGTAAAGCTACAAACGGGACCTGTCCCGATAACAAGAATCCCGCGCCGGCGGGCTACGACTGGAGCACGTCGTTGACAGCGGAGCGATACAAGCGGATGCGCGATGCGTTGGTCAGCGTGGACCGCACGATGCTGTACTCGCTGTGTGACTGGGGTCAAGCAGACGTAAACGCCTGGGGCAACGAGACAGGCAACTCCTGGCGCATGTCTGGGGATATCACTCGTAAGCTCACGCCCGGCGTGTGCCCATACATGTGTCTATTATCTAACCGAGACCATCAGCATCCTGGCCCCGCATCGCCGCAATTGCTAACGAGAACACCTTCCTGATGAACTACGTTGATTTCTGGGGCCATCCTGACCCAGACATGCTGGAGGTCGGCAACGGCAATCTCACACTAGCAGAGAACAGAGCACACTTTGCGCTCTGGGCGGCGATGAAGTCGCCCTTGATCATCGGGACTGCGGTACGTTTGTCTTTGCAATAGGATTTATCAATATAGTGGACATGTACTGACTTGATTGTCAGCTCGACTCCATCAGCCAGGACCACCTCGCTATCCTCTCAAATAAGATTTTCCTAAAGTTCCACCAGGATCCGGTGGTGGGCCGTCCTGCGCACCCGTACAAATGGGGGTACAATCCTGACTGGACGTTTGACCCTGCTCATCCGGCAGAGTACTGGTCCGGCGCATCGTCGACGCTGGGTGGCACGCTGGTGCTGATGCTGAACTCGGAAGACACGAAGCAGACGCGTACGGCTGTGTGGAGTGAGGTTCCTGAGTTGAAAGATGTGCTCAGGAGGCAGGGAAAGCGGCGCACTGGATTTCGTGTGACGGACGTCTGGACCGGGAAGGATTTGGGTTGCGTAAGAGATCATTACCGTGTGGAATTGGAGAGTCATGATGTGGCCGCATTGGTTGTTGGGAGGACATGCTAGATGGTAGAATCTCTTCAGCCAAAGTGCCGACGGTTCGTCTGAGGATGTCCAGTGAACACTCTGTTCATAGTCCTCAATTATCCAGTCCACTCTGGACTATCATGAAGGGACTTTGTGTAAGACCTGCATACAAGCAGATGTTTTCTATCCAACGTATATCGACACTCAACGGAGTGCAAAGGGTTAAGTCCCACCAACCTGATGAATAGCATTCCCGCTACGCTATCAATCGTACCCAAAACAATACCTAATCCATCCATCAACAAAGCCGAAAGTATTCCGCGATTTGCATCAAGTCCGAAGCGATACTCTTCTCATCCTCCACCCACTCATCAACAAGCTTAGTCGTCAAGTCCTGTGCGAACTCGGGAAACTCCTCAAGAATATGCCTCGGGAAATTGGGATCAAAGTGGCCCCTTTCGCCATGGCTGTGTAAGGCATCCAACGTAAAATCGACAACTACATCACGCAGAAGCCGATGGTGTATCGAAGTCGTTGTATAACTTCCCTGACAGCACGAGGGTATACGGTTGGAAACGATGCTTTTCTGAGAATCTCTGCAAACTTCTCCTTGGCCAGGTACTTCAATCCTCTGATAAGAAGCCGATCCGCGAGGAGGAACACGTGTATATGAACAGAGAGCTCACAGCAGTGGAGACGATCTGTAGTTCCATAATGTCAGGAATGCACCTGCTCCGGCGTTAGGGCCTGGACTGACCGACAAGATCGCCCGGTGGGCTTTGTCCTTCAGCTAAGAACGATGTAGGAAAATCATAATCCAGGTAGAAGGTGTAATCGCTTGAATAAAGGTAATCGAGCAGCAGAAGGACGATCAGCGGGTGGTCAGGGAGCCTGATTCGCCCCGTGCAGGCTTCCTGCAATATCGTGGTCAGAAGGCTTGCTTGTTAGAGACGAGGAAGCAACTCGGTAACCAACGGAGAAATGCGAGTCAAACACTTTGGCGAAAAAGTCGGACTGTGAGCAGATGATTGCCTTATGGGCTGGAAAGATATGACCACCGCAAAGAATCAGGAAGTCGCTGTACTTGGGGTTCGCCCTCAGACTGTTTGGACAGGTTTCCTTAGTAGATCTATAAAATTGTGGCCTCACGGAACTCACGTTGCGATGGAGGAGGACATCTCGTTTCTGCGATTGGTTTCTGCGGCCACTTCTCGCTCTGATGGATCCTCCTCACCGTTCGTTCCATCCAGAGTGTTATCATTGTCTGAAACGACTGCAGCCATCGTCTAGCTGCTCTCAAGACAGTGGAGAGGGTTCGAGATCGCAGATTCCTGTCTAATACTGACCGTTCCGAGAGGAGATAACCATAGTGAGATCGTGCTGATATTGGGATACCAAGACAGAAAATTAGTGGAGGATGTAGGTGGTACAAGCGAGTCTAAGAAGCGAACAAGGATGAAGTCTATTTCGGTACCATAAATGGAAGGAGGTTGTCCAACCTTCCGGTCCCAAGATCAAATTCACGTATCGTAACAACAGCTCAGGACAATCTTTGGTCCAAATGTCTGACCCAAGAGAAGTGTCTCTGTCGTGGGTTCTAGAGATTCTCTTTTAGCTCCAGCGCTTTGCTTCTGGGAGATGAAAAGAAACACGCCATCTATATGAAAGCCCACGATTCAGCAATTCAGGGTATATCATTATGCCATTATTCCGTTTTGGTCATATATCACTTATATCACATGCGCACGTCCCCTTGGAATGATCAGCAGAATCACCGCCACAAATCTTGCCGACTTTGACGCCGCCAGCCTCCACTACTCTTCGGGCGATCCTCATCGACGGGTACGGCGAGAAATCCGCCGAATCCATTTCCGACGAGGACACTCTTCCTTGCGTCTCCTCCCCAGGATCGACTCAATTGTGCGTCATGGAAGCTCACCGGCCGTGTCGTGCTCTCCCGCCGGCCGCGCGTCTGAGGCGGCTCGTACGGAGTAAAGTTCCATTCAAGTTCGTCCAATCCCTTGCTGTACACATTGAGGGGCTGCGAGAGACCGCCAGCAGGGATTTGCGGGCCGTTTTCACCACCTCCGAAGATCCGAGGTGGAGGTGCAAGTAGCAGCGCTTCTGGGAAGCTGGCGTCGCGAACATACAGATCGCGTAAAGCTGGAAGACAATTTGACATTAAAGAAGAGATCAGGTAGGTATAGTATGAGGCTGCAATAGGTGGTAGACCATAAGACGTGTTCGAAGAAGTGATCTCATAGTGCAGCATGTTGAGCGACGTGGACGCCAGGGGCGGCACCTGTTCAGTGGGAAAGGATCGGGACACTTCTTGAATGAAGAAAAGCCCTTGCAGACATGGCGCTGATGCTAGAATTTGATACAGAGTGGATGGAAGAACTCCGGTGGCCGACAAAGTCAGATAATGCAATGATTTGCGATTCACAGGAAGGGAGAAGAACGCGGCAAGCCCGCTTGCCGTGACCTTCGGGGTATCTCGAAGTGTAAGCCGTTGGACGGCGGGGAATGGAGGCAGTGATTGAGAATGTCTAAAAGCGGAATCATCAAGCCAAGGGAGGTCTTCCAACGTCAATTCACGCAGCTGGGGGAAAGCGCCCAGACCAAAACGAAGAATGTTGGGCTCGATTTGCAGTCGCGACAACTCCAAGATTTCCAAGTTCATCCACAAGCGGGACCCAGGCAACTGCGAAAAGCTTCCTTCGGAGCCATGGCGATAGGCCATGCGGCGTATATCGGGACAACGGGCCATGAGCTCTTGCTTCAGGGCAAGACATGTCGGGTCATCGCTGTATAGGCCAGCCGGCAAGTCCACGTATCGGAGGTTGGGGCACACCGAGATCGTTCGGGCAATGCCCGCCTTATTTGCTTCACGCGTCATGTACGGCATTCGCAGAGACAAGACCATGTTTCCCAGCTCATCCGAGTTTCGCACTGAGCGCATGAATAATTCCAACCGGGCCTGGGGTGCATCAATGGGGTCGCCATTGCGGTCAAAGAAGGAACGGCGCTTTCGCCTGGCTGCCAGTTGGACTTCAAGTTCGCAGTAGTGGACGGCGTCGATGCGGACATGGGAGTACCTGTGTATTGGGATTCAAATGAGCAACGAGATCAAACGACACGGAACAAGAGTAGACCAGAGCGGAGAAACTTACAATACACTTCGAGCAGCCGGATACCACCGCTTGCACACCACAGCACAGTGTGCTAGGTCGCGCATGTCACAGAGCATGCAGCCATCCTCGGTCATGGACTCCTCCGAAGTCGCATAGCTGCTGTCCGCTGCATGGGGACAAACAAAAGCAAAGATTCGCGCCAGAACCGGAGGAGGAAGAATCTTGGTGAAATCTCGCCTTAACGTGGGAACTGGGGGGACACTATGATCGGGAGAGATGCGGAGATGTTCATAGCTGGCCGCATTCCCCGCACGGCTGTGGCTCTTGGAACGCCGTCTGAGTCGATTAAACAAACCCATAATGATTATGATATTATTGCTAGAGGCGTTTTGCGGAGTGGGAGAAAGACGACATTGATAAGGATTGTTGGGTTAGAGAATCACCAAGGGGGCTGAAATTTGAAGAGTGATCAACTGGAAATTAAATAAAGATGAAGGAGGGGGAGGACCGGAGGATCATCAAAACTAAAGGATAAGCGAGGCTGCGAGACAGTCGGTTATGATTGGGACATGCACTTGTCTTAGTGAGTTGGATTATCGGACGACCTTGGAGGATTGGACAGTTGGAAAGCAGAGAGATAGATAGCCCTTTCTGATGTCTTTATCCGTCGAAATTCGGGTTCATTTTTCCATTGAGTTTCGACCACGGAGTAGACAACGGCAGACGGAAAGTAAGTTCGTCTTTTTTGACGGCTGGAGGTGTGATAATGTGATTGGGACCAAGAACGATGGACACGCGCTGGAGGCTTCTTTGTCGCTGGTCTTGGCTATTTGGCTGGTCTTGAATGGAGGAATGAAGGATTCTGATATTCCCCTTTGGGCTTGTCTATTTATATCGGTCCTATCAACGAGGTCACTATCCTAACAGTACATTTGCCGCGCATGAGTATTTCAACGTCCTTGTCGATTAACAGCTGTCAAATTGTTTGACATGTACAGGGATATCCAGCAGTTCTTTCAAAGTTTTGATCCGACATTCAAAAGTGATGCCGATTGCCAAGCTAGGAGCTTTGTACGAAACGCGGGCGGGTGTTTCAAGTTGGCAGTCAGAACTGGCCGATCAGACTTAAACCAGTGGGGTTGTAAATGAACGACGTTTCAGCCTTTGAACCGTTCCTTTCGAAGTAGCCAGTCATAGTCTATATTATCCAAGTTAATCCAGAACCTTTTTTTGGGTCAATTAATAATCAGACAACATAACTGGGCTGGGGATCAGTGCAGCATTTTGAGAGCACGTGAGCAACGACAGGGGTCTAGATAATCGTACACTACGAGGTATTCTCGCGAAAGTGTTGAAAGGTGGCAGGAGTCCCGTTATTAAAACAATCTTGATCGATATCACTAATTAGTTAGTTTTGGCTGCTACGCTAGCCATCGACTTTAACTCCGATGCTCACGTGGCCTGATCGTCACCAGTTGGCCGGACTCGCTCGTATGAGGTCAGATTGGGTTTGAAATCTGCAGGAAATCAAGAAACTTTCATTCGATTCTGGGGAAGCTTGATGATAAGGTTATGTCTATATCCATGGAAGTCCCTGATATATTCAGCCGTCAATCAGGGAAGTCAAGGCATGTATGTCCAGTATCAATTTGCCTGACATCGTCATGATGTCATTCAATCATGATTGAATACATTCAAGAATGCCATGAAGGACCTGATTGTCCATGGTATATAAGCCGGTCCAAGAGAGTCGCATCGAACAGATTGAACATTGTCCTCTCTGGAAAACATTCATCTTCATGCTTTGCACAAGGTTCGCAACCGCTCGTTGTGCTACCAATTGGTCATTCTCGACTGCAATTCGTTCAGTTAAGCATCAACAGACAATCAAGCGGGTTTACCTGACCAAAACTGCTCGGACTGCATCACAGTATCGTTTCCAGGTCAGGCCATTTTCAAAAATAACAGAAGATATGCCAGCGAAGGGATCGTCAATCCCCAAACCCAATGTTTCCAATGCGTCATCTGAGCGCCCTATGGAGAATGAGGAATGGAAACAACGTCCTCCGTATCTGATTCAACCCCCCGAGGAGTTCGGTCCGGTGAAGTGGCGAGCCAAATGCCAGTGTGGTCAGGTCACCTATAAGATTAGTCGAGAAAAGCCGCTCAAGGCCAAGTACTGTCATTGTCGAGGTTGCCAAGTCATGCATGGTGAGTAGTCCATGGCATATAGTCCACACAACGTCCAAGACATTGAGAGACACTGACCTATTTGCAGGAGCTCCTTTCCAATGGGCTGCAATTTTCCACAAGTCTGATTTGACATTCGACAAGGGAGCCCACGGTCTCTCATTCTATTCTTCCGCTCACAGCACGAGAGAATATGAGGTTCCAACAAAAGTATCATGTTCATTCTGTCGGACTCCCATCATGGATGAAGGACGAAATGTATGCCTCATTTTCCCAGAAGCCATTGTCGCCGGTGATTCGGACGAGGAGCGCCAGAAGTGGAGGGAGGCTTTCGCACCTGAGTATGTCATCACTTCTCAACGATTGCCATCACAAATTCCTGGCTAACTTTATCACGCAGTTGTCATATTTTCTACGACAAACGTTGCATAGAAATCTTAGATGGCAAAACTAAGTGGTCAGGGATGGATGAAGAGAGTGATCTCGTGGACGACTATGGTAATAAGAAATCAGAATGAGCATATATAGTACATATTTCAATCTATATGTTGGATCTACTCATAAATTTTTTTGAATGATATCTTCAAGATTATTCATGTCTGTTTCTATACATCCATTCCCGCGGTCTGCCTATACTGGAGTGCGGAAGCCAATGAACGCCATCAACGAGAGCATGTTCCTCTAGCAACATAATCTAATTACCGATTTATGCTAGTGTAAACCTAGCTGTCACAGTTTCACTCGGGGCCCTGGACCGCATTGGGAAACTCGTCCTAGAAAATGGCCCCAAGGTGAGCTTGTGATCGACACTATCACTGATTATTCGGCTTCGGCTTCTCACTTGAGACAACCATGCATGATGAGCCGTTCTGATTGCCTTCAGCTGCCATCCATCAGCCAATCTCGTCACTTGGTTCTTGGTAAGCTTCTCATTAAAGTAACTAATTTCTTCACAGTATTGGCACCTTGGAATGTAACGCGAGCCGTTCAATCTAGGGGCATCAACAGAATGTTACCTTCTCTTATGAGCTCTAGTTCACACTGGGATCTGTCCCTTTAGACGTTCATCTGCGGGGATTTAAGAGATGAGATTTCCTCTGCACAGATTGGATTTGATGTATACTCCTCATCCTGGGCAGCAACTGTGAACGGGTACTAAGAATTGTAACCTACCATGTGGTCAAAACTTCATTTCGTCAGTCTTGCTGCACTGTCAGCCAGGTTGGCAGCAGCAGTCACCCAAATCACAGACAATGAGATGAGCAATCTTCTGAGTCAAGGAGGCGTCGAGCTTGCAGACCGTTACGCCCCGCTGTGGTTTTTCGGTCAAGCCCAGAACCAGCCTCCATGCTATCCTACATGGGCCTTTGGGGGCTCTCCCACTTCGCCTGATACCTACGATGACGCTCACAAAACACCGGCCGCGCCACAGTGTGACTATCCCAATGTCGGATGCAAGTGCCGCAACCCTGGCGTGGGGATCGGTAACCGGGGACCGGCGTTCCCAATATACTTCACCTACAAGAGGTGTAGTGACACTGAAGTGCGGGTGGTGTATAACCTGTTCTATGAGAAGGATGGTGCTGAGGTCGTCGGTATCGAAACTGGTCATGATTAGTGAGTATATTGAACTCTCCAAACGACCAATCCGAGGAGCTAATAGGGTCTAGTGACTGGGAGAGAGTGATCATCATCCACTCGAGAGACGCAAACAACATGTGGGCGCCATCCCGTGCCCTTCTCTCTGCGCACAGTGGCTACCATGACCTTGCATGGGGAGATATCCAGAACACGCTTACCACCGACGAGATCAATGCCGGGGACGCCAAAAATCCCAATGGTGTGCAGAATAACGACCATCCAAAGGTCTATGTTGCTTGGTCCAAGCACGCTCACTTTGATGACCGCAATACCGGCTGGAATGATCCCATCAGCCAGTCAACGGATAACGCGTTCCGCAGCGATGACTGGTGGTATTATGTTGACAAGAGCTATTATGTGAGTTCTTCGTCTGTTTCTTTATGACAAGTTCGGAGTTGTTGACAAGCACCAGATTCTGTCGGACGATACCACAGCTGCTGGCAAAGCTCTCGGGTCTGCGAACTGGGGCGATGCAACTAGTAACCCTCCTTCTGTGCATGCAAGTGTGTGCTCTGCGCCATGATAGTAAATGATTCTGTATGAGGTTGGCAATTAGGTCGAATTGATCAAGAGTCCTACTTCATCTGTGCGCAGCCAGTCTTTGGGGGCTATATATACAATAATGCATCATCGCCATAAAGTGCGAGTTGTGCAATCACCATTGACAATAGCTGTGTGAGGGACCGACCCCGTAGTATGACTTTGCCGAATGACGTCGATGCCCAAACCAGCGAGATCCCCACCGTCGCAACTCGCAACTCAACAGTTGACTCCAGCAGACATTTTATAAAGCGACTGTACAAACTCATACTTCAAACGTAGCTCAATTGGCTCCGAACCAATCAATCATTGAATCCCTCGTTATCAATTCCAATCTACCACCCATTCGCGCTCCAAAGAACCCCGCAACACCATCCCACCAACCAAAAATCCATCACCTAACAGCATCAACCACCAGCTCCAACCTCAACTTCAAACGCGAAGCAAAATGTCCTGGTTCCAAAAAACCTTCACCCTGCCCCCTCGCTCCCGCGGCTCCTACCTTATAACCGACGAAGTCCTCTCCCAACTCCCCGAAATCCGCAACTACAAAGTCGGCATGCTCAACCTGTTTGTCCAGCACACCAGCTGCGCGCTCTCGCTGAACGAGAACTGGGACGAGGATGTGCGCGCCGATATGAGCGATGCGCTGGACCGAATTGCGCCGGCGGATCGGAAGGGGAATCTCTATCGGCATTCGGCTGAGGGGGAGGATGATATGCCGGTATGTTTTTCTTTCCTTTCGGTTGTGAATTGAGTTGCGGTGGCTGATATTGGGCAGGCTCATATCAAGTCCGCTCTTGTTGGGGCGTCGGTTAATATTCCCATCACGAACGGGAGGTTGGCGACGGGTACGTGGCAGGGGATTTGGTATTTGGAGTTTCGGACGAGTCGGCACACGCGCAAGGTTGTTGCGACGATTCAGGGTGAGAAGGCATGACTTGATGGAGGGGTGAACAGTACCTGGGGGCGTCTGTGATTGTCTTTGAGCGGATGGTGACAACTACGAAAGTCACTAAATTTATTAGTGGATGTAGATGCATGGGCGCTACGATAGCTGTGGAAATGACTTGTTGATAGTATATGAATGCTTGGTGTATATATCATAGCCGCAGATAAACCAAGCGGTATGATCCAGTCTTATGCCCATCGCCCTAAACGGAAGAACAAGTCGGATCTAGAAGAAGTGAATCTAGCAGTTCATTGATCTGGTACAAATCTGTACATGAGCCCGGCAGGGCTAAAGAATATCAAAACAATTCATCAACGCCAACAATGAAAATAACCGTTCTTCTACCGCTGCTCGAATGCACCTTCGGTAACACGTTGCGTCTCGTTCACTTCAGTGGCCTCACCGGTGGGTTCGAGCGGGTAGCTGGTAGCGGGGAGAGACTTGAGGTATGCACGGTGCTGCTCGTGGGCCTATAGATCATTTGTCAGCGTGTCCATGCTCCAAATCCAGAGGAAAAACTTACGAAAGGAAGACCGCAGTAGCCGCAGGTAGCAATCTCGGGCTTGTCAGTGTTGATGAAGATACGGGGGTGACCCAATGGGCCGCCGCCTCCGTCACAGCTGACGATTCTCTTGTTGGTCCAGCGCACGGGCTGCTTGTGGATAAGTTCGATGGCGGCCATGGGTTGAGGCTAAGGGATCCATGTTAGATATATTTCATGCGTCCACGTTCCAATGAGTTCCTGCAGAAAGTCCGTTACACACCTGAAGCTCCATGATGGTCTGCTCAAAACGAGGACCGGTCATAGCCTTTTCCCGAGGCTGCTGGCTAGCGGCCCATGTAGTGGCACGGTTGGGGGCCTGAAGCTGGCGGTTACGCTCGCCGGCCTCGGGCTCCTCGCGCATGGGAGCATCCCATACACCCTGTGAGTCGGTAGGGGTGGCATTGGTGGCAGAGACATTGGGCTTGGGAGTTCGCGGGGTCGGGTCGTTGGCTTGCATGTGGTTCTCTGACAGGCGAGGCACGGTTGTTGTGTAGCTGGCCCGCGCAACGAAGCGGGGAGTCCATGCCGTGGAAAAGGCCGCGACGCGGCTTCGAGCACAGGACAGCATGCTGGGCAATTGAGGTCCCTGGTGGCACAAAGGAAAGGTGTGTATTGGGCGGCGGAGGGCGGAGGTTGTAGTCGGGATGAAGGGTGAGGTTTGCGGGAGCTCGCGCGGCCGCTTGTCTGACCAATGGGAGCCGCCCCTGCGGCTGTTACGGCGAAATTCTGCCGCTCGCGATGAAATAATTTCTTGCCTGTTTCGGTCACTGTTTTAATGTGGTCGTTGTTTCTGTTTGAGAAGGCCTCACTCGTCAAGCCAAGTTTAGGAATTGAACCAAGTACTACCTGCTCAAGGGTTTGATTCAGATTCACGACTTCTTTGTATATGTTATTTGCGTCCTCTTCCATTCAGAAAGCGTCATCATGCCTCCATCTACATCCTCTGGCTCTAAGCCAGAAAAAACCATGTCGTCGCGTTTACTAACTATGAAGGTGCGCCAAAAAATCAATATCCTCTACAAATTGTCCCTCGGTTAGACTGACCAAGTATTGTACAGTTCATGCAACGAGCTGCTGCCACCGCTGCAAGCAAAGAAACACCGCAGACTTCCTCCGCCGCAGAATCCACCACTTCAACACCGAAGCGACCAAGGCTTTCCAGTGAGGGCATATCGCAAAGTCCCGGTGCAACACCATCGTCAGATTTAGAAGCTATCTCGGCCGCTCTCGCGGCTGAGGAAGAAAAGCGAAGGGAAGCCATCGCGAGGCAAGCTGCAGATGCTGGCGAAACTGAATGGGTGCTCGACTATTCTGGAGCGGAAGATACGGGCAATGAGTATGCAGCACAACCTCTTGTTATTGCTGCGGACTCTCTGGACGCGGACGACGATGATCTGGCCTACGGTGGTCGACAGGCGTATGGAAATTTCAAACGCAAGAACAAAGTCGAGGTTTGTGATTGTCTTCGTTCTACTACGATTATATATAACTAACAGTGCTATCCACAGCATTCCGATGCTAGCGCAGATCCGACGGATCCCGAACACATTAATTCCATGATCAACAAGGCGAAACAAGAAGCCAGACAGAGACCTGTGAAATTGTCTCAGCTATCAAGTATTTCTGGAGGCCGTCATAGCTTTGGTGGGGGTGACAAATCGCAGAAGAAGCGGAAGCATAAATAAATTGATCCCTCGACGACTGCTTATCAGCTCAACTAGGCATGCTCGGTGCTCAGGGGTGTGCTAATCGTGGCCAAACGATGCCGAACCCTGGCTTTCTGTCTAAATTGCCAATTGCCATGTGTTCAGGAAACAGCTCCCTGGCTATGATGTGAGGCCCGCGTTTTCCACCTGGTTCACTCGTTCTGGGTCGGACTTCTTGAAGATGATGGGTACATCTTCAAAGCCGAATGAATACTCGTGGACTTGACCAATAGACCCGAATCTTCGAGTCCTCGGGAGCAGTGAAAGGAAGGGAACGAAATCCGATTTCGGTTCGCACATTTTCCAGCAATGTTGGCATGATTTCCACAAAATGCGCCGATCTTGCGTCGTACGGAGAGCACCTTGTGAAATTCTCCAAGGCATCACACGGACGAGACTGCAATGGCGAATGAGCCTTATCTGAGATTGACGCCTGCTTTCCTCGGGTTAATGTTGTCTATGCCCATAACAGCGATCACCTTACTTGAGCAGCGGGACCTTTAGGGTCACCAGTCGAATGAAATCCTCTTCGATAGGTTGGAAATAACGCTGCGACGTGCATATCTCCGTCGACGGACTGTTTGGAATCAATGCCCAAGGGACGCACGCCCTTTGGCAAAATTGAGCGTGCCTTGTCAACATGAGACGTCACTCGAACCACGCGAGATTGCTCCGTCTCAGAGGATTCCATGCGACTAAAACAAGGGCAAGGCATTTTCTGTGGGACTACCTCTTGCGTCTCAAATCCAATTGAACTATAGGAGTGTGAAGGCAGCGACGGGTACCATGATGATCTTATAAATTACCAGCACTTTGTGGTGCAAATTAGTTTGGTTCGAGTTGCTATGTTCCTACAAGAGGCCAGCATGATGGCTTGATGCACCTCAACATGATCTGTTGTTTGCCAAAGCAAACACAGGGGCAGATTCAGAGAGTTCAGCTCATGTCGAACCGATCTTGGCCTCCTAAGAGAGCCCTGTCCAAACACCCAGCAAGTGTCTGATTCCTCGAAACATTCGTTTGCTCAATCCAAGCTATTTATATTACAGAGTCTATAGTTCCCTCTAGAACGCGGCACAGATCCCTGGGGCTTGCTTTTAGTCCCGCAGTCGTTTACAAATCAATACCTCTGTAGACTAGCCCATCGCTTCAAATCATAGCTTGGCCTTCTCTTCCCTCTCTTTCTTCTGCCAGCTCTTTTGCGTAGCGAAATTCACTGCCAGATTCCAAGCCGCGACGCCTACTCCCAACGGCGGTGCCAGCAACAGAACCCACGCCCACCACTTCGGGCTCGATGCCTTAATCGTCTCCATCGCCTTGCTGACCTCCCTCTCCAGGTCTGCCTTATCCCCATCGTTCCACACAATAACCCCCCTCGCCGACCCCGTCCCCCGAAACTCCGCCTTCTCAACTTTCCCACGCACATCCCCCTGACTCCTCACCCGATTCTCCGCATCCTCAGCCGACAAATGCGGATCCCGCGCGCGCAGCCGCGCCATCTGCACCGCCGGATCCCTCACGCCCACAACCACCACCGTCCCACAGATCAAGTCCATCCCGCTCTCAAACAACAGCGGCACGTCAAGCACAACGGCCCAGTGGCCGCGCACATAGTAGTACATCAGCGCCTTGTAGATCTCCCATCGTACCGCGGGGTGCACGATCTTGTTGAGGATCATGCGGTCGCGCTTGCGCTCTTCGCTGGTTCCGAAGACGCGCCGGCCGAGGGCCGGGCGGTTCAGTGGTCGTTGTGAGCTTGTGGCATCGCTGTCTGAGGAAGGGAGGAGGAGGTCGGGCGTGCTGGGGCCGAAGTAGTTGACTATTGCTTTGTAGGCTGGTGTGCCTGGTTCGACTACCTGGCGGGCGAGAAGGTCGGCGTCGATTATGGGGAGGGAGTATGGGGGTGATGAGAGGAGGGCTGAGACAGTGGATTTGCCGGTTGCGATGGAGCCCGTTAAGCCGATTATGAGCATTGTGTGTTTGTGTTTGATTGTTCCGGTGGACAGAGGGGGAGTTGTGCTCTGCGGCGGCGAGGCGGGTTGATGCGGAATCAATCTATTGTCTATGGAACTGACTGGAGTTCGTGAGTTGTTGAATAAGTTGACTATGTAGATCGTCAGGATGTCGTTGTTGTGAATGATGACGTTGAATGTTTACGGAGGTAGAGTTGGAGGTGATTTCGGGATGCGGGGACTCCCGTCAGCCTCGGCCGAAGTATGTCTCGGATAGAGAAGCTGCTAGCTATCACGTTTACAATCGTGAAGAGTAGGAAAACTCCACCAATATTGAGTTACCGTGTATACGTCTTTCATAGAGTAAATAGGTATCATCGAGAGGATATTACAAAACTATCGTCACTTTTCGTGAGGCCGCACAGGTTCGTCCAGAACAGCCATGTGGCTGGGTGTTGAAGGGGAGATCGTGACACCACACTTCTCAGCTCCATCGTATCTGTGACGACAAATCCAGCCCATGAAGACGATGTACCGGAGCGGGGCCATGTCAATTAAGTCCCCCTAGAAGCTCGAGGACGTTCCATTGGTTGACCTAGACTGGCACGTCCATTTTGAACCAGCTTGCAGTACAACCAGAATGAACCAAAGTCAGGCTCTTGCTCTCAGGCAATGCAGGCGCTTCTTAGCCGCCAGTCATGGCAGTACGGCGAAGTCTGCTTCTCAAGAGCACAGGTACTCGACGCAGGTCCGGAGCTAACTGAGATTGCAGTAGCAAATCTAAGCTTAGGTCTCTGGAAGGCCTGTACTGGGATCTTGCTGCTGGCCCTTCCAACCAATGTACGGCCAACCCTGTGGAAGAGTTGAATACGGCGGCAGCACATAGCGCCCAGCGCATTCCCTCTCATTCGGACATGTCAAATCGCATAAACCGAACACCTTGCAATAGCATTCTTCCGCCGTGGGGCAGTGCACTGGTCCCTGGCCAAAGATCACTGATGGCTGTTAGCACCGCATTGCTCTTCAAAGACACTGTGACGCAGGGGCCGGGGGTCGGAAACATACTATGCCACGAGTACTCCATAATCCGTCCACTTAGGTCATCCTTGAGGGGCGTCTCCGACAACCACTTCCTGAACCGCACATAGTCACTCTTGGGCCGTTGGCGGACCTTCCAGCTTGTGACTCCAAACTGCGCGCAGCATGATACTCCAACCTCGTCTGGTACATCAGCACCAGGAAACAGCTCCATGAAGCCGTTCTTGAAATACTCCCCCGCATGCACGTCGTCACGGTGCGTATCGGTGTGCGGGTGGATCTCCGCCGGACATCCGAGAGTCCACGCACAGCGCAGATTGACATAGCCTTGCTTTTGGAGATAAGGCACTTGGAAACGACGGAGCATGGGAACTCCATCGTAGTAGGGATCGTCGTTGTGCCATTGAAAGCGCTGCGAGTGGATGAAAAGCATCACGTCCGGCAGACGGTCATAATTATCAATTATGTATCTATCCTCTGCAATCAGTACTAGCCTCCGCGCAAAGGATAACAAACCAGAGCAAACCACATACGTCAAATATACCATAGACTCCCGTCCTTTGTTCTGCGCCACGGTCAACTCCGCATTCTTATCGTCGACCACGTAGACGCTCTTATGCCAGTCCGGGAAATTCTCGAACAACCATGAGGTATTATCGCTCTTCATGCTTGCGACCACCATATCTCTCTCGATTCTCTTGGTGTCGTGCGACGGGGATGCCTGCCCCGAACGCGAGTCCCGGTTCGCCGCTTCGTGTACCGGATGATGAGCCGAGACCGCTGACTCTCGGTCCGTGGAGCTTTTTGCAAAGAAGAGAAAATATAGAGCGTAGATGATGACAATTGTGAAGAAGATCGCCTTTTCCTTATTGCGACGGCGCGGGCTCTGGACTCCGCCGCCGAAGAACAGCATGGTTGTAGACGCAGGTGAAAACCCGAGAGTGGGGGCTTTAAAGCAATTCCGCTATTACTGATGAGAGAAAAGTATCAGCAGCATGGAGCAGCGACCATCGCGGCGTGTTGAACAGATGTTGAAAATGCGCAGAGTCGGCTCTCTGGCGGAGTGGCACAGGGTTGTAAGGGTGGATTCAATTGCGTAAAGACGTTCGAAAGGATTGCGCGCTACTGGTCGTTAATCATGGCAGAATTAATATTATATTCAAGCAAATGAGCATTTAGTAAGTATGCACTCCGTCGAGCCAGCTTCCACCAGCCGATGATCAGATCAAGTGGATGAAGCTGGGGATAAACTCCAGGTGTCCAAGTCCAAACCAAACAAACTTCCCCCAGAACCACACCTGTCCACTATGTGGAGCCAGAGATGTGTACAGTTTATTCCTACCAACTGACATAAACCCCAGTATAGAAATGGTTGCTTTGCAGGAAATAAGTCATCAATTCATTCCTCGTTCATGAGTCCAAGCCTAAGCTATGTTGGCCCTTTTATATATCCAAAAGCTGTTATATACTGCGATTATTGACAACCATCAATATGGCCGATATACCAGTTATGGGCCTCAATGCTGGTAGAATCCTCTCCCGCATTTCCACCACTTGAGTCGATTCCCTGGACGACCGTGACATCAGACGCCGTGACAGGAGCGTCGTCACCGCTCGTGATCCAGTACTCTGGGCTGATGTGGCTGAAGCCAAAGACTCGGGGCGGGAGTCTGGGGACAATATCGTTTGTGTGTGTGACACGGTAGTTGGAACCCTGTCCGGTGATGAATGTTGCCAAGGCCTTGTTTCCAACACGGGGGGATCCGTAACCATACTTCACAATCAATTAGTCCCATTACGCCCTTACCTGATTGACAAGGGATGACTTACCAGCTGAACAGGAATCCCAGCTTTCCGCAACGTAGCAGCCCCCAGTGTTGCAAGGGCAGCGCCGAAGCTATGTCCAGTAAAGACAACGGTATAGCCACTGTAAGTTGCAAGGGCAGAGTTGAGCTCGGTCGTTAGTGCATTGGCAACGACTTCCCAGGACTTCCAGAATCCCCCGTGTACCGCGCATCCGCTGCAGACATCACTGAGACTGTCCAGACCAAAGTCCAGGTTCGCCACCCAGGTGTCTATCGTGCGACTTCCTCTGAAAGAGACCACAAGTAGCTTGTTGGTGGTGTCTGCAACCAAGAAGCCTGCCACGTCTCCATACGCGGAGTCACTATCAACTCTGTTAGATATGCGAGCTACTCATGCATGGGATCGACCTACTCGTAGAACTCCGAAAGGGTCTTAGTGTTGGCGGCCTCAACCAGCGGACAGTTTCCAGAAGAGCACGTCAACTTGGTACCCGTGGAATTGATGTTGTTGGTACAATAAGAGGCAGCAGAGTATTGCGCAAACAATGACAGGTTTTGCAGCACCGACGAGGACACAGCTACTTGGTAGTTAGCACCACACATAATCCAATCGTAAAAAGCGTGGGACATACCTCGCTCCGCCAACCTTGCTGGCGCGGCAGCACCCAGCGCAGCGAATGCCGCAACAGCCAGCGTACAGACAGACTTAAACTGGACCATGATGCCTAGTCTATACTCAAGACAACCCTTTCAGAGAAAACGCAGGCAGACTCTGCGCGATAAGCCCCCAGAAGACGACACGAGACCTGGATCCTCATCCTCAGCGGTCTGCAGGAATGCGGAGAATTTATACCCAGCCAAAGCCCCCATAGCGACTCAATAGTCGCACTCTCCACTCTCCAATGTTCATCCCGCCTTGCTCGTCAGCTGAGGGCATTTCTCGCGAGCAATCCAGGGCGGGGTAGATAGGCCCAGTCAGCCGTCAACCAACCGGCCTCATTGTAAACAAGGCCCAACGCTCCTCTGCGGCCAAGCTGACACATTCCGGGCGATTTCCCCATTCCTCGCTGACTCGAACAGGATGTTGGCCCGTCGCCAGCCATGAAAAAAAAGAAAAGTACTGGATACTACTCCGTATGCCAGGGTGCTAAAGTAGCGTGTGATGCTCCCCACCAATCCCGGGATAATCCCCGCAGTCTGCAGAAGCCCCAGACGTTCCGAAGACTAGAAAGGTGTGAAGAACGGGAAGATCAGTAAGCCAGGCTTGACGACGTGGGGCTGATTGGTCTAATTGTTGTTTTCCAAGGAATATAGTTCATCGGTGGCCGGACTCCGGCAAGAGGAATCAATCATAGACTCCATTCCTGGCTCTCTAGCGGTGACAAGTGATGAGAAAAGATGGCTGGCGGCTAGCAAGAAATGGCTCACGCCAAGTTCCGGGCCAAGTCATCCTACCCGGTGGTATTGAGGAATCACGCTGGCGGTGTGGATGGTCCATAGCAACTGAATGGTGGAAGATTCCTCGTTGCTTGTGTTTGCTGCAGGGGAAGGGCCAACCATATGGACTGTCTTAGATTGTCTTATACGAGGTGTCGTCACAAAGCATGCATGGCGCAGGCTGAGTCGTGCTGTCTAAAGTATATAGCGTCGGCATATGAATTCCAGCAGTCCTCATGACCATGTACGAGCGGTGGAGCACATGAAGCCGAGACTCGAGGAAATTGACTTGCCGCGCGTATGCGATGCAACAGTACCTATGCCGTCCAACCTTGACCACTATGTAGTGAGGCACTTTCCACGTGGTGCTAGAACGTACGAGGCGACTTGGCCGAAGCTACTCGGGGTCTCATCCAGCTTTGGATACCAGCACCTATAATTCACTGACAAACCTGATTTTGACTTCTAAAGGATACCCTCAAAATCCATCAATTGATGCTCGAAATGCAAATTATCCATAATACCCAGGGAAGGAAGAAGCAGGAATAAACAAGGCATACATTCGCTCCGTAGAACGCCGACCATGTACAGTAAGAAATCATATCTATCTTTGATGGCAAAGCTAGATGGGAGTTACTAGGCGGGGTAGTATCAATGCTGTGATCCAATTAGTTTCTACACTTGATGGGCAAAAGACAAATGGAGCCAGAAAGATATCATGCCGACATACCGGATCATTCACTGGATTGCAGGACCCTTGAAGGCCTTTAATGCTATCACTGCGCGTTCTCCCCTCCATTCTCCCCACCTTCAGTGTAGTCCGTCATACCGGCGTCCTGCCCGTCGTTGGTTTCGCCTGCGAGAACCTTGGTCCGCGGGATCTGTTGCTCGGGCAGAGGCGCCCCCGGTGTGGCTGCGACAACATTGTCGTTCTCATCGACGAACTCAAAGTTATAGCGGGATAGCAGATGGGGAATGGCTGAGAGTTGCGGGCCGTAACGCGCCGTATTGTCGTACAGCTCGAATAACGGCACGGCGAGCAGCTTCATGTTCTTCGGGACCGAGAGGACCTCTATCATGTTGCGGTTGGTTAGAACTCTCCTAAAGAGTCGGAAAGACCTAGTGAAACGCGCAAACTTACTCTTCTTAGGGAGCTGAATGAAGTACAACTTCTTACACTCCTTAGGCCGCGTTACGTGTCCCGGGAGAAAAGGATACATAAAGGTCTCGAAATTCGGCCGCCACCACTGCGCAAGCGTATCGCCAATCTCCCAGTCTTCATTGACGCCTTCACCTGAGAATTGGGATCCCACGGGCGCCAGACGCTCGTTCAGTCGCTTCTTGAATCCTTCAACCTCGTCATCCTCGAAGTGAAGGTAGTCACCTGGTCTTTAGCACGCGGAGCATTAGTTTGAGTTCGTTCGCTGAGTTTGGGTAAGAGGTTCGGGTTGGCTCGCGAGACTAGTCCAGCTCGAAACCTAGCACGACGTACAACTTGAAGAATGCGTTTGCGATCTGCAGCATCAGAACATGAGGGTGGTTGTGCTCGTGGCAGACAAGGACACCCTCGCAGGTCCGTCGCATGCCATGTTTCTCGTAGTGTTCCTCCAGACGCTTTAAACGAGCTAGGACTGAGGGATCCTCTTCGGGTTGTGTCTCCTTGGTGCCGAATGTGTAATTAGAAAGGGGGTATAAACGGATAGTCTTGGGTTGCTGTGCGGAGAAGTCTTTGGGAATGATAGGTCTGATAGGAGTCATACAATCAGTATAAATAACGAGCGCAAAAGGAAGACAGGCAATAGAACCCCAAGGTGTAAAGAGGGCAGGGTCCAAGCCAGAACTCACGGATGAGAGCTTTGCATCGACGGTGCTGTAGTCGTTGACATTCTGAATGAGGTATATTCTAATAGAATCCAAACTTGTTTTCTGTGGTCCAGAGGCAAGAAGTTCCTTGGAATTGGAGGTGTTTATATGTAGCTTGCTTGTCGCATGTCGAAGCTCTGTTATGTCGCAGATCGGAGCTGCCCCGCGAAAACGTTCGGCCGGATTCCGGGTGTTGCTTAGGTGTAACGACGTGACAACAGATTTCGATGTCGACCACTGAACCAGATTTGCCCTTGGTATATTTCAAGAGATGCCTTTTATATCGAGGGATGTCCGCGAGATTGGCAGCTATCCTGTCACTTCTAACAAACGGCGCTGTAGAGGATCAAAGATGATATGATGATATTGACGAATCAGGAAAGACACTATGCTACAGGACAGTCTTACGAATATGGGTTGGATTGAATCATTCCATTCAAGGTTTTCTATTACTAGAGCATGCTAGTCCAGCCTCCAGTGTACAGTATGGATCCTTCCCAAGAGAAGAAGAAAGAGATACATAGTATAGTAAGTGCAAAGAGTCAATAGAATCGAGGGGTTGCAAGTCAACTATTCGCCCGCCTGCCATCATCACGCATTAAAGTTGTCGAAGATAGCCACATCCTTGATCTTCTCCCAGATAGCATCGATCCGCTTCACGGCATTTGCGCTCAGAGGACCCCTCTGAATCGCCGCGACCGTCTCCTCAAACTGACTGATCTTAGACGCTCCGACTATGACCGCATCCCCTAGATCCTCGCGAATATGCGAATGGAAGAAGATCCACCGATAGGCCAGCTCCGCCTTGGTGACTCCCTCCGACGCCGCAATCTCAGCCCAGTCATCCAGCGCCTCCAGCATTGCAGGCTTATTGTACAGCTTATGATAGATCTGACCAAATACGCTGTTTGGATCCCAGCGTCCCTCGCCGCCAGCGACGAGCTGCTCTTTCGTCTTAGTCAGGAAGCCACCGGCAATGGGGCTGTACGCATAGAAGCGGATGTTGTTTTCCCGCAGGACGGGCAGTAACTCCGTCTCGGTGCGGCGGGCTACAGCGTTGTAGTTGCCCTGGTAGACGGAAGGGAGGACATAGCCCTTCTCCTTGGCGATGCGGACAACTTCCTGCACCTCGTCCGGGCGGAAATTTGACAGGCCGAAGTGTCTGAATTTCCCTGCCTTGTGGAGCTCGTTGATGCCCGCGAGGGTCTCCTCAAGCGGGGTCTGGCGATCCGGCGCGTGAATATAGTACACGTTCACCTATGATCATGGTGAGTCCGTGCAATGGAAGTCAGATGAGACATGGAAGAGAGCTTACACTATCCGCGTCCAACTTTTTCAGACTCTCGTTCCCGATTTTGATCACATTGTCTTTGGTAGCGTTTCCGGGGACAAAGCCACCACCGAACTTGGTGTCAATGACGAAGCGCTTCGCGGCTTTGGTTTGTCCCAGCAGTTCCTCGCTTGCGCCGTAGATCTGTGCCGTGTCGATAGTCTTAACGTTGTTCCGTTCTAGGACTTGAAGGAACTCTTCCACCTTCTCCGGAGTGGACCACTCAGGTGTAGTACCAAGTGTACCACCGCCAAAGATTATCTGGGCGTGAGATTTGGCCATTGTGTATTACGGTCAGAGGAATGCCTGAATTAAAAAAGAAGAAGCTGTTGATGTTACTGGATTGAATCTATATGGAAAAGGTCAGTCTGCTTAGTATTTATACATCGCTCGATGGCCAGAGCTGGTTGATAGTTTGGACGTTATCCAAGAGTAAAGTCCGTTGATCAAGCGTTATCTCCATACATCAAGAGCCTGAATCGTCAATTTGACTACAAGAGATGAAGCCATTGTACACGAAACAACCAATCGTAGTGGTTTGGAACGGAAGAAGGTGATAGAAATAATCAATAATACAGAAATACGAGAGGTAATCGGATTTGAAATCAACCTTGAATACGACTCCGCCAATCACCGCACGATCTGCGCCTCTACGGGGTCCATCTATTTTTACCTAAATGCTTAGGATAAGCTGCAGTACGTACTACTGATTATAAGGTGGCGACGTAGGTACCTTGCCTATACGATGGACCCAATCAACGTCCTTGATACTTCGAGCAGCTTCTTACATCCGAATTCCGAGTTGTATATGGACTCATTATTGATCAATTTGACATCATCACTAGCTGATTAATCTGCTTCTGTACTGCTTGCTAGCCGTATGATCTTGATTTGTAATGAAGGACCGACATAGAAGCATCCAGAAGAACTCTCCGTGGGTGGCAGATAGGTCAGGGGGCGGTCGAGGTCGATCAAGCCCTGCTACTGGGAGAGCATGGGAAGTTACAATTAGGATACGCTAACCCAAATCTCATGGGACTAACTTCACTTAGTCTAGCAATCTGAAATTGAATAGTATATTTCTGATACAGTTGCCCAACTCTTAGTTGCATCTATCAAACCTGGAAGCACCATGAACCCCCGAAATGCCGACCTCCAACCGTATGCGACATACCCAGCAAATGCTTCTAGGTTGAATTAAATCACATCTATGACAAACACCTGAGGATATACTTCCGCAGATATCAAAGCTTGGCGTCGAAATCCTCAAACTCGGTAATATCTGTGACCGCGATGGGTCCAGCGCTCATAACCATGCGTGCCTTGAACTCAGGCACGTTGGTAATGTAGGTCACCTTTCGATCAGTCTTGGACTTGCCAACACCATTAGTCACAGGCTTGGAATCCTTGTCGGTAGTTTCAATGCCAAGTTGCTTGGCATGCAGACCAATGTTCTGTCGCGCTTGCTCAAGCACCGGTGCTGTCTGCTGCTCTGATAAGCTCATCTCAGACAGCAAGAACTTCTTCAGAACGGCGAGAATCTGATCTGCGTCACTAGCAGAGAGATCAGCGCTCTCAAATACGGAGCTCAGGCGGCTCGTATCCACGGCAAAGCCAGCGCTCTCCACTTGCTTTCCAAGAAGTGACACCAGCCGTGAGAGCTGGTCTTTGCCTTCGACTTTGGCGTGCGCACCCCCTTGAGCATTAAGATAGATCGAAAGTTTACCGCGGGTGGGTGAGCGAGGGTCAATAAGCTGCTTATAGAAGTCCACAATATCAGCCTTAGTCAGACCCCTGACATTGGCCGCATCGCTTTCATTCTGTAAGAAATCGAAATATTCCGAGCCGATGTGACTCCAGAACCGCGATGTCTCGGAGCTCAGATTCTTCAGTTTCTCCAGTCTCTTGTTGATCACGCTTCGTTTGTGACCCTCGAAATCCTTCTCGGACATATTTTCCAATGTCTCTCCTGTCTGAATGAGGAAGTTATCGATACGCGACTCAAGATACTCGGCCGTACGCTCACTCTGGATAATGACTCGATAACCAATGGTCGTAGCGGAATAGCGTGCACCACTCCAAACAACGTATCCAAGCTGCTCCTTGCTTCGAAGTTGGTCAAAGGCGGGTTCATCTGTCATCTGCGCAAACAGCAGAAGCTTTGCTCGAAGCATGTCATCCGTGATACTTCCAACGTAAACATAATACTCAATGCAATGGTTGATATTGGCGGGGTCTCGGAGCGTGCGTTCATAGACATAATTGCTTCCAGGAGGGATGATAATGTTCCGCCTCACGTGCCATTGTGACTGGGGCAGAGGGCGGCTTTGCAGAATGTTTTCCACCAAGTCCGTCATCTTAAGGGCATCCTCCTTGTACAGGTTGCCATGCGCAAGGACCTCGATATGATTCTGGCTGAGTAGCTGCGGGAAGAAGTTCGAGATATCCTCCGGTTCGATATGCTCTAATTCAGCCGCGTATTGTTCGTTGATCCATGTCTTCTCAGAGGTCAGATATCTGGTATAATCACCGACCTGGTAGAACGGCTGTTGATACTCTGCATTGCGATATCCCCGAGACAAGCGTTCCTTTATGATGTGGAAGCGATTCGGATTAACAACCAAGTCGCGCATGCTCGTAAACACTTTTTCCAGCAGAACAGCCATCTTGTCGTTGTACCCTCCAACAGACACGTCCAATCCAAAGACACTGGCAGAGAGGTGATAGTCAAGCCCAGCCAGTTCAGCATCGTACGAGTATTCCACCAAAGCATCCTTGACAAGTTCACAATACAGCTTCGCCTTCACCAAGTTCGCAGGGGTGGCCCACGCCAGGGGGTTTCTGAGCGTAATATGAACGGTGCCTTTGGGTACCCAGAAACGGTCATCCTTCTTGAACCAGAGGCGCACATGGTCATCATGACGAATGAGTTTGGGCGTCTTTGCTGGCTCTGCTACTTCTTTCTTCTCCACTGAGAGTCTAGTTGGGACGAACTCGTTCTTGTGGGGCATATGAAGTTCAGACAGTCTAGTCTCTGGAGTGGTGTCCAAGGCTTTGCGGATATCGGCCATGAAGTCCTGGGGTATCTTGCCCACTTTGTACTCGGTACCGTACCACTTCTCCTTGGAGTCCCAGTCTCCTGGATACTCCTGAGAGACAACGATCAGCCGGAAGTTGTCAGGCCGAAGGTATGACAAAGCCTTCTTGATAAGGTCGGGGTCGAACTTGCGCAGGAGGGAACCACTGAGAAGCCATTCCCTGGGAAGGGGCTTCTGCATGACGCTGCTCAGTCGACTGGTGAATCGGCTGGCGGGGGATTTCTGTTTGAAGCGGAATTCAACCTCGGCTAAGTTCTTCATCTCATCGAAAACCCACTGCTGCGGCTCCCTTTCCTGCAGCATCGCAATATACTGGAAGACGACCTTGGCTACCTCTCGGTACTGCTGCAGTCCCTCTTTTGTCAATCGAATCGAGATGGTGAAAGCGGCTGCTCCGGGACAGATGGGCATGACGCCGGCAGACAAGCCGTTAGCCCATCCCTTCGCCTTGATATAGGCCAAAATGCTGCCAGGTCCTTCGTGGCCAATCAGGTGACTGATATACCGACTTGGCTGAGACTCGTAGAGGGTTTCCTCATCCATGAACGGGAAGTAGATGTCCAAGGAGCGGGTATCCATGACGGGCTTAGCGAAGATTTGAATGCCCAAATCCTCGTCCCTCCAGGGTTGAACATCGTCCCATCGATTCTGCGGCAAGTCCTTGTTCTCCACTTCGGAGAACAGCTCTTCGACCCATTTCTCAAGCTCATCCAAAGACTCTCGCCCGAGCACACATAATCTCATTCGGTTCGCTGAATAGTGCTTCTGGTAGAACTTAATAAATTCGCTGCGGACTTCTAAGCCGCGTTGCTGAGGGTCCTCCTTCAAGGTCTTGAGGTTACCGGTCGAGAAGTGGTGATAAGGGTGGGCGGGGTTGGACAATGATTTGTTCAACTGCATCAAACGCCATAAATCACTCTGGAGGTTCTTCTTGTTCTCCGAATCCACCGCCCGCAGCTCGCGATCCAGAGTAGACTCCAAAAAAAGGGGAGACACAAAGAACTGTGCGAAGCGATCGAGCGCTCCATACAGAGGGGACGGGGGCTCGGAAGGGTCTGACTCCGCTAACGCATGGGCGCCGTTGGTTGTTCCATTGGTTGTTCCGTTGGTCGTACCGTTAGTTGTGCCATTAGTTGCGCCATTTGTAGTGCCATTGAGCGTGCTGTTGGGCTGTCCATCCCCTGAGTCGGCCGTAGCAGAGACCTCAAAAAAATAATTCGTCTCCGTAGCTGCTGTGTATGCATTCGACGAGCCAGAATGTGAGGCAAGATATTGATTGTAGGCATTTTCTTTCGGAAACTATCAGGAGCGCGGCAAGGTTAGTCATTTGAACTTCATCAAACGAAACCTGATGTTCGACATGTTTATTTGCAACCTACCTTTTTCGTTCCCATGAAGAGCAAATGCTCTACAGCATGAGCCATTCCTGGCATATCATCTGCATCTGAAAAATTTCCCACATTGACATTGACGGATGCGCTAGCCTTGTCCGTTTCAGGATCATGGACTAAGAGCGCCTCCAATTTGTTGGCCAAGCGAATAACTCGATAGGAGCGATCATCGAGCTCTGGCTTTTCCAAATGCTCCGTAATGCGTTGGATGGAGCCCATGGTGACGGCTGCAGCTGAGAAAGGAGCGAAAGTAGACCGGGGAAGGGAGTGACGAGACCAACAGCGTGACAGCAGAGACTGAGGGCAATTCAAGCGACGACGTGGCGACGAGGAGAAATGAGGGGCAATCGCCGCAGAGGCGATAGAAGGCGCGAGTGAGAATGAGCGAAGATGACCAGGATTGAAATAGAGGAAACCTCGAGAGTTCCACAGGCGGAGAGATGGAGAGAACCTTGGAGGCATGCGATGCGCGAGGGTCGCCCAAGGGAAAAGCCGCTAGGCAAATTGCTGGCGGAGTTTAAACAGTGGCCCCGGAGCACTATTGCGCGATTACGCAAGGACAAGATCTGGAGGAAGGAGGGACAGCAGAGAGAAATTCATGAACGGAAAAAAAAGAGGCGATATGTACATGTAGTTATGGAAAGTAATTGAAATCGAAGAAATCAAACATCCGTAAGAAATAGAAAACGGAGAATAAATTTATGATGAAAATCACATATGCAGGTGATAAAATTCCAGGTTGATTAGGATGATGAGGGATGATGATGAGAGTTGACGCGAGACACAGCCCATTCAAGGAGGCGGTGAGGCATGATGCCTCGGGCAAGCAGGCGGTGAACCAGTTGTGAGCTCACTCCTCCGCCATCCTCAGGAATGTTGCATTGTTGATCATCAGGGGAGAGTGAAGGGTCTGAGACATATCTAGTCCACTGGAAGAATCAGTCGGCTTGGAATCATATGTGTGTTTCTGTGGACGCACTATGCCTCTCAATACACCTAACGTATGGCAGAAGATTTTCAGAACTATGCCAATAGGGGCTGGGGAATATAATATTGATAGCTGATGGTATAGTTTCTGTTATAAGAAAACATAGCCTTGGTTTATTCTGATAGTATACTGGACCTTTCTAACATATACATAAGTGGTTACCCTCTTACGAGGGCTATGTTTCCTTGCCTAAGGAAGCTGGAGATCCAGAGACCATACGTACACTCAGTCAAGGATTCCAGTTCTACAGTCGGTTATATGCTCATGTGCTTCCTATGAAAAACAATGTCTGAGAACAGAGATACAGAAATTATCTGTTTAGCATTGCTTGCTTAAACGTTACACACACACTTGGCTTATGCAACGCACCCGTACTCGCACGACCTCGGGTTTTATGCCTCCGATATACACAGGTAATTAGGCACGGATTAATGCATTACTTAGTGGGTGATCCTTAGGAGCACTAGAAGTATCATGGATACATATCTAAGATCTGATTAGCACAGGAGCTGTTTCTGAAACATGTTTCTCCAGGTTTGCATTTCTACAGTTGATATAGAGACCGGAGGCTGATCCCTGTATAGTCAATATGCTTATCTGAGCAAAGGGAATAAATGAGACTCAACACCAACCTAGGTTCCTAATCAAACTCACTCAAGGATAGATCCAAGGGCCCATTCAACGGTAACGGCTAGTGGCTCCTCAACATTGAGCACTTGTTAGGGTAGAATGCATAAATGCATACCCCACCTTGAACTGATGACTGCGGAGAACCTGCATCATCATGTACATCCTTCACCACAGAGTCTGAGTTCAAACATCACCCACTAGATAACAGTACCAGACCATCATCGCCATGGATATAGCGCAATCTCTCCAGGAGATGGGCTCCAACCAGCCCATCCGCTGCATCGACATGCACACCACCGGAGAGCCCACCCGCATCATCTACTCCGGCTTTCCAACCCTCTCCGGGACTCTTCTCGAGCAACGAGACCAGGCCAAACAACAGCACGACCACATCCGCAAACGACTGATGCTCGAACCCCGCGGCCACAACGGGATGTACGGCGCCATCATCCGCCCCGAGACCGAGCTTGTCTCTTCCGGAGCCGCCCACATCGGGGTCCTCTTCATCCACAACGAAGGGTTCTCGACCATGTGCGGACACGCGACAATCGCACTGGGTCGATTCCTCGTCGACACGCACGACTACTCTGTATTCCCGCGCCGCGAGGACCTCGTCTTCGAAGCAGACACGCAGACAGTCAGTCTGAACATCCACGCCCCCTGCGGCCTGGTGCAAGTGACGGTCCCCGTCACGGCAGATGGGGGAAAATCCGATCCCTCGCGGCCGGTGACGTTCCTATCCACGCCTGCGTTTGCAACACGCATTCAGATGGCTGTCCCCATCGCGCCAGCGATCCGATGGCCTGAGCTGAGGGGCAGAGACTTCATCGTGCTAGACGTCAGCTACGGCGGCGCATTCTACGCCATTGTCCAGGCGAGCGAGCTCGGCTTCAGCGGCGGTTTGCGGGATCTGGACCTCGATGCAATGACGCGCTGCATCCAGAAACTCAAACCGTATCTCATGGGCCTGCCGGAGGTTCAGGCTGCGGTTCGGCATCCCCACGATCAGCGCTTATCGTTCCTCTATTCGGTGATGGTTGTGGACTCCGCGCTTGGATTTCAGCCGGGTGGTGTGCAAGGCACTGAGACGGGTCTGTGCTATTTCGCAGAGAATCAGATCGACCGATCGCCGACGGGGTCGTGTGTGACGGCACGGATGGCGCTCGCTTATGCAAAGGGGGTAAGGTCTCTGGGTCAGCGCTGGGCGTACAACTCCTTGGTCTCGAACCATTTCGGGACAGGAGCTTTCGGCGCTGAGATTGTAGAGGAAGTGACTGTTGATGGACTAGATGGTGGGAGTCTCAATGCAGTCATTGTCCAGGTTGAAGGCCAAGCGTTCTATACCGGGGCGTCAGTGTTTGTGGTGGAGTATGAGGATAGAATATCGCCAAGCGGGTTTACAATGGAGAAGGTTGCCCTTGGCCCGAGTGTGAATGTTTAGAATGTTAAACGTACGGGATAGATATACAGAATCTTCCCACCTGCAACGGGGACGTCTAGGATTTCCTTCAGATAGGGCACACATAGTAACCTTCTGATGTACCTTCTCCCCTTCATAGACTGAGGGAACCAAATAGTCTGCTTCATGGTTAACAATGCGCAAGCTCCATGCCAAAATTCTTGAGAGAACACATAGGTCTCTGTTCTATCAAAGTGGGAACCATCGCCGAAGGAGCATATACTTTATTCAAACATTATCCATTATTTGATGAAAGGGTCCTAACTCTCATAGACAGACTTTCACATTAATCACCACAATCAACTCGTCCTAATCCCGTCTCAGATCCAACCAGAATAGACTCAACAGACTAACAACTCTTCGCACAAAGCGTAAGGACAATATCCCCATTCGCTCCGCAGTTCTTGACCTGGCTACCACCAGGCGAGACGCCATTCGGCCAGCAAATAGACGGGCAGGTGCCTGTAGCCGGCTTCACGACAAGAGCGCTGCCGGAGAACGGGTCACCGAAGACGTCGCTCACGTCGTACCAGACGGTCTGGCCGTCGAGGGTATATGCGTAGTTGAGCTGGGGGCTGCCGTCGTAGAGGCCGTTGTCGGTACGGGTGATCTTGAGCGCGACGCCGCCGGACGCGGGATCGTGGTGCAGGGCCTCCGAGTAGGACTTGCCCGGCTGGATGGTCTGCTTGGGGCCGACGGAGCCGCCGACGGACCAGAGGTAGACTGGGGCGGCGCAGTTGTTTGTCACGACGGCATTGCCCACGGCTGAGGCCAGGGGGATGAGGGCCGCGAGGCTGAGGAGAGGGGTGGTGAAGTGCATGTTTAACTTTGGTTCTTAGGATGCTTGGTCTGAATTCGATGTGGTGGTGATGGTGATGGTGATGGTGAAGATGGAGATGGAGCGAGAGTCAAGGTGGTCGACGGGGGTTCTTATAGATGACGGTTCGCCATGCTCGAAGCTCATGCGAGCTCGATGCTCCTCTGCTACCTCTGTTGGTGCCATGACATACTTCGCGATGGCAAACACCGCGAGCATTGCCATCCCGAGTCAAGTCATGACTGAGACATCTCGTGTTGAGAATCGTGGATCGAAAGCAAAGAACCGCACCTGAAACCTCAGGATCATCCGCTCCATCCGGCGAAATCATGCAATTAACCTGGCCATCCGTCCTTCAATCCAAGACATTACCATGAACGAGTTGAGTCCCATCCACTCATATTCTTCTTCACTCATCGTAAGGCCACCGAACCTGAAAATCATCGCGACTTCTCCACTCGCCTCCTCATTCCCCTGGTCCTCCATTAGGTCTCATTACTAAAATTCCGGGGTCAAAGTAGACCCCGACCTCCAATGAGCAAACAATCCCTCTCCAAAACGGCATTAAGCATGCATGTCTCAACTTCCCAGGCTCGGTTGGTCATGTCATGGTATATCGAAGGATCTAGCAATGCAAGAGCAGTCACCTGCAAAGTACCAGGACAGCAGTCGGACTCGACCTGCCAAGGCAGTAAGCGAGGAGCAAGCGCATCATTTGCTGAAGGAAATACCGCCCTCGGCCTGATTCGTTTAGATTCAACTGCCGATGACAAGAATGATGTACCCCGCGGGGCTCCAACTGAGACAGTTACATCTGACTAACATGTCAATAGTGGATCAGATCATCACGACCTGCCAGGAATCTAAAAATAAGTTGGGTTTGGCGTTGGACTTTGGATGAACTGACCAGGGAACCGAAGACTGCCATGCGCTGGTTGGTGAGGTGTCACCCGTGGTCCCCCTCGGGAAGCCTTACCTGCGTTCTGAGCTCGTATAGGGCTGGGCTTTCGTTGTTTCTTTTTACTTTTCTCTTTTCTGTTTTTTTCCTTTCTTTTCTTTCAAAGCGTTTGGGACTTTTGCATTATCCTAGGTTGGGAGTTGAGGTCATCATCTGACTTGTAAGGATTGACATTAAGTGTTGTTCTATGACTGAGACAGTGTCGTGAGTAGCTGTTGGGGCAGCTTAGCGATTCCATGCAACATCCCAGTCGTAGTGCAGTGGAGATCGGAGACCTGAATATCAAATGGTGGAGGAACAAGACACCTGCAAACATCATCTTACGCTAATAGATCTATTGCTTTCCAAGGAAAACTGCCTTGATGGCGTTCCATTATGTCGCATCCCGCGTTCAGCGTGCTGGATCGAGTGAGACACCCTCGAGATCAAAGCTCCCTTCAAATCCGAGGGGAAGAATAAAAAAAGAAAAGAGAACATTAGTATGATATGTACTATCCCAAGACCAACACATGCCCCAATATCGCATTCACCGCTCATCCAGGCCCAGGAGGAAGCTCAGCCGGCTTTTCCTTCGTCGGGGACCGGCTCTTGCTTTTACTCTTGCTCTTGGTCTCCTCCTCTTCGCTTTCTGCTTCATCAGCTCTTTCTTCAATCCACTTGAAGACCTCGTCTTTATGATGCATCAGCATCTCACTGAGTCCGGCCTTGGGCGACTGGATCAGGTGTCCGTAGCGCTTAGACGGCTTACGCCGTGTTTCCACATTATTCCAAACACCATGCGTATGGGACACAAAGACAAGTGAGTTCTGCGCGAATCAATCAGTTTCGAGTCTATAAAACAGCGGCATAGGGCTACTCGGGAGAAAGCAACACTCACATCTTTATACCACCGTGAGAGCCAGACCTGAGTGTGAGAGGCTATTGCTCGAACGGGATTTTCAGCGACAAAGGAGATAACACCATTGACGCGTTTGTAGAGAGTGTCTATCTTGGTCAACTACTGCTTCAGCCATTTCTCTAAGGTCATCCTACCTCTGTTGATCAAGAGATTCGCGACTCCATAAAAGGCATTGCCGATGCCGACGAAGAATATCTCAGTTGCCTCATTGGGTCTAGAACAGTCAGCTGCATCATTTACGAGGAGCCGTCTTCGAAACTTACTCAATGTAGTTGTCCCACAGATATCCAGCCAATTCCTCGGTAGCCGAAGGCCGATTCTCATCTTCGTCTTCATACTTTCCGGTAGTCTCCAAGTCATCAGCCCGAGGAACATTTAGAAAAGTCCATGTTACTTACTGGCTCCATCGTCACGTGCTTAGGAATATTGACATCAATGACAGCGTAGCCTTTCCCGACGGCCCATCCGATATAGTTCTTCATGCAATCAGCCTTGCCCTTGTTAGCATACGCTGTTGAGCCTGGTGACCGTCGCACATACCAGCCAGCAGTTATGGGCCTCAAGTTTGTTGGTGACTGGATGAGGCAAGCCCATGATTTCTGGCCTGTTCTATGTTAATCAATTCCCTACTTGGCGGGATATGGTGAGCTTACGGATCATGGAAAATAACAATCAGAGGCACGGCTTGGTAGTAATTGGCACTGGATAGAATCAGCACATGTGTCTCATTTGAGTATGCTTCTACTGACCTCGCCAGGACTTGATTCTCGAACGATTTCGAGATCGATGTCCGATAGATGTATAGCGAGGTGAGCTTGAAATTGTCGTACAACTGCTTGGATTGATAGGCACGAATGACATCTATAGACTGTTAATCCCGTGCCCAGATCTGGGCCTGGTCTGGCTTACCGTGCAACCTATCAGTCCAAAGTCCCTGCTCCAGCGGCCCTTTCGGGTACATACAGCGCCAATGCCGAGACTGGATCATCATGACACGCCTCACAGTGGAAGTTGCCAGATCTGAAGGAAGTGTTGAGTGCAAGCGGTCAGGCGGGTCACCCATGAGTGTCTTTGTGACCGCTAGAGCAGACTTGGAGATTGATCTGAAATTGTAACCACCCTAATTTGTTCAGCAGTTGTCAAACTGATATTAAGGTTGCAGCACTGACCTCAAGACACACAGCAACTTTGCCATGAGCGAGAGTCATAAGCATATGTGTCATATGAGCGTAGCAAGAGGGTGTCACAAAGCAGCCTCCAAGCTCATCACCAGCAGCGGCATCGAAGCCGGACGCAACTGTCTAAAGTCAGTCTCGGTAGGTGCTTATTGGGAAGCAAACCACTTACCGATCACCAGGTCAGGATTGAACTCCTGCGCAATGGGCATCACAATCTGTTGGAAAGCATACATGTAGTCGCCATCGCCCATACCTTGGCTAGGCCATGGGATGTTGACATTCCTAGACGGGGTATCAGCGCACAGAGCTCGCTTCTGCAGATCTCTGGATATACATACTTTCCAATACCAGCGCCAGCTCCGCAGTGGTCCCAGTCACCCTCGTCCCCTCCGGGATAAAAGTTTCCGTCTTGATAGACATGAAGGGAGATGTAGAGAATATTGGGGTCGTCGTAAAACGCTTTCTGAATACCGTTGCCTATAAACCATGAGATTCCATACTTGAGTCTGATAGTTGCGGGTACCCTTCATTACCATGATGAACATCCCTGACCAAATTAGCAAGGTTTTGTTTCATTGTGGGGAGGAAGACGTACCAATCGACGATCAAAATTTTCCTGCAGCTTTCTCCGAGTGTATTCTGACAGACACGCGCCGCAATGGAAACATTGTTGAACAGACAAAATCCCATAGTCTTGTCGTGTTCTGCATGGTGCCCCGGCGGCCGAATGACAGCTATGGCATTCTTAACCTTGCGAGTGGCTACAGCTAGACATGTCTCAATCGCTCCTCCAGCTGATAAGAGGGAAGATGCAAATGTCAACTTGTTGAAATAGATCGAGTCACGCGTATGCTCCAAAGCAATGAGCTCATCGTCAGACATGTCTGTGGTAATGATCAGAACTTGAAGTAGAAAGAAACTTGAGCCCACTGCATTCGCTTTTACCTTTTGTACTTTCAACAAAGTTGAAATGATCCGGGGTGTGAATGAGAGAGATCTCAGCCTCGGTGGCATTGCGAGCATGAATACGTTTGAGAGGTCGTGCGACAAGCGGTCTTGAAGACTCCGGGTCATCAACGAGCCCTGCTCGGCATAGCTCCTTGTAGATGTAATAGATTCTCCGCGGGTCCTCAGGATGAACATCCGCAGTTGGTCGCACCTCACAATGGTAGCGCATCTGAACATCATAGCAGAGCCCTGACGGTAGAGATGCGAGAGGAAGCCCTACACGCGCCCCTAAATCCTCCTCAGACCAGTCTGACAATTCCTCAACGATGCTGTCTGCTCTGTGGGCGGGCTCAGTAATAGCAGCACTAAGTCCAGCTGACTTTTCCGGAGCACTTGATGGCACTGTGGGTTGTGCCTGAGCAACTGGTGCAGCCGCATGCTGACCGCCCGATTGAGCAGGCAGAGGCAGATTCATAGACTGCCCCAGAAGCGGTGGAGCCAGCCAAGGGTCAATTCCCCCATTGAGAGTCCCTGGAATTGCTGGCACGCTGGGATTGCTGGTAGGATGGCCATGTGAAGCACTAGCGCTGGGGTGATGGGGGCCTGCCTCTCCCATCAGAGTGTCACCATCCTGCTCCATAGCCATTTGGGAGGATGATGCGATGATCTTTTGATTTCTCCCTAGGCTTGAAGATTTAGTCGTCTTAACATGTCATTGGACGAGCCGGCAATCTGCTCAAAACAAAAAAAAAAAAAGATGAGTATCAAACGACCCTGAAATATCCTCCAAAGATAAGTGCCTATTCCGAGCAAAGCAAGAAATGAAAGCAATATAAGGATTTGCGGTGGAAGTTGTGAGATTAAAAAGTAATAGATAGAAAAGACAGGTGAAACTGCGAAAGAAAGATGGGAGCTCCTGTAGAGATATGAGAAGAAAGAGCTAGACAAAGAGATAGATGCCGTTTAGCTTAGTCGCTTAGAGACAAGGGTCCCGATGTAGAACAAGTCCAGCTCAGGCAAATCAGTAGATGGCCAGGGGAAAAGTGTACAGAGGAAATTCACTGGGGATCTTGACATCTAATACACGTAGACCACAGAATGATTTCTGATATGGCAATCACTGCGGCCAGCAGGAAGGCGCTCTGGCTTAGGAGTTTATTGGTTTATGTAGTGTAGGAAGCTCTAAAAGGCGTGGCCTATCTAGCTTCCAGCTCACGTGACTTTGGCAGAAATCAAAACGTCGGGTAAATTGGTAGGCCACTCTGGAACAGGAAGGGTGGCAAGCAAAGCAAAAGAACTCTCGATGCTGTTCGCAACTGGGACAAATAGTGGAGCGAAAGAGTTGGTATAGCAGCCCAAAAGATCCAGACAACTGAAGGCTCCTCCAAACTGCTATACTGAGCTATGTTATCGTCACGTGCGTATTCCCGATTGTTTGCCGATCTTTTCCCGGCTATGTCCAGGAATGACTGATCACCGACCTCTTCGCTCCAGTATTCATGTTGGCTAAATGATGCTACGTTTACAGGGGAGCCCCTTAGACAAGAAGCATAAGTATGTAGGATTTGGCAACGTCAAGTCATTTCATTAAATAGTACGTTATCATGTGCTTTTATGCCCAGAGCCATGATCTCCAGTGCGTTTCTGTCCGCAGGGCATGTTGTATCCGACTTCGGAATGTCTCTATTTCACAGAAGACTTCTAGTTTCAATTTTCCGTCCTGATTCCTACTGGGAATCGACCTTGGCGATGTAGGCTAAAATGACGAGTCAGTATACGGCAGACCTGAGCACAAGGCTGAACTTAAACTTACCGATGAGGTCAACAACACGGCGAGAGTAACCCCACTCGTTGTCGTACCAGGCGACGAGCTTGACGAAGTTGGGGTTGAGGGAGATACCAGCCTTGGCATCGAAGATGGAGGAACGTTCATCACCGTTCAGGTCACTGGAGACAACTTCGTCCTCAGTGTAGCCGAGAATGTCTAACAACAAACAGTCAGTAACATATTCACAGTGAAAGAAGATCAGCAGTTCCCGTACTCTTGAGCTCTCCCTCCTCGGAGGCAGCCTTGATGGCCTGCTTGATCTCGTCGTAGGAAGCACCCTTCTCGAGGCGGCAGGTGAGGTCGACAACGGAGACGTTGGAGGTAGGAACACGCATAGCCATGCCGGTCAGCTTGCCGTTGAGAGAAGGAATGACCTTGCCGACGGCCTTAGCGGCACCAGTCGAGCTGGGAATGATGTTCTGGGCAGCAGTACGACCACCTCTCCAGTCCTTGTTGGAGGGAGCATCGACGACCTTCTGGGTGGCGGTGTAGGAGTGGACGGTGGTCATGAGACCCTCAACAATGCCGAACTTGTCGTTGATGACCTTGGCCAGGGGAGCAAGGCAGTTGGTGGTGCAAGAGGCGTTGGAGAGGACCTGGATGTCGGAGGTGTAGCTGGTGTTGTTGACACCCATGACGAACATGGGGGCATCAGCAGAAGGAGCGGAGATGATGACCTTCTTGGCACCACCCTTCAAGTGAGCGGAGGCCTTGTCCTTGGTGGTGAAAACACCGGTGGACTCGACGACGTAGGCAGCGCCGGTCTCAGACCAGGGGATCTGAGAGGGATCCTTCTCAGCATAGAAGCGAATCTTCTTGCCATTGACAATCAGACCCTGGTCGTAGGTCTCAATGGTGCCCTTGAACTGGCCGTGGGTGGTGTCGTATTTGAGCATGTAGGCCTATAGTATGCGTATCGTCTTCGGTCAGTCTCTGGAGTCAAAAGATGGACGAGTCTAGCTGAATGGCTTAGAGCACGTACAGCATAGTGAACCTCGATGAAAGGGTCGTTGACAGCAACAACGTCGACCAGGCCGTGGCTGAGGCTGTTCAAATCAATTTATTAGGATAACCAATCCATTGATGTTGATAGAAGCTGCTACTTACGCGTTACGGAAGACCTGTGATGGCTTGTTAGCTTCTGGATATCCAAAAACACCGGAACAAGGTTTATCAAACTTACGATTCTTCCAATACGACCGAAGCCGTTGATACCAACCTACAAGCGAAGTTGAGTTTATGGCACAATGACGCATTGAAGCAAACAAGCTTCACCGAGATCAGAATCTTCATACCTTGGGAGTGGCCATTGTGTAGATTTGTCTGGTACTGAGTGGGGTAAATGTTAGTCAAGCTTTGAGAGAGACACAGCAGTGAAGAGGACACTATTGTAGACGGGATTGAGGGGGAGATGGATCTGTTCTTACTTTATAGAATGATAGGGAGAAAGAGAGACAGTAGAATAGTGATGCTGATGATGGGAAGAGAGAAGAAGAGGAGAGAAAAAGGGCAGGGGCGGGGGAGGGGCAGTAGAAAAGGTAATGGCTTGTTGTCTCCGACTGACGCAACGACCTGATCACTTTGGAGCTTGCGCGCCAGTCGAAACCGCACACCGGGCGGACAGACGGGGCTAAAGGCCAAATAGCTACTCCAGCCTCTGTACTACGGCCTTCCCAGTGTTGCTACACAAAAATTGATTACTACGGTAATGGCTTGAGGACGGGTCTTTCTGGGTCAGCTTGCGTCCTGGATTCCCGATATGCGCCGCCCAGCAGCTCTTCAGCAGCTTTTCCGGTTTCATACACCGGGCAAAGCAGGAGACTCACGATATTTGGGTGGCCTGCCTCCCCTCGGTAGCTGCCGTACTGACCAATAGCCGTGCTGCGTGCTCGTCCAGCCGGGTACTTGCTCCTACAAATCTCGTGAAGCTGCTACCAGCTCTTCGGAAAGACTGGTATTAGATTACGGAATACCTAGGTTATTAGGATAGAGAAATTCCCGATGCATTGGCACCCGCTTACAATCGCTTCGGAGGGTGAAGGAGGACCGAAGTGCCCTCTTATTCATAAGGTAAGGTGGGCAACTTGTGTAGATGATGTAATAGAAACGGAGGGACTTTGTCCAGTTGCACCGCACTAACCCAAAACATCCCACCAAAAACGCTCTGGAAGAGGGGCTGTCCAGCTTTTCCGCTTTGCGACCATGATTTGATTCCTACATCGGAACAATATTAATCCACAACCTCCTATTCAAGGCTTCCAGAATGTGCGGAGCTCTTGATCATACCTTAGCTTATCTCCATCACTGCGTGTCTCTCACCGAAGCTCGAGAGGGCTTGAAGGGCTTCTCCGTACTCCAGAAATTCTCACCGGCTGCAAGTTAGAGTATCATGTGCTACACTACTTTTTTTTTTTTCCCCTTATGTTGTTTTCCCCCTTTGTCTCCTGAGGGATTTGAAATCTCTGCCCTTTAACCGGCGGACAATTGGTACGTGTCCATAAATACTTGGTGCCTTGCAAATGTAATGTGCTATGCTTTCCTCGTCCAATTGAGACTTGAGACGCCTGCAAGCATTGCATGACATTTTCCGGATGCACTATGGTCTCAGTTTATTGGATGTAGTTTTCTAGCAACTATTGTGCAGTTGATATCAACCCTTATAGTTTCATCGAGTACTTGTTTAGCAGAAGGAGTTCGCTCTATCCTTCTGATGAGACTTCCAAGATGACTCCTGTCAATCGTGTTCTCATCGCTGAATCACCCATTTCATACGCATCTGCTTGGAAATAAGCAAAGCCTTTTGAGACAACTTTCGTTGACGCTCGCCGGTTGCGAACAGTCGTCTAGATATCAAAGGAGCTAATCCAACACAGTCTACACTGAAGGGGACAAGTCTTCGGATGAGCTCTCATACATAAGCTGATGTTTATGTAGCGGTCAAGAAATCAGTGACATTCTTAATTCAATGTGATCGATTGCGACTATCACGCTGCCGTTAATCATGTCCTGGTCTAGCAACCCCGTTGCAGTCTGGATCACCTTCCAGAGTCTGCATTGAAGTGGCCTCTATAAATACAGGTGAATGAAGAAGTTCTTGCCCACAACTGTCATATCTACTCCTCCTTGACACCGCCACGGAAGTTCTTCTCGGCGTTCTCGACGGAGGCCTTGTCGCTCTTGACCTGGCCCTGGCTCAGGAAGCTGTTGGCGGCCTTGAAAGGACGCTGAAGGTCTCCAGTGGCGGGCTTTCCGAACACATGGATCTTAATGAGATTCGACTCCAAGGCGCTCTTCAGAGGGATGATCGACTGAATCAGGAGGGGGTTGGTGTACTTGAAGTAAAGGTGCATGACACCCATCATACCCACTCCCATGAGCTGCGACTTCATCAATTGGCGCAGTTGTCCCTTGTCGTAATCCATGTTGGTGGTCGTCACGGGGCGAGGCTCCTCGCCGCTGCCCATGGGGGCAGGCTCGACGTACTTCAGAGTAGTCATATCTGTAGTAACTCAATTAGCTTCCGCCATAATCCCCGGTGCAACTGCGGATTGTGCGTACCCTTCTTCTGATTGATCTTGGATTGCGTATACATGTAAAGACCAAGAATGATCACATTGGACGCGAGATATATGCAACGGACGAGGAAGAGGACGTCCGGGTTGTCAAAAGGGACCTTCTTCGCCAGCTGCATCATCACAAGGATGATGGCCAGGTTAGTTCTGCAGAGATAAAAGCATGGTCAGTCTTATTCGACCTCTGTCAAAGAAAATAATTACGGAAAAGGGATTTCTATGCCAAAGAGAAGCAAAGAAGAAAATGCGCTGAGACGACTCACACTTGAGGATTCATTTTGACGACAAGGTCCTTTGATGAGAAGATCAAATATTGGCAGGACTGGAACTGAAACTGAAGGAGTCGAGGAGGGAGGCGCGTGCAGGCAGAACTTTCTGACAAAGCGCAAACCTGGAGCCCCAGAAAGTCGAACAGCTGTCCAGATGGTGTGAGATCACGTGAAGAAATTTCCTTCGCTTTAGTGGCCAAAACGTGACACGTTAGCTTATCTTTAGGTTGGCCTGATAACGCGATATTGCTTTGGTTTGTCAAAGGGCTGCGTCCTCAGGCATAGTGGTGGTCCTTAAGGCATCAAAGTCACCTGCTCAGTTATGTAATATGCGCCCCGACAACCACAACACTCTGCAGCGTCAATTCTCATCATCAAGTTTGCTCAGCTGCTTGACATGAGCATTCACTCAGCTACGACTATCTGAGATAATTATCTTCTTCAGTGACAACATGTGTTGAGACATATTCAATGTCGGATGATCATTGACAATGAAGAAACATGGCTGAAAGCCGTACCATACCTGAGGGGCTGGCTTCAGCCATGCCGCGAAGTCTCAGCACCATCATGGATGGGCCATGCTTATTCTACTAACCAATCTTTACTGACTAAGATACAGACAAACTACATTCGGTCAACTTACTTGATCGAGTTGAGGCTTGCCTGGCGTTGTGACTTGCTCAGTATGCCTTCTAACCTGGCCTTTCGAAGCATCCGAATCCAAGCTGAGCATTGTTCCTAATCGGGATTAGCGCCCCTCCACGATCAACGCCTTTAGCGACCAGGATGGGCTGTGACATTTCTGACTCCTTCATCCATCAACAACGCGCGTATCTGAGGACATTTGAACCATCACAACATCCACACCCGTTGGCCAAATCATCTGAATCTTGCTCAACGCGACATTTTTATCTCTGCGACCCCGAATCTCGACAGTTTTCAATATGCCCGGTGGAAAGGGAAAGTCTGTTGGCGGAAAGGCTGGAGCAAAGGATGCTGCGGGGAAAACCCAGAAGTCTCACAGCGCAAAGGCGGGTTTGCAGGTCAGTATATCATGTGTTTCTCAGTACTATGCACAGCAACAATATTTTTCATGCCTTCTGGTATCTCTGGCAACGGCTTCTTTGTGATGAAGTCGAAGTTGCGGAAAATTTCTTGGAAGAACGCGTCTTCACGTCCGATGTCGAGGATCTTCTTTACTTGTCAATGAGTTTCATCGGATTGCGAATGTCAAACCGTGAAAGACGCGACATCTTTTGAGACTCTGCTGCCATCGAGATCACAATATCTTCTTATCTTCAGTCGATGACCTCGTTTGACGATTCGTTTGGACAAATTTGAGCTAACATAAGTCCTCGTCTAGTTTCCCTGTGGTCGTGTCAAGCGTTTCTTGAAGAACAACACGCAAAATAAGATGCGAGTTGGCGCTAAAGGTATGATTACCATTCTCGCGACTCCATCTTCCCCATCGACGTGTTTTTTGTCTTCATTCACTGACACGCATATTCTAGCTGCGGTCTATGTCACGGCTGTTCTGGAATACCTGACTGCGGAAGTCCTCGAACTTGCCGGTAACGCCGCCAAGGATCTGAAAGTCAAGCGTATCACGCCCCGGCACCTGCAGCTCGCCATTCGTGGTGACGAGGAGCTGGATACTTTGATCCGCGCCACCATCGCTTTCGGTGGTGTCCTGCCACGTATCAACCGTGCGCTGCTGCTCAAGGTCGAGCAGAAGAAGAAGAACAAGTCCGAGGCTTAAAAAACGAACAAAACGGCAAATACCCCACGAATACGGCGTTTGATCTTGATGATGAATAAAGAGGTTCTGCTCAAGAGCCCCGGCTACAGCATTTCTTTTTCCCGCTTCATGAGGCCGTGCCTGAAAACAGCCATGCTTGAGCGACAATCCTTGCGGCAATAACTTCAGGCGCATCCTCCATCGTCGTTCCGCACCTCCACCACGCTGCACCTGGGATTGTTCATCTCCCTTTTTTTGCCGCCTCGCGTACCTCTTTCCTCATCTCTTTTTTTGAATCGGCTCTTCCATCTTCCTAGTCAGTTTATACCGTTTGCGTGACTTGCCTGGGCGCTGTAATGGGGATTATGGGGATATCTCGGTAGTAGGAAACGTCTTTCTAAAATGCCCGTTTTTCTTTACTTTCTCTTTTCTTTAAATTGATCAACGGTGTTGTGAGTTCCATTATTTTACCTATTTGTTATATTTATCCTTAGTCATTTTTGATGAAATTGTATCAGTAGGTCTCATGCTTTAGTCACTACCGAATGTATACCTAGAGAGCAGTATCTCAATTGGTCCATCTGGGTACCCACCCGAAATACGATGGCTTAGCTTTAGTATCTTTGAAGCAGAAAAATTCTGTACTTGTTAACGACATATATTTAACAAATTGAATGAAATGATGCCGTCTTAGCCCTGTATACTTTAGTCGACTAGTCATGGATTGTCGCAAGGGGTGGCATAGGACTATGCATGACATATCCTTACGCTGCATGTCTTGTAATGACGAACCAGTGCTAGACTCGCTTCACCTGTCAATCCACTATTGGTTGTTTTACTCATGTGCTACTCTTAACACTGGCCGCTACATAACTACTACAGAGATAGAGATAGAAGATAAAGTGGCTGCTAACTAACACATACATTGATTGGAGACCTTGAGAGATATGAGAACTAAAACTTCGGTTTCAGGAACAAAGTGAAAAGGGAACAGAAACCACAGAAGGGCAGAACCTCGAACAAGACCCGCCGGATTGTAAATGATGCAGAGAGCCACCGGGTGAATAAATCGTAATACAAATCATTTAGTCGAGTACACTCGAGCAGACGGTCGATTTATTTGTTTCTTCCTCGTTTGCTAGCGTTCCGGTACAACGCAAGGAGAATTGCTCGGTTGTTCGACAATGGCGATTGGACATGTCAACTCGAAAATGCAGTGCAAAATGTCCGATTGAATATGGCCTTCGTCCGTTGTCATTGACATGCAAACCAGCCACACATGCAGGCGAGGGAAGGGGAGACGTGATGTGATAAAACATATCCGTCCAGTATCGCTCAAACAGCTCAAATCACGAGTGAATTAGAGAAGAATAGTGCTGAAGATTAAAACAAGAAACGGAGAAGAAAAATGAAATCGAGAAATCAACATTAAACGATGCAAATCGCCCTTAGAAGCAACAATATGCGAATGCAGGTATGCCACCTCTCTTGGTGTTAGTCAAAGACATGAGATATTTCTTATTGTCGTTCTTCGTAGACTTTCCCTCCAGTTAAAACAATTTTATTGTGCTTTCCGCCACAAACGCAAGATCGGAACAAATGACACAGAAATGAAAAGAGAAGGATGTTTTCTCGCATGCAAGGCGCCCGCATCTCAGAAGTTCAGAGCTTTCTTTTTGCGATGGTGTTCTGAGAAGAAAAGAGAAAAAAAAGTACCGAGTCCGTCCAAACAGTGTGCCTGATGGGCTGCCCCAAAATAACGTCTAAAACTTGACTAGATCAGAGAAAAAGTTTCTTTTGATTCTCTTGGTGTCATCGCGTCATCCCTCATCGAATCGTAAGCCAGTAATCGCACATCGGGATTAGGCCTCGTGATATAAGAGTCGTATTCATCTCGCGGCAAAGCAATCTAAACAAGTTCCGTTGTCTTCGTCTCTCATCGATCATGTGCTTTTTTTTGGTCCAGCACCTTACTCCACAATAATCTCCACTCCCGAATTGGTGCGCAATTCATCACTTCCACGCGATTGATGTCCGTTCGATCGGCGGAATCCCGAGCCTTTTTCAGGCATTGGGCCTCTAGGCTGCCTAATGGGCATGCGCTCCTGTGACTGACCGTCAAATCCAAGTCCGATGGATCGGTTACTACCAATGGGACCAGCGCTGGAAGGCTGACTTTCCGGCTGATCCCAAGAGAACATACCCCTCAATCTCCTGGGGCTCGCATTCGGCCCTCCGATTCCAGTGCCAAGGGACAGGCTGCTCAGACTGTTCACCAAAATATTGTCGTCCCGTTGCACACCAAGGGAGGAGCCAGACGGGGCTGAAGTCAAGGTGGGGGTGTTCGACGCGCCGCTGGTCACAGCCTCATAATGCTGTAAACGTGCGCCATTGGATTGCAAGGCTGCCGGGAAGCTTGCGGAAGAAGGCACGGGAGAAGGAGTATACGAGCGAAGATCGGCAAATGACTTGGCCGCGCGGAGATTCTGGGTATTTCCGTAGTTGCCAGGCGAATCAAGAACGCCAAGGAAGCCGGAAGTCTGTCCACGAAGATTGTTAAAAGGACCAGGTCCTCCCTCGTTCCTGGCCTCGCTGAAGTCAATGGTAGCTGCGCGATTCAGTCCACGACGAGCGGTATCGGCTGGCTGAACCGCAGTCGGGATGGAGGTTAGAGGCGGACTGACGTTAGAGCCGGGTGCGACTTTAAAAACCTGCCCCTGCCGCTGTTCGCCAGTACCACGGGAAGCATGACCAAGTCCCATGTTGTGTGCAAGAGTGTGTACTGTACGGCGCTGGATAGGGCTGAGAGTGGACGGGAAGAGCACGGAATCGCGACTGGGGTCTTCCTTGAAAAGAAGGAGCTGAGAGTAATAAGAGAGAGTTGTGCTGTCATTCAAATCGACCTCTGCAATGAAGTGAAATTAGCACAATAGAACCGGAGGAAAGCATCGGAACTGCTAAACAAATTTGGCTCGCTCTGACTTACCCAGCTTTTGGCCACGCTGCGAAACGGGAGAAGGAGACGTCGCAGGAATATGGGACGTGAGAGACGACATGGAACTCTGAGTCTGAAGCTGCGAGGCAGCCATGGGCCTGTGCTGTTCCTCCAGCTGACCGCGACGTTCGCGCTTCTCCCGCTCGATGCGCTCACGCTCCTGGAGAGGGAGCATCTTCTTATACTCCACCCGCAACTTCCGACCTTGGAGCTCGAAGTGGTTGAGAACCTCGATAACGGTGGCGGTTTCCTCAGCAGAGGTGAAATTGGCAAAGGCCAAACCCCGGAACACGCCATTGTCAAAGTGATAGTTGAACGCGTAAGGAAGCGGGAGGTTCAGCTCAGTCATCAATTGCACCAACTGCTCCTTCTTGACAGCAAAAGGGATGTTCTTGATAACGATCGCGGTCGGAATCAACTCGTCCTCTCCCTCCGAGGGAACTGTGGTTTCGGAACGCACCGCACCACTTTGAAGAGGTCCGGGTCCGAGATTCGAAAAGGGACTGGGCATACCAGGCTGCTGATCAAGCCAGGTCTGTATGGTTGAGTTAGCATAACAAAGATAATATCTTTGGGAATTTGAAGTCAGCACATACCGTAGGCAAACCCGCCCGACCAGTGCGAGAAGTGGTCTTCAGACTGGCCGAGGCGGAACGGATGGCCCCCAGAGTCTGCGCGTTGGCAAACCCATTTGGATTCCAAGTCTGAGAACCTGGAAGGTCATAAGCATAAGAGTTATTGTGCAATGACGGATTCAAGCGCTCGAGACGGCCGGTGTCGTAGCGAGCCATTGAATCATCGTACAGATTGACAGGCATTGGGCCGTATGCATCGAATTGTCGCGAGGGCTGACGGTGGAGAGGCTGCTGGTGACGCTGAGAGCCAGGGGAACGCGCAGAAGAATTGTCGTGATACATCTCCTGTGATTGTTGATAACTCATGGCGGCCGAGAAACGAGAATTCCCAACTAGCGACCAACCGTGGAATGTGGGCACCGGAATACCCACCACACAACAAACCCGAGAAGCCTAAACGACAGTTCTCAAAACATAGGAACTACCTGGCGCAGGCGTTGTGAACTGGGAAAAAACGGTTTGCCGACAAAATAATAGCAGACGACCTGGTCGAGAGGGGGGTTGACTTTGGCTCCGGGGAAAGCGACAGAAAAAGTTTCCACCGGAGAAGGCGGTTGATGGTCTGTGATTTGAGGAAAAGAAAACGAGAAAAATAAAGACGTGGGTGTATCTGCGATACAACCCAGGCGACGAAAAAGAAAAGAGAAACGAAAAAAGGGATTCTCTAGATAATCGCTCTCACTAAGAATGAAAATAATCAGTCGTCACACTTGATATCATTAAAGACCAGGGCTTTCAGGTGTTGATTTTCCTGGGTCTGTCGTATCCTTTCGTCCTCCGCGAATAATCCGAAGCAAAAGAAGCGACGGTCTCAACGGAGGTCGTCAGGAAACGGAAGAAGGGACGAAACGAGAAGAGAGAAGGGGAAAGGTAAATCGCCACTACCCGGAACACAGACCACCTTCGCGAAGCCTTGAGACTGGATGCGGATGTGGTTGTGATGGTGGTGGTAGTGAGGGGGGAAGAGAAAGAGAGAGGGAGAGAGACAGCCACAGTGAGGGACTTGAGGGGGGTGAATGTTGGACACCTGAGGCAGAAAGATAGGTTACGATTAAGTACTTTACGGTCAGGAACGTAGGTATCTTGACCACCGTCCCAGCCTAAAGTAGGTGATAGCCCACCTACCGTCCTCAGTTCTGGAGGGTAATATGCGGTAATGGTAAGGTAAGAATGTCCAAGAGTAATTGGTCGGGAGGAAGAAGAAAAACACGCACCAGGAAATCCGGCAGCCAGCGTACCGTTCACTCACAACGACTCAATGAAAAGCAACTAAAGTGAGGTATTGCGTAGTACGAGACTAAGGTAAGTACTAGAGGACCCGGAGATCAACGAATCCACTTCCACGAAACCAAACCGCCAAGGATTGGATGCAGCTGCTAGTTTCGGTAGGCTAGATTCGATAGATCAGGGCGATTTGTGATGCTTATCAGTTGCGTAGCAGCAGTTTCAACCACAACGCCAACAATCCCAGTTGTGACTTCAGGACTGCGATTGGTATGATACCGGCGACAACGCACAAACGTCGACGAGATATTCTCTTGTAGGGATTACCGTCGAACTTGGTGTTATGTAATGAACTCGAGTGAAACGGACTGGTTATAGAGGCGGCGCAGGAGTCGGGCTGGGAAACAGAACCGACTGCTCTAGTTTGAATATTTCGATGCTCGCTGGTAATGAACGCTTTATTGGACTGACAAAAAGCAACGCAACCTTGTGGATGAGTATGAGCGTCAGTGATGACGGGTTGACGGGTTGATGCTGACGGGGGACGGGAGGACGACGGGACGATCGAGAGACGCGCAGTAGTGGATAATTTGGGTTTGTTTAACCTGACAGAAATCGATATCTGATCCTGACACAAGTCCACTTGCAGGGTTGCAGCAATGCTTGACTCCTGTGTGATGCTTGATGCTTGATCCTCCTGTTTGAGGTTCTGGGATGCAACAAAGAGGAAGAGAACAGAGGGCAAGAGGATAAATGATTCAACAAAGTATAAGTATGAATCCAATTAGGAGGCCTTCAGATTTGAGACTCGGGGTCTGTAACACAATCAATAAGATGAGGAAGAAAAAGCAATATCGAATTATGACCAACCAGAAGAGAGGAACCAGAACGCTGTACTTATAGATATTCAGATCATGTAGGTACTAAGACAGGTGCCTTAGCATTTGGCAGCAGATGTTCTTTATATTCCCCGTGCTGATTCGGACGACTTTCGAGCCAAGTAGGAGTCTACCTGGTCTATCTGCCTTGGTATTATTGATTTTTCCTTACGCTCCGTCTCTCCTTTGCCCCTGGACCCTCTTGTGTCTTGGAGCTCCTTCTCATCCATTATTATTAACAAGCTCTTAGAAATGTCCCACTCTATCTATTAATACTATACACGAGGAGGGCTGTCCACTAGATAGTACGGAGTACATACAATCAGTCTAATCATGTAATGGTCTAGTCTGGTTCCCAGGGATCTGGTCTGAATTTCTCTCTTTCTGAATGGTGAGCTCTCCGAGAGTCTATTCCTGAACGATGTCTTACTGAGCCTTCCTTTCCGCCTGTATAGATACCAGTCACAAATCAGCCAAGGGAATGTCTCTTTTGTCCTTCCACGACACCCCGCCTCCTTTGTGAGTCTCCCCTCCGACAGCACGGGGCAGGAACTGAACTTTGGCAGTCGGGACGCTCTGACTTGCCTGCAATCCTGTGTTCCCCTTACCCCCTAACCGGAGCTTTTTCGGCAACTTAACCGTCTCGTTACATTGTTGAAATAAGTATTATAAACGGCGGACGATCCATCTTGAGACTGAAACTGATTACTTCCCTGGCATTACCAGAAGTACGTATTTCTTTTGGGACTTTCAATTTCCGTGGTGATAGTCATCTCTTAGCTCCCGAGTGACAGTTTCTCCCCTGAGCCGGTGCCTGGGACACTGATACCAATGCGCGTTTAGAGTCTGAGCTAGATTCCACGTAGGATCCGCCACTGTGGGTTGAAAGGGCCTGTCTAATATAGACTACTGCTAATGTATGCTTCTCCTGGGCCAATTAGTCGGCCCAAGCTGATCAACAAAAGCAGACACCCACACGAGCTCGTGCTACTTTGCTCAATTTGGGTTGGCTGCAAGCGGATGATCAAGGCCAATAGCTGCCTGATAGACAGAGCTATGAAAAGTAGTCGCATGACAACATGGACTGTCTAACAGAGTAAGTATCGTGATCCCGTTACACCGGGCTTTAAGCCCCTGAGCTCGTTGTAACGGCGGGAGAAGACTACTGCACTGTCGTTGTGAAAACAAAGAAAAAGCTCGTCAACTTGAACAACGCAGAATTACACAAGAACATTTCCCCGAGGAACACTTAAATCAAACAGTCATTTATCTGAGGCACAAGGCTTCTCGAACAATTTCCCTCATGGCTCCCCGTTGACCGTCTGTGTCAAATATCAATAGTACCTGGAATGGGCCCCGTCCGGAGTACATCTTCCGTCCCCGTAACCCCTATTTAACCTCGCAATTCTCCATGGAGGAGAAGCTCCAGAAATGATCCATCACCTTTTCGACGAATGATGTCAAGCAAATGCCATCGGCTCCATTCAGAATATTCGAAGAAGAAGAAATGACCTTCTGAAAGTGATCCGCCCTCAATCCCCAATTTCTGGCTATGGGAATGGACTCACTCCTTAGACCACAAGCTAGAAGACGCTAGAGTGCGACCAGAACTCATGGCATGGTGATGTTCAATTAAAACTGGGGCCTTCCAAACCTCGTCAACAGCTTCACTCTGGGAGGTTCAATGGTCGGCTTCATTTAACTAGCTTGTTCACCTCTATTTAGCAGAGTAAGTTAAAATCCAGTTCCACAGTACGGAGTAGCTCTTCATCTAAAATATGTAGGTAACTTCACAATAAACCTACTCCTATGCAGTACATAGCATGCCTTGCAGCTTACAGGCTGCCACAGGGCCAGACTCCCGGTGCTGTGGCCAATTCCACTACTCGCCCCAGCAGTCCCGCCTCACCATTCACCACTATTCGTTAGGTAGTGCTCTTAGTTAGTCCCGCGGCGTGGCTTCCGGAGGCACTGCCTTCGAGGATCCCGGCAACGGACTCTCTAAGCGTACTCATAGAATATTCTTAGTCTGTTCGCAGCTGGAGAAAAGGAATGGCCAATTTACTGTATTAATTAATCAAGCCACCATACCGAGTAAGAGTAACTTTACCAAATGAAGGCAGTAAGCCACAGGATGAGCCGAAATCGAGATCCCCTATAACAGATCCGGGATACTCGAAATCCAACATGACTGTGAGACATGGCAGGGTGTACGAGTGCAAATCGCGTTGCTCGATCTCGTCACGCTCAGCACCAATGGTAACAAAATCCATCATCCTGTGAAATGTAGGCCAAGGATTTCTCAGTAGTATTGTCAGGTGTGTGTGTATCAACAGTGACATTATGATACGGTGTCACCCTGCCATACATGGCAGCAGAACCGCATGATCCACTTCGTCGTGGCGAGGTTATGACAAATCTCATAATACACCAACCCCTAAACGGGGCATGACTATGGAGTATGGACTTGACTCCATGCTAATTACTTTACGGCAAGGTTGCCAATCCTCCGAGTTCCAGTCAGCAGCGTCAAGAAGCGTACAGACTGCCGTCGCTCATCTCGCACATGGTCGTCGTCAAATCATCATGGATCTGATGGTTATGCCTCTGCCTATACGCACAGAGTAATCAGACTTCTTCCAGTGCTGTCCAGCCATCAGTTCTTATCAAGAACTGAGGTGCGAGTTATCGCCGGAAAACGCATGATCAAGGCCAAAAAAGCAAAAAAGGAAACTGGTCATCTCGCACTCCGACCTGTACCAACTGGCACTTGCACTGCCACTGGGGACCAGGGCTAACGGAGGAGAGGAGACGACATGATCATCAGAGGCCGCTGGCCCGCTGCACGTAGAAGGTCCAGTACTGCTCACCAAACATGTCATCGATGCGTGATCTCAAATTAGATGTCTACTGTCGCGCTTTTCTGGTCGATTATTGATTCGACTCGGATGGTGCAATCGATTGATGCAGACGGAGGCATGAGCAGGGGAGATACCTTAGCCAGCCTGCATCATCCCTGCTCGCCACCTGATAGCTAGTAGAACGCCACAAGGCGCCTCTCTAACTTATCATAAACAGGAACGATCGACCACAGGAACAGATATGTAAACGGTAGGATGGGGTGGCAGCTGACAGTGACGCACAAGCTCATTTTCTGATTGTACCCGCCGTTTTAGGCCTGTGTGCTTGTTTGATGGATGTTAG